TCTCAATTTACACAAAAATCCCTTAGTCAGGAAGTGAGGATGACCATCAAGCTTTCCTTCAACGTCCATTTTGCGCCATCTACTGGTCTGTAGGCCATCAAATAAGCATTATATTTCCTCAGTCCAATGTCACATCTGAATCCTGATCAATTGTACTTTTAAACGTGTATATAAACATCTATAATAATCTGCTTAGTTGCAGAAAGACGGCATAAATCAGATGAGTTGAAGTTGTTTGGAGACACAAGAATGTAATTTTTCTCCAGATTCAATCAACAGTCCTTTCATTTGGCAACAGTTAGGTCAAGGTTGGGGAACCTGTGACTTGCCTGATGAAGAATAATAATGAAGCATATACAACTGATAATTGAGGGACATTAGAAATTACAGCCTAGTAGCAATGCCATACAATGTATTGAGGCCACAGATGCTATTTTGATCTCACGAGATATACTTTTGAAATGCCACTTAGTTAATAAAAACCAGTTTTATCCAAGGCATGAAAAAAGGAATACAGATTATTATTAACATAAACAGGGAAATCAAAGCTAGGAGAGGTCAAAAGAGCTAGACATGCAAAATAACACAAAGCATTTACAGCCATCTAATTGCAGCCCCTCAGTGATATGCCTAGATTCCCATTCAGTCATGGGTAAGATCAGTGGTGAAACGTAAAATTTGTTACTACCGGTTCTGTGGGCGTGGCTTGGTGGGGGGGGTAATGTGACTGGGTGGGCGTGGCCAACTTTTTTTTTAAAAAACTCTTAAAACTATTTTTTCTACAACCTCTTTGGCCGAAGAGGTTGTAAAAAAAAATGCTTTTAAAAGCCTCTGACGATCAGGCAACTCAGCTGGGATCGTCAGAGGCTTTTAAAAGCATTTTTTTCTACAACTTCTTCGGCTGAAGAGGTTGTAGAAAAAATGCTTTTAAAAGCCTCTGATGATCCCAGCTGAGCCGCGCGATCATCAAAGGCTTTTTTTTTTTACCTTTAAAAGCACTTTTTCGTCGGAAGAGGTTGTAGAAAAAATGCTTAAAAAAAAAAAGCCTCTGATGATTGCGCAGCTCAGCTGGGCATGGCGGGGGGGAGGGATTTTTGCTACTGGTTCTCCGAACCACCTGCTGTTATCGCTACCGGATTGGGTGATCCGGTCTGAACCGGGAGCATTTCACCCCTGGATAAGATGGTACCAAGAAGTAAATGATGACATCACAATGCAAGGTTCTCTTCTTGGATCTGTCTGATTGTGACATCATATGTATGTAAGGTTTACAGCTTGCATCATAGCACCTGTTTCACCTGACAAATTCTTCAGACTCTGTGGGCATGGATGATTTAACTCTTCTTAAGGCAATTTTTTTGTCAAACTTGACAACTTCAGTATGTGTGAATTCCATGGAATCATGGGAGTCAAAATTCACACACCTTAAATCCTTAGTGTTCTCTGAGTTTGATTGTTTTATTTTAGACATTTCATTACCAGAGTAGGTAACATCATCAGTGTATTTTCATTACCTAATGAAAATTACCTAATGCTAATGAAACACCTGCAAGAAAACAATCAAGCTCAGAGAGCACCAAGGTCCTCTCATTTTAACCTGAGCTACAAATATCCTCCTCTATCGATAACACATCTTAAAGTTGACAAGCTTGAAAATAAGGATTAAGTGAGTGATTCTACCTCTACCAGACATTCTGTGAGTTATCCATCCACAATCCCATCATGCTACTTTAATATATTTTAAGTTCCACTCGCATGCAGGTATTTAACCAGATTCATCATATAGGTATCCTCTGACATACGATCACAATTGAGCCCCTAATTTTTTATACTAAGCAAGGTGAATTTTGCTCTACTGTATGACCTTTTTTTTGCCATTGTTAACTGAATTATCCAGTCATTAAGTAAATGTGGCTTCTCCCATTGTCTTTGTTTGCCGGAAGCTGGCTGGGTAGGTTATAAATGGTGATCAACATAGACATGGGAAAGTGCAACTGTCATAAATACATGTCAGTTGCCAAGAGCCCAAATTTTGATTACATTACTATGGGGATGCTACAATGGTCATTAAGTGTGAAAAAAGGCCACAAGTCACTTTTTTCAGTGTGGCTATAACTTTGAAATGGTCACTAAATGTATGGTTGGAAGTCAAGGACTATCTGTAGTCCCTTCCTTGTTAGATGGACTGTCAGATATCCTGACTGGAAGTCATTTCTCTTGGCATAGTGCTTAAGAGGCCTTGATGAACTCTTTACACTGAAACAAATTGGACTGGTTTCTGGCTCGTGTTTAGTGGCATCTCCCAGCAACAAATTACAAAGTGACATTTATGCAGCCCTAGTTTGTAGTGGGAGGTAAGAAAATATTCTGCTCTCACTACAGTATAAATTGATTGAATGTGGGTAACAAGCCAGGTGCTGAATCATCAGGCTGGATTAATCAGCAGTTTGGAAACAGAGATTACAGATTCTCATGTTGCTCTTTTGATGAGCCTGACAAACTGCCTTTTCTTGGTAGATATCAGTCTAATTTAATTATACTGATGGCTACTCAATGTTTCAATAAGGCTTACAATATTAGTGACCTAAAAATAGCCTCCAAAATATATTTTGTTACATTTATAAAAGGATTTCCAAAGAACACAGCAAAAGTCTAAGTAATGAATTTTTACTGATTTATTCGTGAAATACGTTCCATGCTGCTTTTTAGCAAAGACTGCAGAGCAGCAGATGGAATTAAGAGACTAAAATGAAAAATAAATGCAATGTCAATCGATCACACAATTGAATAAGCAGAACTAAAAACCAGCAAAAGATGCAGATCAATTACCAGATAATGGACAGGCTAGAATGCCTTCAACACTAAATCAATCAACTGAATTTGACTGATGCTGGAAAATCAGCAAATTTGGGGTTAGGCAGGCTTACCTCAAAATGAAATTTCAGATATGGATTGTCAGCTTTAGAAGAGTTTCCAATGGTGAAGACAAAGGCCTATTTCATATTTCTTCATCCTATACCATGATAATTTGACACTGCATCGGTGATGGCTTGGTTTTATGCATAGACTAGATTAATATAACTGTATAGACAATATAAACTATGATTAAATTACTGGCTTAGCATTATGTGATTATTACCAACACCCAGACTAGACTTGTGTAGAAGATTGTGCTCTTTCACAAACTAGGTTTCATGCAGTTCATAATAAAGAGAAGCAACATGTAGAACTGGGCCTGAAAATGTCGGATGGAAAGTAGCTGTTTAATGTGAAGTAAGATACAATCACTATATCCAGTTTCACTTGGCAATTTGTATCCCTATTGACAATGCAAATATCTGTATAAGATGCTAACTGAAGATTCTGAAATCTGCTAAGAAAATTTTACACATATTACAGCAGTATTCATTTTGTGCCTTCTAATGACAAAATTACTACAGATTATGTTGGTTGTGTGAATCAGGAGTAAACTGGAAATATAAGTGAGATGAAGGAAGAATATGTAATCCTAGAGCCATTTGTGACCCACTTATATCAATATTAACATTACAGTATACCTTGCTGTTGTTTTCTAGCTTTAAGAACTAATGGTTCTCCCATAGCCATCTTTCAAATTGGAGCAATTGCAATTTAATTTCTCTTTACTAGCGCCTTGTAAAAGTCAGACAGGATTTGGATTAGGGGCCTAAAACTGTTAAAATCATGGAATCTGATACTACAGTATGAATATAAATTATTTTATCTGTCAAACACCTTGTATCACCATTCTCATGCCTTGCAGGCCAAACACTAACTTTTATTTTTTTGAAGTATCATGTGTACAGACGAGAATGCTTGTAAGAAACTATCTAAGAGACCTCAAAAATGTCCTGTCAGTAAAGGCTGACACCATAATCCACCGATAATCCATCAATAATCTCCAACCCTGAATTTTCAGATACATTAACCTCTAGGGTTAACCATTATAAATGGGAAGAAAATCCATTTGTGTTACAACCTATTTGGTCCTCACTTAGCCTCCCTTGCATTCTCTCCCTGACAAGTGTTCAGCTTAAATACTTCCTGAACTACCCCATCAAAACAAAACAAGAAATTATTGCAGTCAGTCAAGTCCTCCTTTATGCCAGCCTCAGTGTTTGAATTGGTATACAATTTATACCGTGTTTGAATTGAATTGACGGAAAAAAGAGAAAGAAAATATTCAATGTGGACAGATAGGATTAAAAAAAGTAATAAAATAGGCTTTAATAAACTATGTTACTATGGGAAACAAGCCAATTTGTCTATGGGGTCACCTGGATTTGAATCCGATGATGTTCGTCCATTGTGTTCGAAGAGGACCTTGACATCTAATAGGTTGTAGGCTGTCCACAATGTGTCCGCAGATGACTGGAAAGGCCTATATGGGCATAATTTGTGCCCGTATTTGAATCTGATGCCTATCTGAACTTCTTTAGAATTTTACAAATGTATGTTCCCTGCCCTGGTTATTACTGTTTTGAAAATTTTCAAAACAAACCACTTAAAAATGAGGAAAATAGGAGGAAAGAGTGTTAGATATATCCACTGACTTGAATTATTTATAAAAATAATGGCAGAATATATTTTTTTAAAAAAACCTGTAAATTGTGATGACATGTCACAAACTTGTATCCAACAGGGGGCGATAGCATCCATCCAATAAGTAGAACCAAAATGTTTGCAAAGAATGCAGATTTTGCTTTTAAAAATGTTATGCACAATCTGAAAACCAAATTGAATGATCTCCCAATTAGAAAAGGTAGAATTATTTAATCTGTAAAAGGCAACTGCGCTCCATAAATTTAAATAAGTTTGGTGGTCAGTATAAATAGGTAAAACATTCACACACCAGTTTGCTGCTTTGGACAACTAGCTGAAATGCCAAACCAGTATTAAAATTTGAGTTGATCTTCATGGAAAAAGGCATTTACTGGCATGTGAAACCTAGATAAGAATAAAAGCATTCCATCAGAAAATGATAGAAAACAAGCAGTCTTTTATTATTCCAAATGTATTTCAATTCAGGGTATACCAAATATTTCATAATTATATACAAATGTCCAGGTAAGAATTTCATCTATCTCTAAATGGTGAATCAGTTTATAACTCAAGTGTGTATCTAAACCCATGCAACCAGGTGAATCATGGTTCAGTTACTCATGTTTACCATGCTCTATGAACATGTTTATGCTGAACAGGTTACTCAAAGTGATTAATCCATGTTGCCAATGCTTTCTCCACAATTCTGATATTAGAGGCAGTCTGGTTTTCATAATTATTTGCTGCCATTTCATAGTTCAATTTCTCATGATCTCCTACCTTTGCAGAAAAACACAAAATCAACCCAACCAGATGAGAGTCAGTGGCAGGTAAAAGATGTCCCTACCTTTACACACTGAGAGAATACATTGGGGGGGAAAAGGGGGAGGCAGTAATGATTATATTTTCCCTGAAGGACAAATATTTCTAGAAGTGGTTCCTTATAAAGAAGTAACATTTCACAATACTAATTTTTCAGAAATTATGAAAAAGAAAATCTAGCTCTCCCTGTTTTAAGCTTCCTCAAGGTCAGAGAACCAGAGATATCTTGCTTAGGATTATCGCATTCAGACTAATCAACATTTTCCCAGCAATGTCACTCCTGCACTTCCCACATTGAATGCTTTCCCAGCCAAAACAGATTCGGAATAACTTGGGAGATCCAATGCTATGGGAATGGGGAACTTTGGTTTCTTCACAGCCAAGAAACAATCAAATATATTTAATAATAATAACAGGAACAGGAAGAGTTGGAAGGGACCTTGGAGGTCATCTAGCCCAACCCTCTGCTCATGCAGGAGACCTATATTAGTGATTCGAACCACCAAACCTTTCTGATCGACAAGCTCAGCGTCTTAGCCACTGAGCCACCTAGCCAGGTTATTTAACCAGGAGCTTCTTATTAGAAGAGCTTATAATTGAAGAAAACTGTATTAGATGTGACCAATCCTTGTGTGACTTGTGGTCAGTCGCATTCTCTCAGCCAAACCTACCTCACAGAATTTTCTTGTTTGAAAAAAGTAGAGAGATATAGACACTACCTCCAGCATCTAGAAGAAAGTCCTTCAGAGAAAATGTAATCATTATGGCCTCTCTCTTTTTGTCAATGCATTCTCTCAGTGTGTAAAGGTAAGGACATCTTTTGTCTGTCATTGATACTTATCTTGAGTATCTAATGCCCCTCAGTTCAGATTTGTTCTTGATATACACATGCAAAATTGCATGCACACTGCATGGAATTTGAGGCAATGTCGATAAGCCTGGGTATACTTCTCACAAAAGCTGGTTATTTTGAAGTCCTTGCTAGAAATCAGAAAGCTGAAGAAGGAAGAATAATATGGTTATATGGTATTATTTCTCTTTCTTCTCCTTTGAGGTCCTTTCATTAAGAATTAGGGAAGAAAAGAAAAAAAGTAATCAGACAAGACGAACAAGGTTCTGTTCTTACCCATCAACCTCTGAGTCACTCTCTTCAGCTTTCTGTGGTAGCCTTTTAATGCTAATGATTAAGTCAACACTAAGCAACTGAGCTGCACACTGAAGCACTGAAGCTACTAAGTGGTATTTACAAGAAATTGATTCTAGAAGCTTTTGATTTGGCAGAAGCTGCTGATTGCTTTTGAGGGCACTGGTAACTTGGAGACAGAGCTGAGGAAAGGCATTCCTTTTTCGTGTCATGCAGAGTGTTTTTGGAATACTTAGCAATACATCAGCAAGTATAGAACAAATGATGGATGCATTTGAGGACTGGCATTGTTTTGCATAGTTAGATAGATAGTAATGTAACAGGATTTCAAAGAGTCCTCCTACTGGCAGAACTGATCCCAGTTCTATGCAAGAGTCAGAGTAATTCTGATTACCCCTTTGATCATTCTCCTCATATTTAAGCAGCCTGGCACAACTGGCAGTAGTAACTTGCAGCTGTACATTTTTATCGACTGCATTAAAAGCAGGCTGTTTATCTTCAAGAAGTTCGTTCTCAGTCATTTGCAACCTTTTTTTTGGAAATTTGGGTTTTAAAGAAGCCGTTTGACAGCCAACTAAGTCATCGTCCCTTTTCTGGAATAATGAGCTCTTAATACCATGCATCAAATCAACAGAAGGCATGACTATGGTTGAAGAATTATAACTGGATGAATGCAGTAACTTTTCATCTACTACAGAAAAAGATGCAGTGTGTTTCTCCATTTTAAGCCCACAAGGTGTAAGATGCTTGGTGTTGGTTTGAAGTTTTCTCCAATCATTGTGTTCCTGAAATAATGGCTGATTGGGAGATGAATGTGGCTGAGTTTTATTCAGATTATTTAGAAGACCGTGATTTTCCAATTCTGAGTCACAATTCTGAGGAAGATGAATTGCTGTAAACATTTGTTGTAGCATTTTGAATGCTTCACGAAAAGCAGAAGCGTGTTGCTCCGTAACTCCATGTACTGGTCCACAGAGAATCACGCAATAAAGCTGGATGGTAGAGGTTTTCGCAAAGCCAATGTGAACAAACCTTTTGGTTCCAAGGTGGAAGGGCTGGCAAAATTTGGCTACAGCTGTTTGAGTGATTTCATGGTTAATATTATCCAAAGATGGTTTGAAAGGTGAAATTCCGGTAATCTTGCAAATAAGAGAGATTTCCTCTGTTAACAAGCAATCTACAATAGATATACCATTATTTTTGCCATAGCAATGAACAATATCATGCTGTTTTACACCTGATAGTATTACTTTGATGTCATTATCTTGTATGTGCTGTAGAAGGGTTTTGGTTCTTTTTGTAATCCAGATTTCTGATGCCTTGAATTGACCTTCAGCAGTTATGACAACTTCTATACCCAACTCAGAGAGAGAGGAGTGAATAGGTTCTGTTATTATTATAATTCTTTTATCACCATCTGCAGGACAGTATATGGCAAAGTCTCTGTGAAGTAGTAAGCCATCTAGGATCCTGGAATCTGAAAAAGGAAGGCCTGTCACAGTGGTATGCAGTTCTGTAAAACATTCATTCACCAAGTATAATGCCTCATTCTGATTTTTACCCGCTGTAACTTTGAAGTAAAAATCACATGTCAAATGAGTTAGAAACTTTTGTCTGTTACTTCCTACTTTTCCACAAAAATAAGGTTCTAACACTAATTCCATATTCCGTCTTGTATCTGAATCAGAAGCAGAAAAGATTGACCAAAAATGTTTCTTAAGGTCCTGTGTCATTATATGGTCCAGGATGTTTGTTTGGATCTTCACAAGAAACTGGGAAATGTGTTTCAAACTGCAATATTTCCCTTGATCTCTTTTATTAAGCTTTTCAAACTGTTGTAGTAAATCAGAGAGTAGAATGATAAAGGTTTTAGCGCCATCTCCAAACAAATTGCAGTGTGTAGAAATGCATGCTATCATAATTCTGTCAAAACCAAAGAAACCAATTGTTAACATAAAAAACTGTTTATTTCAAACATCTAAAGTATCTAAAACTCTCCAATTTCTGCCCAAAAGACAGTTCTTGACAAGACCCACATATATCTATAAAAGACTGCTAAACACAATTATCTTGTTTACATATGAATCTTCATGCTATAATTTCATGCACAAGCTGAAATGAATCATTTTAAGCATATATGCCTTTGAAAAGTTTGATTTGTTTGGAACTAGCAGAGATTATGCAGAAAAACAGATTTTGAGGAGTTGTTGAATAATTAAATAAGAATTTAAATATAAGATTTCATTCAAGACAGCAGGGTGGGCTTGGAAAAGCAGGTAATCAAATATTTGGCAACAATTATTAGCATTCATGGGAAGCATGATTTCCTAGATTGCTTTAGTTTAGCAATATACAGTATGTCATAGAAGTGAGTACATCCCCTCACATTTTGTAAATATTTAATTATATCTTTTTATGTGACAACACTGAAGAAATGACAATGTAAAGTAGTGAGTATACAGCTTGTATAACAATGTAAATGTGTTGTCTTCTCAAAATAACGCAACACACAGCCATTAATGTCTAAACTGCTGGCAACAAAAGTGAGTACACCTCTAAGTGATAATGTCCAAATGGGCCCCAACTAGCTGTTTTCCCTCCCTGGTGTCATGTGATGTGTTAGTGTTACAAGGTCTCAGGTGTGAAGGAGGAGCAGGTGTGTTAAATTTGGTGTTATCGCTCTCACCCTCTCATACTGGTCACTGGAAGTTCAACATGGCACCTCATGGCAATGAACTCTCTGAGGATCTGAAAAAATGAATTGTTGCTCTACATAAAGAGGGCCTAGGGGTGGGGGCCAGCCTGTCAGTGCTCAGACCATATGCTGCACGCTGCATTAAATTGGTCTGCAGGGCTGTCGTCCCAGAATGAAGCTTCTTCTAAAGATGATGCACAAGAAAGCCCGCAAATGGTTTGCTCCAGACAAGCAGACTTAGGACATGGATTCCTGGAACCATATCCTGTGGTTCAATGAGACCAAGATAAACTTATCTGGTTCAGATGTTGTCAAGCGTGTGTGGTGGAAACCAGGTGAGGTGTATAAAGACAAGTGTGTCTTACCTATAGTCAAGCATGGTGGTGGGAATGTCATGGTCTGGGGCTGCATGAGTGCTGCTGGCACTGGGAAGCTACAGTTCATTGAGGGAATTATGAATGCCAACATGTACTGTGATATACTGAAGCAGAGCATGATCCCCTCCTTTCAGAGACTGGGCCGCAGGGCAGTATTCCAACATGATAACAACCCCAAACACACCTCCAAAATGACCACTGTCTTGCTAAAGAAGCTGAGAGTAAAGGTGATGGACTGCCCAAGCATGTCTCCAGACCTAAACCCTATTGAGCATCTGTGGGGCATCCTGAAACAGAATGTGGAGGTGTGCAAGATCTCTAACATCCACCAGCTCCATGACGTTGTCATGGAGGAGTGGAAGAGGACTCCAGTGGGAACCTGTGAAGCTCTAGTGAACTCTATGCCCATGTTGTGACCTAGGCTTACTGAGTCACTACAAGACACAATTAGTCCCAAACAAACCTATTTTATTATAACAGCTGAGAATTATGTTCATTCCCAGCTGAGTCCCAATTAGTTGCAAAACAAGTCCTTCGGAAGAAGTCCTTCGGGATAATCACCAACCTTTAACTTCTTTGACACCCTGCCAAAGGCCCATGAAGTTCAGAAACAAACAAGAGATGCTGACTGGAAACAAGAGTTAGCAATGTTGCTTTCCTGCAAAAGGCCCAAGTGCCTTTGTTTTTCTTTGAAGCCTTATGGGAGGGGCCAATCATCTCCTGGCCTTACTCCCAAGTCGTCCTTTTTGCTTTAGCTGCTCTTGCCTTCTGGCAGCTCTGCGCATGCGTGCACTAGGAACAGGCTCCTCCTGTTCCTCTGCCTCTCTGCTGTCTGATTCTTGGGGTCCAGAGTCCGCACATCACTCCCAGATGGCCCTGGCCCCATCTCTGCCTCTGACGCAGAGCCCTCGTCTGGGCCTTCCCCAGACTCTAGAACTGGCCCATGTTCATCCACAGCCTCCTCACTGTCCGACTTCGCTGCCAGCTCTGCAGGCTGCTGGCGGACCACAACAACTCAAGAGGGTTAAGGCAGTGCTGAAAAAAAATGGTGGCCACACAAAATATTGACACTTTGGGCCCCAATTGGACATTATCACTTAGGGGTATGCTCACTTTTGTTGCCAGCAGTTTAGACATTAATGGCTGTGTGTTGTGTTATTTTGAGGGGAAAGCACATTTACACTGTTATACAAGCTGTATACTCACTACTTTACATTGTAGCCAAGTGTCATTTCTTCAGTGTTGTCACATGAAAAGATATACTTAAATATTTACAAAATGTGAGGGGGGTGTACTCACGTCTGTGACATACTGTATGCAGCCCAAAGGCTGTTCTGCTGGGTAGAAATAATAGCAACAATGACAATACTGCAAAGTCCTCAATCAAATATATAATGTACAAGAAGGTCTTTGTGTTCCCGTTGATGGCATTTCCAGGTCTTTGAATAGCTGCAAAGCTGCTAGCGTGGTAAATTAGTTTTTTTTTTTACTATAATACATTAATTTTTGTTATTCATATTTGAATGCTATCTAAAATCCTATGGAATTAAGCAGCTATAAATTATATTAAGACAATAAATAAACAATACAATATAGTTCAACACTGTTCTAACAAAATATTTTCTATATTAGCCAGAGTCGCTTGAGAGAAAGCATATAAAATAAATAAATAAATAAATAAATAAATAAATAAAATTGATACACACATACATTTGGAGTCTTTTGCTTTAGTTAAAAAAGATGACTAAGAAAAAATAGAACGCTCTTACAATTTTTGCCTCAGGCAAGCGTGAAATTATAGGTAATAACTACACCTAGTATTAAGCTTCCTCCATGAGAAAGGAAGAAGTCAAGTTCTGTCTTGTAAGTAGAGATGGTGAAATTACTTTTATGTCAGCTCAATCTCTAGAGCTGGATCTTGTATGACAACATTTCTTGCTTTTGAGCAGGAAAGATTAGTTTGTGTGAGTACATGTTATATTGCTCAGTGGCCCTTTCACCATGTAATGATAAATCTCATCTTTCTTTCCATCTTCGGAGGCAGAATATTTATTGGTTTGATTTATACGCCGCCCTTCTCCGGAGACTCAGGGTGGCTTACAATGCGTTAAGCAATAGCCTTCATACTTTTGTATATACCTGCTTAGTAGGGCTTTTGGCCCCCCTAAGCAGTGTTCTTTTTTATACAAAGTCAGCTTATTTCCCCCACAATCCGGGTCCTCATTTTACCTACCTCGGAAAGATGGAAGTCTAAATCAACCTTGAGCCTGGTGAGATTTGAACTCGCAGTAATTGCAGGCAGCTGGCAGCTAAGTACTACTTAACAGCACTTTAGTCCGCTGACCACCAAGGCAGAATAATGTATTTTAGATCTATATATCTCCACGAGAGTGGTAAAAATAAAAAAATTAATAAAGAATTGTGAAGTTGTTGGTGCTCTGAGCTTATTTTTTATTCACAGGCTTTTATTACCCAACTAGATAACATCATTACTGCTGATGATTCAGTTTTGAGCTATATATATTCTTTTCTATTAATAAAGAATATAAAAACAAAAAGCCTTTGTTTATTGAAAATATTCTTTTCTCATTGGTGTGAAGCAATCCTTCCAAGGGTTTGCTTCTAAGACAAAGGGCGGTTAAGAAATATGGAATATAAATAAATAAAATATATTACTACCTGGGTTTATTATCTTATTTTCCTATTGCGATTGTATGAGTATTTATGGCTTTGTGTTTATTGTATGATTGCAGCAGCACAGGAACAGTGTAAAATAAATGATGCTCAAACAAGACACTAAATGTGAACTCCTAGCTCATATCGCATATTCACTGTGATTCAGTTAATTGATTTACTCAGCTAAAGTTTCTAGGTTGCATGGCATAATCTTATTTGACCCTGCTTTATTAACCATGTTCAATCACATAAAAATAAGTTTCATAAAGAATATAGTGTACTTTATATACTTGGGTTGCATACTAAAAATGATTCCTATGTGACCGAAAAGGACTAGTGAATCAGATTCAATTAATAGGCAAACATTTCATTTGCATGGTATGAGACATATCGGTAATCTAGTCCCAGGTTTGCATCACAGGAGAGGATAAAATGTGGTTAGCTAATTCTGGTCCAGAACTCAGCTGAAACTAAAATAACAACAATACTGCAAAAATGATTTGCTGGTTTTGGCTTAACTTGAATCATTTATAAATCATAATTTGTGATACAAAGAGCAGGGGAAAGAAAGGCTCAGCATCCCCTGACCTTCAGGTGCTACACATTTCAAAGCAGGATGAGGGAAGAGCAATTTCCCTGGTCCTATTTGAACTCTCAACAACTTTCAATGCCACTGGGTGTAGTATCCTTCTAGACCAGGGTTGTCATGCGCAGGCCACGCCCACCCTAGCTCCGTGACTAGGGAAAATCATTGCAAAATGTCACATGACGGCAACGTGACACAGCGAGTTTGACACCCATGTTCTAGACCAGTGGTCCCCAACCCCCGGTCCGCGGACCGGTGCCGGGCCGTGGAGTACCTGGCACCGGGCCGCGCAGCGGCCGGGGGACATGAACGCTGCAGCGCAAAGGCTCCTGGGCCGTGCGCAAAAGCTCCTGGGCCGTGCGCAAAGGCTCCAGGGAAGAGAGCCCCGCGCAGGTACGCACGTGTGGCCCAAAGACCCCACCCCTGCGCGCGCTCAGCGGGCCACGGTAAAATTATCAAAGGCTGATTGGTCCGCGGCGATAAAAAGGTTGGGGACCACTGTTCTAGACCATCTCTGGTGGACTGGAATGGGGGATATTTTCTTACAGATGCTCTTCTCTGCCTTGAAGGTGAGTTACAGCCAAAGGAGGGACTATCCCCTCCCAAATTCAGGTCTTGCTTGATGAGAAGGCAACTCTCACAAGAAGGGCTTTTGCAAAGCTATACCTAGTATGTCAACAGTGGCCATTCTTGGATCGGGAAGCTTTGCTCATAATCTCTCACACCCTAATCATCTCCCAATTGGTTTACAGTAGTGAGTTCTATATAGAGTTGTCCATAAAGAACATTTGGAAGTACTATCCCAGGCAGTGATGGGAGATACCTGGGATCATCTACCGGCTTCTGGCAAGATTCAAGATAACAAGTTTCCCTTTGATGGCCCTACATGACTTTGATCTGATCATTTAGCCTATGGGTATTCTCTGGCTCAACTCACTCCTGGCCCCATCCTTACACAACTGCCCTCTGATGGAACTTTTTTCTATATCTTTCCCCCCACACTTTCCAACTAGGAAGTTGAAATCCTGAAAAGATCAGATTTTTCTAACCATCCTGAACTTCGGGAAATCTGACAAAGCCTTTCTGGAGGGGGGCACGCTATGCCTGAAGATAGGGTTCACCACTGCATGGCTTTTGTACTTAATGGTTTCGTACTTGTTTATTTTGATACTTTTATGACCATTTGGGGTTTTACAGATAGTCCTCGACTTACGACCACAATTGAGCCCACATTTTTTGTTGCTAAGTGAAACTGTTAAGTGAGTTTTGCCTCATTTTACGACCTTTCCTGCCACAGTTTTTAAGGGAATCCCTGCACGTGTTAAGTTAGTAACATGGTTGTTAAGTGAATCTGGTTTGTCCCCATTGACCTGGCTTGTCAGAAAGTCGCAAAAGGGGATCACATGACTCCCGGGACACTGCAACCGTCATAAATATGAACCAGCTGCCAAGCATCCTAATTTTGATCCTGTGACCACAGGGACGCTTCAACGGCCGTGTGAAAAATGGTCGTCCCTTTTTTGTGCCGTTGTAACTTTGAACGGTCACTAAATGAACTATTGTAAATTGAGGATTACCTGTATTTTCTTTGTTTTTATTTATGTATTCATTCATTCATTTATTTATATTTATTTATTTTGTCAAGCATGTATGAGAAAATAAGTATAAGTATAAACATAATATAAACATATAAGTATAAACATGTATAAGCATAAGAAATGAGTACGAATAAATGGGAACAGTAGGACAGGGATGGAAGGCACACTGGTGCGCTTATGCACGCCCCTTAAAGACCTCTTAAGAATGGGGTGAGGTAAACAGTAGACAGTTTAAGGTTAAAGTTTTGGGGGTTTGGGGAAGAAACCACAGAGTGCATTCCAGGCATTAGCAACTCTGTTGCTGAAGTCATATTTTCTGCAATCGAGTTTGGAGCGGTTTACCTTAAGTTTGTATCTATTTTTTTTTTTTTAATTTGATTTATATGCCACCCTTCTCTGGAGACTCAGGGCGGTTTACAATGCGTTAAGCTGAAACTTGCAGTTTCAACTTGCGGTTGAAACTGAAGTAGTGATTGATAGGTAGGATGTTGTAGCAGATAATTTTGTGTACTAAGATTAGATCAGACTGTAGGCGGCATAGTTCTAGGTTGTCCAGGCCCAAAATTTCAATCCTGGCGGCATAAGATATTCTATTGCGAGAAGAGGACTGGAGTAATCTTCTCATGAAATATTTCTGGACTCGCTCAATTGTATTAATGTCCGATATACAGTGTGGATTCCAGGCAGACGAGCTGCATTTGAGAATTGGTCTGGCAAAGTTTTTATATGCCCTGGTTAATAGTATACATATTATAGATTTTATATATAATATAATACAGTTATAATACCGTATTCTATTTTAGGAGGAGACCTTGACTTCAGAACTGGACGATCGATCACTGAAACAAGAAAATCAATAAAAAATAAATAAATAACCCTCGTCGTCTCCTGTTTCTGTAGTATGCTCAGCCCAAGCCCCAGGCCAGTCTCTCCGCTCCCCCGCGGACCGCAAAGGGAACCTAGGCCACAAATTCGATCCGAAAGCGGCTACCTGGCCGTTGGCGAGTCCACATTCAGGGCCTCCAGCACACGCCGTCCGTCTCGGGAAAGCAGGACCTCCCCCGTGGGGCGGGTGAGCAGAACCTGTCCTCCATGAGGGCCGAGAGACCCGCGGACGGCCCCCGCCAGGGCCGCGGCCTCCTGGGCCAAGCGCCCCAATTCCAGGCGCGCCGCGGTCGCCATGGCAACGGCGGCCCGACCTGGTCCAGACGAAGGGCGAGAGACCCGCTGAGTGACGTCACCGCCCTCCGCGCTCGTAATTGGTGGGACACGGAACCATTCGGCGGAGTTGATTGGTGGAGTTTAAACTATTTGGTGTTTTTTTTTTTCGGTTTAATCCGCCAGAGCGTGGCTGCTCGTGGAGGGCGTCAAAGCCTCTGTGAGGCACAACACCTTCCCCTTTTTCAGGAATAATGTTTTGTGTGTGTGTGTGTGTGGAAGGTTTTCCTCACCTATATAGGAGCCGTTTTCGAGAACGGCTTCAGTAAATATCCTCCTCTCTTGCCCTTCCCTCCACGTTCCTTTAAAAATGATACTGGGGAAGAACATCTTTCAACAAATCCCGAAATACCCTGAGGCGATTTTCGGAGGACCGCATTCCCACCCAGCCCCCACCCCCCGTGAAGTTCAAGCCCTTTCGAGGGGTTTCGCTGCCTTGCTGCACGAGAGGGGGGATTGCCAAGCGCGAGCCTCCGTCCCCATGACAACCAAGCAGCCCTCCGCTCGCGCGCTCCCAACGTCACATCGCACTAGGCTCCTGAGGAACGGCTAACCCCGCCTCTTCCCCCTTCCCATTGGCCGGAGCTTCATAAGGCCATCTCGGCATAGCGCCACCGATTGGCCAGGCGGGGCTGAGCCGCGAAGAGCGCGGCGCGCCAGAGGAGTTTGGAAAGGCGATGGGTGATTAGCATAAACTCCTCCCCTCTTCTCATATGGCCTCCGCGCTGCCCCTCCTTCTCCCGGTCTCTGCAGCGCGATCCTTCGCCGGCTTCACCTGGAATATCCTCGGCCGGCCGGCGCATCTTCGTTGCGGGGAGGCGGTTGGGAGCCCGTGCGAGCCCTACGAAGGAAGACGACGAGCCTTGACGAGATCTTCTCCTTCTCCTGTTTTGGGGTGGGGTGGGGTGGAGAAAAAGGGGGCGCAACCTCATCCTCGAGCAACGGACAGAAGACGCAAATCGCCTTTTCTGCTTGTCCCGTTTGGGCTTTTTGGGGGCGCATCGGAGAGGGGGGGGGGGAAGGGAAGCTCGAGAAACCCCCCCAGCCTCGTCTTCTCATTCATCCTTCTGTAGATGTAGGTATTTTAAAACCTCTACCTGGCTGGGTCATCTGCGGGCTTGCCTTCCTATCCATTCCTATAAATGCGGGCTTGTTTTCCCTTCCATCCCCAGTTTTGGACTACCTTTCCATCATCCCCAGCCCTCGCGGTCAGGAACCTGAATGGGACCAGCCCAGGGGGAGAACCTATGGAAAGTAACCAAATGCTTTCCATCGTGGCCAGAGGTCTGGCCCCTCACCTGGTTTGAATGACAGCTGTTCTACTTTTTTTGTTTTTGTTTTTAAATCAGTTCTCTTTTTTTCTTTCTTTCAGGATCTTTTAAAGTATTTCGAAAGAAGAAGGGGAAAACCCATCACCATGGACTGCAGCACTTTTCTCATACTGGCTTGACTGGATGTTTTACTTTCTTAAACAAGCATGGGGACAGGCAGGTTATTTTAGCTGCCACTCTTGATGAATGAAGGGTCAGGTGCCCTAAAATTTATATATAGATATATCCAGCCCTACAGACTGTTCAACAGTAAGAAATAAGTGAACTTGAGGTACATCCATTATTTTGACAGAGTATCTGCATTCAGATATTGGTGGGTGGGTGGGGGGGGTTGTGACCAAAAAGGAATTTTGAATCAAATGCATGGTACAACAACAAAAACAATTAGGATAAGGTGAATGAGCCTTATACGTACCGGTAATTGCAGTTTATGGGCATATGCGAAGGAGTTTTGCGAGAACGTGGTGGAAGAAGTTTCTAGCTTTCTGTTTATACTGTGTCATAAACACCTACAGTGTTCTTATTTGACCAAACTAGGATCCGTGAAAGCTATGTTTCCTCAAACTATCCTTTGATTTAGGAAAGGTAACAAGAATCTTCTTTATTCTTAAGCAAAACTGTATTTGACAGTATTCTTCATAGCCTCTGCTAAAACAATTGTTGGAAAGCTTGCCCTAAATGGCATACTGTAGTTTTGTACAGTACATAGTTACACATATTGTTCCATACTTAGTTTAGACTGTGGCTAGCATCTCGAGTGGAGTAGGACAGCTTTGTGTCACAAAATGGTTCTTCACAAAAGCCAGCGCTCGTGCAAACGCCTTGAAGTTTCCTGACTGCTTTGACATCATATACGTGCCTTTTTTTTTTTCTTGGTGTTTATAAAATCTTTTAAACAATTTTGTACATCTTTGGACATAAAAAAAACAGAACACTCACAATGTGGACTTTTCTGGGCATTGCTTCCTTTATCTACGTCTACAAAAAATGTGGAGATTTGCTAAGTTATGCTAACAAGGAGGTGCTTATTTCCACCGTGGTGTTTTTTTCTCTTGGCTTGATGCTCTCGTATTGGTACCGATCGTGGGGACCTCAACAGCAAAATAAGCAGCAACCTCATTGTGGAATGTTTTCCAATTTCCTTGCTGCCTTGCCATTTGTTGGCTTTTTCTGGACTAAATCCCACACTGATTCCATAGAGAAACTGCAGCTGAAGACCAGAAAGGTATGCTCTATTTTAGTTGAATAGTTTAAAAGAGAATAGTCTTGCTTTTTTTTTTAATTTGGGAATTGACAAAATACATAAGATGGCTGTGAAAACACTATTACAAATTTGTGTTCCAGGAGGCTTCTCATGAATTTTACTGCAAAATTAAAATTGAAGGAACCTCATCAGTTTTTAGATGATTTTACTGCTATAGAAGTGTTCGCTTGCATAAAAAACTCAGCTTTGAAATTTTATCTTGAATTTACAGAATGTGTCTCAATTATATAATTCTAGGATTTCAGATCCCAGCCAATTATTTCAGCTTGCTGGGACGAGGGCTACAACTATGAAATAACAGGCATATTCTTTCGAAATTTCAGTTATGCACACAAAGCAGCTACAGTACTAGACTACCTATTTAAATTCACCTGCAAGTAAGTCCCCTTGGTTGAATTTGCCACAAAGTAATCACATTTTAACAGTGTGTTTTCAATTATCATTCAATATCATGTATTGCATCATTTTAGTAAATTATGGTTACATAAACCATGTATGTTTGTGTGTGAACACTGCCAGTGTTTGGATCTAAATTGGGGGTGTCAAACCCGTGGCCCATGAGCCGGATGTGTCACATGCTGGCCCCGCCCGGTTTAGTAAAGGGGAAAAAAGTCCCGATATGTGACGCTGCTATGACGACACGAGTTTGACACCCCTGATCTAAATCTAGCCCAGTTTTTCCCAATGTGATTTTCTCCAGATCATCTAAGTCCTAGGATGACAATTCTTGGAAAAAGATATTGTTGCTGGGAACTTTAGAAGCTGTCCCAAGATATTTGAAGGCAGAAGGATGGAAGAGACAATGTGATTCACGCATTATTTAATTTAACATAAACCTTCCCTCAATCTCTTGGTTTCTAATTTTCAGTATACACTGTGTTTGTTAGTTATGGATGATGGGAATTGCAAGGTGGCCCAATTGGTTAGTGCTGGAGAAACAGAAAGTCCCATGTACAGGTAGCCCTTGACTTATAACCACTCGTTTAATGACTGTTCATAATTACAACAACTTTATGAGTGTTGCATCAGACCCATGGTCACATGACCAAAATTTGGGCACTTGGCAACTGGCATGTATTTATGATCCCCATTTGTGACCTTCTCAGCTGGCTTCTGTTCTGACAAAAGTTAATGGGGGAAACTGGATTCGGTTAACAACTGCTCAATTCATTTAACAACTGCAGTGATTTGCTTAACAACTGTGCAAAAGTTGTAAAATTGAACACGGCTTACTTAATAACCGTCTTGCTTAGCAAGAGAAATTCTGGTCCCAATTATGACTGTAAGTACCTGTACTGTCATGATACCTCTAAGTGAAGAATTCTTGGACAGCAGAGGTGAAAATCACCTGTTCAAAGGTACATGTAAGCATAATTCATCATAGTTGTCAATGGGCTCTTCTTGTATATTCATGATATGGATGTGCCAGAGCTGGAATGTGCAACTGTTGCCGTAAGAGCAATGAGACCATCCACAGACTAGAACAGTGGCTCTCAAAATTTAGTCTGGGGAGCCCTAGAGATCTGTAAAGTCAAACAAATAAATATTGTAAGTTTCTTTAGTTTTAATTTTAGTTTTAAAAGTTCATGTTCTACCCATGGGTGCTTTGGATAATAGCTTGACTCCCTCTTCTTTGTGGCAACCCCTGAGATATGGGAACACTGCTATCATGTCTCCTGTAGTCCTTTTTTTCATTAAACTAGACATACCCAATTCCTGCAACCGTTCTTCATATGTTCCTGCCTCCAGTCCCCTAATCATCTTTGTTGCTCTTCTCTGCACTCTTTCTAGAGTCTCAACATCTTTTTTACATTGTGGAGACCAAAACTGAATGCAATATTCCAAGTGTGGCCTTACGAAGTGGTATTAACACTTCACATGATTCTATCCCTCTGTTTATGCAGTTTAGGACTGTGTTGGCTTTTTTGGCAGCTGCTGCACACATGCTGGCTCATATTTAAATGGTTGTCCACTAGGACTCCAAGATCCCTCTCACAGTTACTACTATTGAGCAAGGTACCACATATACTGTACCTGTGCATTTTGTTTTTCTTGCCTAAATGTAGAACCTTAACTTTTTTCACTGTTGTATTTCATTTTGTTAGATAGCGTCCAATGTTCAAGTCTGTCACGATCCTTTCGTATCTTAAGCCTATCTTCTGGAGTGTTGGCTATTCCTGCCAGTTTGGCATCAATCTGCAAATTTGATGAGTTCCCCATATATCCCCTCGTCCAACTCATTGATGAAGTTGTTGAAGAGTACTGGGCCTAAAACAGAGCCTTGGGCTACTCCACTGCATACTTCTCTCCATATAGATGCAGTTCCATTGAGGACTACACGCTGAGTGCGGTTGGTCAGCCAGTTACGAATCCATCTGGTGGTGATGCTGTCTAACCAAGATTTTTCTACTTTATCTAGTAGTAGGCTATGGTCTACTTTATCAAATGCCTTACTGAAGTCCAAGTAAATTATATCAACAGTATTCCTCTGGTCCACTAATTTTGTCATTTTGTCAAAAAATGCAATAAGATTAATTTGTCATGATCTGTTTTTGACGAAGCCATGTTGGCTTTTGGTTATTACTTTGTTTGCTTCTAGGTGTTCGCTGATTCATTGCTTAGTTATCTTTTCCAGAATCTTCCCTAGTATTGAGGTCAGGCTGATAGGTCTGTAGTTTCCTGGATCTATTTTTTCCTCTTTTTTGAAGATGGGAACTACATCAGCTCTTTTCCAATCCATGTAGTAAATATTGATAACTACAAGCCATATAAACCAAAGCTCTTTGGGGTCCTCAATTATTTTTGAGAATGTAAAGGGGTCCCGGGATCAAAATGTTCAAGAAGCACTGGACTAGACTTTTTTTTTTCTTTTAATGATCCTCTAATCCCTTTTATTGGGGTGGAGTTAGAGTGACTGAATGGAGCTGAGCATTTACTAGCCAGGTGCCCTTCCTGATGCCTACCCGGAGTTCTCAGCAGATATTTTCTCTTTGCTCCCTGATAGAGAAACATCTGCTGCTGCCTAGGATTGAACTCTCCACCTCCCAAGGGGGAGGTGAGCGTCTTCACTTCGAGGCCACCGTGCCGCTCAATCTGTGGACTAGACTATAGTTAACAAAATTTGAAATACTGAATATATTTTATATTGGGTGCAAAGGCCATGGAACAATTAAAACTTGAATGAAATCTGAGGCAGTTTTTCCAACTCAACAGGCATGATTTCTTCCATTTGGTCAGCCTTAGTGTTAGTGGGGAACTTTGAAAGGAGGAGTTTATGAATTCTTAGAGCCCATAGGCCTTGGGATGGGAACCAAAGAAATAGGGTCTTCGACAATCACCACTAATGTTTTGTTTTATCTGCTACTTCTAAGGAGGCAAAAATAAAAAACGTGTTTCTCATGATTCAGCACTTTATAAGTCCATTTGTAACAAGCACAGTTTAAAGTAAATTCAGTCACTAAATTTACAATTAGTGAAGTCTACTTTTCAGTAGACTGAACACCAAACATCCATCCATCTGCAAAACACTTTAGTAACAAAATAATTTTTATTCAGGGGTGAAATCCAGCAGGTTCTGACAGGTTCTGGAGAACCGGTAGCGGAAATTTTGAGCAGTTCGGAGAACCGGCAAATTCCACCTCTGGCTGGCCCCTAGCCCCAGGAATGGAGATTTTGCAGTATCCTTCCCCTGGAGTGGGGTGGGAATGGGGATTTTGCAGTATCCTTCCCCTGGAGTGGGGTGGGAATGGGGATTTTGCAATATCCTTCCCCTGCCACGCCCACCAAGCCACGCCCACAAAACCGGTAGTAAAAAAAAAATTGGATTTCACCACTACTTGTATCTGAAGTGCTGAAAATTAATTATGGCAGGAAGCCATTTTTCACTGCTTTTGAATTTATGGAAAGGTTGCATTTTTACATGCAATCTATCTATTCTACCACTGGTTGTCCTTGGTGCAGCCACTTGTATTTTGAGTCTGCCAGGATAACTGTTTGTACCTTCTAATTGGTAAGTGGGCAAAAAAAAAAAAAGGGTTCAATTTCAAGGTTATGTTTGGTTAGAGGTTCTGGCTTACATAGAGTAGTGTGAGTATTTTAGAGTAAATGACATATGTGGTACACTAACCAGTTAGTGATGGGTTGCTATTGGTTCACCCCGGTTCGGGCGAACCAGTAGTGACGGTGGCAGGAGGTTCCGCCCATCACCCACCTGTCATCAAAAACGCTCTGTGCATGCGCAGAACCCTCTGCACATGCATAGAAGCGCAGCATGCGCACAAAGCGCACATGTGCTCCCACACGCTCCCAATAGCGAACTGGTAGCGCCGGGAATTGAAACCCACTACTGAACCAGATGTGTCAAACTGATCAAGGCTGTGCTTTTACCATTAGCAGAGAATGGTGCATCGATATGTTTAAACCTGGTAATCTAGTTTGCTCTTTATCTATGTTACTAAAAAGTTATACAAGTAGTCCTTGACCTACAACCATTCATTCAGCAACTGTTCAAAGTTACGAGGGCACTGAACAACAGGATGTTACAACTGGTCCTTGGAGTTTTGGCTGTCCTAGCATTCCCGTGGTCATATGATTGCCATCTTGGTGCTTGTCAACAGATTCACCCTTACAGTCGGTTGCACTGCTCCATGATCAGGTGATCACCATTTGAAACCTTCCTGCTGGTTTCCCCAGAAAGTCAGTGGGGAAGCTGGCAGCAAAGTTTGAGTAAGTCTTTCCCACCCCCAGTCCCTCTGTGTTTGGACCACCCCAGCCAGTTGCCTATTTCCACACACCCTTCCCATTCCTTCCTTGCACTCCTGCGCATCCTCTCCTATCTGTGTTCTCATGCGCACTCCCTTGTGCCCTCCTCAACCTTCCCCCATACCCCTCACACTGGTTTCCCCCAACCCAGCAGCAGCCATTTACTTGCCTGCAGGCCTGGGATTTACAGTTTCCTGCCAGTTTTCCCACTGACTTTGGATGTTGGAAACTGGTAGGAAACTGCCTCATCTAATGACTGGGATTTGGTTAACGTGGCAACTCGAACTGCAGGGATTGCTATTGCTAAGGGATGTGGTTGCTTGCATTGCTTAATGATGGAATTGCCATCGTAAGTCAAGGAGCACTTGTTTTGAAGCCTTTGACTAAGACATGGTGAACCATGGAGGTTAAAATCCGTGAGCACATTTGTGGATGACCGTACGGAAGAAAGATTGTAACTTGGAATGTATATAATAATGTTTATAATATTGAGCATGAATTAATGAAGACAAGGCTCTTGAATATCCTCACCTATCTCTCTGTCCTTTTGATGGCCTGCATACCTGCTGCCACTGGCTGCCATCAGGATTTTTTCATGAAAAATATTTGTGATAATAAATATTAAATATTTATAAAATAATAAATATTTATAAAATAATAAATATTTCAGGGGTGAAATCCAGCACGTTCTGACAGGTTCTGGAGAACTGGTAGCGGAAATTTTGAACAGTTCAGAGAACCGGCAGGAGTGAAATGCTCCTGGATTGGACCGGATTGCCCGATCCGGTAGCGATTTTTCCCTGTGGTTCGTCGATCCGGTAGTGATCGCCGCCCAGGTGTCATTATTTCCTGGTTTTAACCAGGGAGTAATGTTTTTTTACCTTCTGCGCATGCACAGAAGGTTTTGCACATGCACAGAAGGTGTGAGTGCGCACATGATGTGCCCGCACATGCGTGAGCGAAGTGAGCGCCCGCGCATGGAGCGTGTTCTTCCGAACCGGTAATGAAGGTAAGTAGATTTCACCCCTGCGGCAAATACCACCTCTGGCTGGCCCCAGAGCGGGGTGGGAATGGAGATTTTGCAGTATCCTTTTGCCACATCCACCAAGTCACACCATGCCCACCAAGCCACGCCCATAGAACTGGTAGTAAAAAAAATTGGATTTCACCACTGGTTTAATATTGTTATTTTTACAACATTCAATAAAGAAAAATACTCAATGAATGCTTCAATTTTCATTTTTAATACAATAAATATTGATAAAAGCTCTTTTTAAGAGTCCTCCATAATTTTTAAAAGTGGGAAGTCCTGAGAGCAAAATGTTTAAGAAATGCTGATTTGGAAAAACGTAGGATAAAGCAAAGAAGCTTGAATTTGATTGCTGGGTGTGATAAGTGTTTATATGACGGAAGTGAAGGGTGCTTGAAAGTGATGGAAACACTTACCAAATGGTTTGATCCCAAGCAGGCAAGAAAAGAATGTATGATGTTCCCATGGACGTTTAATATATTTATCACCTGACGTTTAAGGAATCCTTATGGTGTTAGAACTGTGTTGATTGGAAACATGAATATGCATGAACTTTGCTATGCAAATAAAGCCATGCTGTTGACTGAGAACCTGAACGATTTACAGCCCATTTGAGATAGGTTGAGTGTTGCATGAGAAGTACAGATTTGAAAATTAATGGAAAGATAGTTGCACTTGACAACAAAAATGGAGTGAGATTGCAAGCTGCACACAGATGATGAACAACAGAGCAAAACGAAGATCCATGAGAGAGGTGAGGTTTAGAAAAAAAAAAAACAAGGGGCAGTGTGAGATATTGCTTATGGCTTTGATGGAAGGAAAAGTGGTTTGCAAGATTAAAAGTAGAGGTTTAGTAAATGGCGATATAAATCAGTTTCAGCTGTTGCTTTTTTTATTATCTTAAGCCTTTACTTTCTCTGACATACTGTTGCTTATTCCTTTCCTTCACTCTGCCTAACATTGCTTATTTGCATGGACATAGCCCAAGGACTATTTATGTAATTATGCAATTATTTGAGGAAATAAGCTTCTAAAAGATACGTCCGATAATATGTTAGAACTCTGATGTAACCAGTTTACCTAGACTTTGAAACAGAAATATCTGGCAAAATAGTATTTGGAATTATCTGAAATAATCTACTGACCTGAGGACAGAAATTCTAAACCTGAAGAGGCGCCAGAAAAAAGAGGGGAAATTGCCAAGAATTTTACTATGCTGTTGTACAGGTGCTCTGAAAAATCTTAATTGTTGAGTGTTCAAAATCAGAAACTTCTTGGTTTCTCATATTTCATTTCAGTTCTTGGCACCCAAATGCCAAAAATGGCCTTTACATGTGCAGTGATGTGGTCCTGCATATGCTGCATTTAGATACTTGCCTCTTTTTACCTGATGCAGGTGCATAAGCCCTAAAGTTGTGAGGTAGATATTGTGGTTATCCAAATTTGTTATGTCCAAAATACCCCCTCAAATACAGCTGTTAAGTGTGACACAAAATTTAGACTGCTTTAAACTGAGTTTGAGTATAGGTAGTCCTCAACTTACAACTACAATTGTGTCCCAAATTTCTGTTGCTAAGTGAGAACATTTGTTAAATGAATTTTGCTCCGATTTATGACCTTTCTTGCCACAGTTGTTAAGTGAATCACTGTGGTTGTTAAATTAATAACACGGTTGTTAAGTGAGCCTGGTTTCCTCGTCGACTTTGCTTGTCAGACAGTGACAAAAACAGTGATCACATGACCCCAGGACACTGCAACCATCATAAATATGAGTCAGTTGCCAAGTGTCTGAATTTTGATGATGTGATGATGGGGTTGCTAAAACGGTCGTAAGTGTGAAAAACTGTCATAGGTTACTTTTTTCAGTGCTGTTGTAACTTTGAATGGTCACTAAAAGGACTGTTGCACTACTACAACTGTATTGGGAGTACCAAAATGTTTCTGGATTGTGAAAGGATTGAACGGTTGCCTGAAGAGCTCAACGGCCAGTTGAGAGCTCTTTTCATGTCCTCATTAAGTTGTCCGGCAAAGTGGTACCCATCTATCTACTCACAGCCACCTACTTTCGAACTGCTGGGTTGGCAGGAGCTGGACCTTGAGACAGGATGTCACCCCGTCCCACGGCAGCAACCGGGTCTCGAATAAGAGCCTGCCAATCGTCAGCCCAGGGTCCTAACCATTAGAGCCACTGGGCTCCCACTGAGTGTCACTAAATCTGCTGCATATTGTAAGGCCATTGTACCAGCCTAAATGCCTTTGATTTGTCTTCTTTCTGACTTAGGGTACAAGAGGAGTCATCCCTTCACCTGACAGTAGAACAGAAACCGATTCAGCTTCTACAGCCACTGCGCAACCTGATCCAGAAGTGATCATTGTGGGGGCTGGTGTACTGGGCTCTGCTCTGGCCACAGTGCTGGCCCAGGATGGTAGGAAAGTGACGGTCATTGAGCGGGATTTGAAGGAACCTGATAGGATTGTTGGAGAACTCTTACAGCCAGGAGGTTATAACACGCTAAAAGAACTGGGCCTTCAAGGTACATGAATTGCTGGTAAAAACACTTCTGTCTTCCATTCACAGATCTGGGAATTAATGCTTTAACTGCAAGTTTTTGAAACTCACTCAACAGCCCGTCAGCTGTTCTACCTCTACTTTGTATTCTTGTAATTACAGGTAGTCCTGGTCTTATGACCACAATTGAGCCCAAAATTTCTGTTGCTCAGCAAGACGTTTATTAAGTGAGTTTGGCCCCATTTTACAACTTTTCTTGCCACAGTTGTTAAGTGAATCACTGCAGTTGTTAAGTTAGTACAACAGTTGTTAAGTGAATCTGGCTTCCCCCTTGATTTTGCTTGTCAGAAGGTCGCAAAAGTTGATGACACGACCTGGGCACACTGCAACCGTCATAAATATGAGTCAGTTGCCAAATGTCTGAATTTTGATCACATGATCATGGGGAATGCTGCCATGGTCATTGTATGAAAAGGGGGTCATAAGCCCCCTTTTCAGTGTGTTGTCACTTCGCAGTCATTAAATGAACTGCTGTAAGTCGAGGACTAACTATATTACAAAAGCCAGAAAAGAAATAATACTAATAAAACTTCTCCAATTGTACAGCCTAACTTGCCTTAAATTCATGGCTCAGAATTAACACTGAAAAAAGAGAAAAATCAAAAGATGAAAAACCAAGATAGTGAAAAAAACCTGCTTGACAGAGGAAAGATTTTATAGCTAGAAGAGAAGAAACGTGGTTAAGATTGTCATTATCATTGCTTGTTGGATATTGCCCTTAATGAAGGGAAGCAAAATGTGTGATTTTTGAACATGAACAGAGTGATGTTTTCTTCTTCTTCTTCATCCCACCATCAGTTTATTCATGTTTTTCTTCCTTCTTTTCAGACCATTTAAGGTAGTCCTCGACTTACAACAGTTCATTTAGTGACCGTTCAAAGTTACAACGACACTGAAAAAAATGACTTTTGGCCATTGTTCACAATTACAATGTTGCAGTGCTCCCATCATTATGTGATCAAATTTGAGATGCTTGGCAACTGGCTCTTATTCATGACGGTTGCGGTGTCCCGAGATCATGTGATCCCCTTTTGCGACCTCACAAGAGTCAACGGGGAAGCCAGATTCACTTAACCACCGCGTTACTAACTTATCAACTGCAGTGATTCACTTAACAACTGTGGGAAGAAAGGTCATAAAATGGGGCAAAACTCACTTAACATATCTTACGTAACAGACAATTTGGGTTCAATTTTTTTTTTGCTTTAATTTATATGCCGCCCTTCTCCGGAGACTCAGGGCGGCTTACAATGCGTTAAGCAATAGCCTTCATACTTTTGTATATTTATACAAAGTCAGCTTATTGCCCCCACAATCTGGGTCCTCATTGTGCTTGTAAATCAAGGACTACCTGTACCTATAAATATTTAGATAAACATTCCCTGACATCTTTTCTATGCTATTTCCCCAAGATATTATCTTAGTCCCAGGTTACCAGTGATGCAGTTTAAGTGGTCTTTAGCTGTTCAAGTGTTAGAGGAATTTTCCAAAACTGTCCAAGATGAACTTCAAATTTGACTTTTTCACCTATTACCCTGAAGGAAAGTTAAGTGCAATAATTTGAAATAGAGGCAGTAGAGAGATAATAAGATTCAGCAAAGGAAGTACCCTCATACTCAACCAGATATAGGTAGACTTACAACTGGTTGCTTAATGACCATTCGAAGTTATGATCCACTTTCATGGCTGTTTGCAATGTCCAGCACATTATGACTTTTTTTTAAAAACCAGAAACTGACATTGATTTCTTGTTAAAAAAAACACTCCCATTGCTAACAGTAAGTTTGCTTAATGGCCATGATGTTCACTTAATGACCGCTTCGTTTTGATTTACAACGACCACAAAAAAGGTCATAAAATTGGGTGTGGTTATGTGATGACCCACTTAATGACCAGCATTAGTTAGGATCATAATTCTAGGCTCAATTATGGTTGTACATTGAGGACTATGTACTAGTCCTCAATGTACTAGAGGACTAGTGTGTGCATAAAAGTTTAAATTCTATACATTTGCTGAACTTTTATGTAAAGAAAATTTCACTCAAACAAATACAGAGAAAAGTAATTAAAATAAAACACTCTTGAAATTGCAAGGAGATCAAATTAGTCAATCCTAAAGAAAATCAACTCTGACTGTTCTTTGGAAGGACAGAAATTGAAGCTGAAGCCCAAATCCTTTGGCCACCAAATGGGAAGAGTGGGCTCCTTGGAAAAGACCCTGAAATTGGGAAAGGGCAAAAGGAGAAGGGGACAACAGAGGATGAAATGGTTAGATAGTGTCATGGTTGCAATGAACATGAATTTGGCCAAACTCTGGGAGTCAGTGGAGGACAGGGGAAGATTTCGTCCTGTGGTCCATGAGTCGGCAAAGAGTCGGAACAACATCCACAACAACAAAATGCAGAAACAAAGTTCCCCGTTCTTTCGCTTGGGTTACTCCTGGAGATAATTCCTACTATTTGCCAGAGCTGTTGTGGACATAATATATCCAAACTTAGGGACCGTAAGTCTTTTTTCTATTTCCCTGGAAATTCCCTATTTCCCTTTTAAAAGAACAATGCTTTTTTTTTCTCTATCCAGAAGTGGGGGAAAAAAAACAGATAAAATGTCTGAATTAAAGCCTACATGAAAAAAAAAAAGCATTTGAACCTGAACTTCATTCAGACTTGAATCCAAATTGGATTCAAACTCAGCCCTTGATTCCATTCAGACTGGCTGAGAGGCTGCTGTGTTATGAATCCTGACTGTATATCCCAGGGTGGGGAACTATGACAATTTTACGATCTGTGGACTTCAACTCCCAGAATTCCTGAGCTAACCATGCTGGCTCGGGAACTCTGTGCGTTGAAGTCCACAGATCGTAAAGTTGCCATAGTTGCCCAACCCTGGGCTATACATACCACCAGTCACTGCAGATATCTTAGTTTACTTTATTGATTAGCCCTTGGGCCAAGTGCAGAGTTCTAGACGCAAATTATTAAGTAAAATCTGATAAAAACAATTTAAAATGGAATTGGAATGAAATACAATAATTTAATATATAGATAAATAAAATACAATAAAATTATATTTCGGTGTCACCCCTATAACCTGGCCCAATCCATCCTACCTATGCCGAACACAACCGAACCATTTTGCTTAAGTACTGTGCTGTATTAAATGTTATTTTTGGATTCTGGCCACACATAAGGTAAGTGGTTTTGATATGGGGTCCCAATGGATCATTCGTTTAATATATAGACTAAGGTACCTGTCTGTCACCCTCTTATATAGGCAACGATCAAATAAGATGCGATCCAGGTCATCTACTCTGCTGCTGCGCAAATGCAGAGACGTCCATTGTAGGGAATAGAATGGAATCTCCCATATTTGACCGTTATTGTGTCAAGCTGTTCAAATCTCACTTGCGTAAATATCTCCCTAAGACGTTTTGGCAGTTGTAACTTTAAATAGCTGTCTATTTGAAAAGTACACTGTATATATGTGTTTTTAAGATAGCTGGCTCCTCCTAAATCTTCCTCCTTTCTCCATCCATTTATTTTGCAGATGCTGTGGAAGATATAGATGCTCATACAATAAATGGCTACATCGTTCATAACCTTGAGAACAAGGCAGAGGTTGAGATCCCTTACCCTTGCACAGCAGCCGGGCAAGTGCAGAACGGGAAAGCATTTCATCATGGACGCTTCATCATGGGTCTCCGAAGGGCAGCCATGTCAGAACCCAAGTAAGTATCATAATCTAAAATCTCAGCCCAAGTAAGTTAGGCCGCATACCTAACGGGCATCCATCTATTTTTCATTTTAAATGTGCTTTTCTTTTATTCATTGCATTTGAGAATAGTTTGGAGTTAACCAGAAGAAGCATTTTCAATATCAGTTGGATTGGTTTTTATATGTTCTGTCAGTGACACTCTTAGAAGTTAATGCGTAAACCTTTTCTGTTTTGCTGTTTGAGTCACCAGTGTTACAAAACAGGTTACTTCTGTTGAAGCCTAATTTTGTCATTTTTGGCATACCGACAGCCTGAAAACAAAGAATTAATTGTCTACATTAAAAGTACGTAAACCAGGGATGGGCAAATGTGGCCCTTTTATAACCTGTTGACTTCAAGTCCCAGAATTCCTGAGACAGCCAAGATGCACCCCTGACGTAAACTATCAGTCCAAAAAACAGATTGTATTTGAAGAGAGGGATAAGATTCGGAGTACACTTGAATTTATGCATTGCCGAAGCCCCTTAAATAAGTTGTGTCTTTTCCTGGGTTCATGTGATTGCTCTCGCAACTGCAGTGCATTCCTGGAAAAGGTTTAACGTGTTCTTACAAGTGTTATGTGAATGTTCCAGGCACTCTTAATCAAAGTTCTCTCTGCAAGTAGCATTTCTAATATCTAGAAAGAAACTTGTTAAATATGGTGGAAAGAAAAAGTGATTTATAGAAACATCTTAGGAGGACAGAGGTTGGCTTAGGCTATCAAATTAGTGCAGTATTTCTCAAGGTTGGGCATTTTAAGATGTGTGGATTTCAATTCCCAAATTCCCCAGCCAGCTTGGTAGGGAATTCTGGGAACTGAAGTCCACAAATCTTAAAATTGCCAAGATTTAGAAATGCTGTCTAGAAAAATGGTATGGTTTGTGCACTATTGGAAGACCTGAAAGCCCAGGCTCGGGACACATGATTTGAAGAATGTCTGTTTAGATCAGACATGGGCATTTTATGGCCCACAGGCCACATCTGACCTGTGGATAGTCCGAGCGTGGCCGGCGGCAGCAGCAACAGTGAAGGTGGGGCGTTGGTGGGGTTGGGGCACCAGGGCAGCATTGGTAGCAGGAATTGGTGCAGCATCGGGGGCGAGTACAGGGGGCGGGGTGTCAGCAGCAATAGGGCGGGGTAGACGCAGCCCTCGACAACTCTTCCAGTTTCTCATTGGCCTCTTGGGAAAATTAATTGTCCCACTCTGGTCTAGAATGGTTCCTAGAACATACCAACCTGATAACACATAGTTATTCTCCTTTGCTCAGATTTTTCTTAAACTATTTTCTTTCACGGTTGACACTTTAACATCTTCTTCCTTTTCTTTTCTTTTCAATTTCAGAAGTCCAGTTTTCCATATAACAGCTCTTTTGTCTAACAGTGAATATAATTTCATGGTTTATTAATTATATATTTTATATGAAAATAAAAATCACACATGTAGAAAAAGAGGGGTACAGAGAGAGAATGAATGAATTTTTGTGGTTCACAGTGAACTAGATTTCCCTCTTCCTAGTCTAGCAACTTAACCATTATACCAATCTGGCAGCCAGACTAGATTATTTTGTCTGTTTCGAGAAGGGACCCTCTCTAGTTTTAGTCTTTAGTGTAGACCAGGTGTATTATACTTGATTGCATTGAGGACCACATCAGGGTTGTTGTTTGACCTTGGGTGGCCAGGTGGGCATGGCCAGTGCAACATCATTCATGTCAGGAGCACCTGTGGTGGCCTGGGTAGGCCTGGGTGGATCCTCCTGCGGCCCTCTACCAGCAAAAATGGAGCCCGGGAGCCCGAGTTCCGTTTTCACTGGCAGAGGCACCACAGGCAGGTCCTTCACTATTTTGAGGGCGACCACATGGGCCAGATCTAAGCACCCTGCGGGCCAGATCTGGCCCCTGGGCCTTGAGTTTGACACCCCTGGTGTAGACTAAAAAAGAAAAGAGAGAAGAAATACTTTCCAACTTGCAACATTTCTAAACAGAGGTACCCATTTCAATTCCAACACAATAAAATGTATACCATGTATGCATTTTTTAAAAATCTGCTTTTTTCCAGTGCAAAATTTATTGAGGGGACAGTGGTACAATTGCTTGAAGAAGAGGAATGTGTAGCTGGAATCGTATACAAAGATAAAGAAACTGGTGATACAAAGGTGAGATTTTCCAGCAATTCTGGTTATTCCAGTGTTCTAGGACACTACATCAGTTTTAAACAAGTTGCAATTCTTAATCAGATAGCTTATTACAGTGATGGTGAACCTATGACACGCATGTCAAAAGGTGACACGCCACAACCTTTTGGGTGATGCCATCATGCACCAGCAGCTGACAGTAAGAATTCTTGAAGGCAAATCCCATTGGAGCATGATTTTTAGAAGCTTTGGAGGCCATGTGAGAATGGGATATATGATCTTGTGCAGCTTCTGGATTGTGCTGAAGTCATGTGGGAGGGCTGTGCTCTCAAGGAGCTTTCAGACCCTCTGAAAATTTTGTGCAGTTTTAGGACCCTGCAGAGACCGCAAAGGAGCATCCTCTGAAGCCACTTCAAGAACGTAAGCCTTGGGCGATCCCAAGCACATTGCGGTACAGCAGAAGGAGGCCATTTTGAATGGCAGCCATGATACTAGAGCTGGTTGAGGCCTCAGGCTCTGCTTCAGGCCCAGCCTTGGCGCTGTCACCGAGTACCGCTGTTCATGGTGGCCTAATTGGGGAGAAGATAAAGAAATTGTTTCTGTTTTGTTTGCGTGTTTGTATGAGACATGCCAAAAAAAGTCAAATGAAGCATTTTTCCTAATTTTTGATGCGCTGAGCCCAAAACATTCGCCATTATTGGCTTAGTAAAATAATAGGAATACAAACCATATTTTGAATTAGGCAATGTGGTATATGCCTTCCAATGGAATCATTGTTTTTAAAGCACTTAATGTGGATGTCAGGATGTGTGCAAGGTGTAGCTTGAGGAATATAAAGATGTGTGAGAAAATCGCGGGTGAGAAGAATTCAGCGCAGAATGAAACCTTCAAAAATTATTAACTCATTCTTGACTCACATACTACTATGCATTTCAGGTTGGCCTGTTAAAACCAGTAAGGTACAAGGAGTCCTCAATTTATGACCGGTTGCTTAGTAACCATTCAATAACAATGGACTTCCCCAGGCTAATTATGTCCCAGATTCGAAATTCTGACTGCTGCCCCCCTTGCGGTCATGTGATTGCATTTTGGGCATTCAGCAACTGGCCCATGTTTATGGCTGTTTGAAGCATCCTGCAGTCAGAGGTCTGTGATTTATGATATTTTTTGGCAAAAAGCACCCATTGCGGACAATGGATTTGCTTAACGACTGCAGAGATTCACCTAATGACCATTGCAAAAACAAAAAGTCATAAAATCAGGGACGGTCACATGGTGACCCGCTTAATACCTAGCATGACCTATGACTGTAATTCTGGGCTCAGTTACAGTTAAAGTTGGGGACTATCTGTAACAGGTTGTGCATCGTGATCAGGGGTGCTATTCAGCAGGTTCTGACAGGTTCTGGAGAACTGTTAGCGGAAATTTTGAGTAGTTCGGAGAACTGGCAAATACCACTTCTGGCTGGCCCCAGAGTGGAGTGGGAATGGAGATTTTGCAATATCCTTCCCCCAGGAGTGGGGAGGGAATGGGGATTTTGCAGTATCCTTCCCCTGGATTGGGGAGGGAATGGAGATTTTGCAGGATCCTTCCCCTGCCACGCCCACCAAGCCACACCACGCCCACGGAACTGGTAGTAAAAAAAATTGAATTCCGCCACTGATCGCGATGATCATTATCATTTAGTCCCTATTTAGTTGATTTGTTTTGTATTGCAGGAACTCCACGCCCCCTTAACGGTAGTTGCTGATGGTCTGTTTTCCAAGTTTCGAAAAAATCTCATCTCCAGCAAAGTGAAAGTCCCCTCTCATTTTGTAGGATGCATTTTGAAGGTAAGTGTTTCCATAAAACACGAAGCAATACTATCATCAAATTTGGATGTTTGGTGGTTATAATTACAGTCCTCGACTTACAACCATAACTGAATCCAACATTTCTGTTGTTGAGTGAGAGATTTGTGAAGTGAGTTTTGCCCCATTTTAAGACCTTTCTTGACACAGTCGTTGAGTGAATCTCGGCAGTTGGTAAGATAGGAACCCAGTTGCATAGTGAATCTGGCCTCCCCATTGGCTTCTGACCTTGGGACACAGCAACGGTCATAAATATAAACCAGTTGCCAAGCAATTTTGATCATGTGATTGTGGGGATGCTGCAAAGGTTGTAACTCTGAAAAACGGTCATAAATCACATTTTTCAGTGCTGTTGTAACTTTGAACAGTGACTATATGAATTGTTGTAAACCGAGGATTACCTATACCAGTGATGGCTAACCTTTTTGCCATCACGTGCCAGAAAGGGGGGGAGGCGGGGGAGGTTCGCATGTGTGCGTGCCCACACCCATAATTCTATGTGCCCTGTCCATGCACGCATGACCCCCTCTCCCCCCGCTCCTGGCACGCCTTTCTAGGAGTCTCTGGAGGCTGGGGACAGCAAAAAAAGTCACTTCCTGTCCAACTGGAAGTTGGGAAACAGGCCATTTCGGGCCTCTGAGGGGGTGGGGAAGGCTGTTTTCACTCTCCACAGATGCATAGAGAGGATCTGGAGCCGGGTGAGAAAGAAAAACAGGCCTTCCCCACCCCACCCCACCCCCCAGGCCCTCCGGAGTCAGGAAACAGCCTGTTTCCCTACTACTGGTGGGCCCAGAAGGCCCGAAAATCAGCATGTGTGTGCCAGAGCTAAGCTGGCGTGCCAGGCGACATGGCTTCGTGTGCCACCTGTGGCACGCGTGCCATAGGTTAGCCATCACGGACCTATACCATAGAATAGCATTTCACATGTTTTTATCTCTACCCACCACACAAATGATTTCTTTTGTTGCCCTTTTGCTGATGCATCTTCCTTAAAGCAGGCGTGTCAAATTCAAGGCCCGCAGGGTGCTTAGATCTGGCCCGCAGGGCCGCCCTGGAAACAGCAAAGAACCGGACTGCGGTGCCTCTGCCAGCAAAAATGGAGTTCTGTTTTCAGCTGCGATGGCCTCTTGCAACTCTCCACCAGTGAAAACGGAGTGCGGCCTTCCTGACCTCCATTTTCGCTGGCAGAATGCTCGGACCACCACAGGCACTCCCAACACAAGTGATGTCAAACTGGCCATGCCTCCTGGCCATGCCCCCACTCCCCAAGGTCAAACACAACCCTGAGGCAGCCCGCAATGAAATCGAGTTTGACACCCCTGCTTTAAAGCAGTTTAATCCAGTTCTTCAGTCCCAGATTCTCTCAAACTGGCTTGCAAAGAATCATCTTCAGGCATGAGTTGGAGAGGAAAGAAATTACAGCGGGGAGAAAACACTCCGCTTAGTGAAATGATTTCAGCCTGATGATGGGTTGTGGTAGAGCCTGTTGCTATTTGAACTTTCAGTCTTGTTGAAAGTCTATGAGCCTTGGGTTATTAGTCAGCCGAAAATTACTCATTGCAATCAAGGAAGAGCAGGAAGGTTCTGGGAAATTCTTTTTTTTAAATAATGTTTTTCTTTCTTTCTTTGTCTATAAAGAATTCTCCTCAATTTAAAGCCAATTATGCCGAGCTGGTTTTAGGCAATCCTTGCCCAGTGCTTATCTACCAGATTTCTTCCAATGAAACTCGAGTTCTTGTTGACATTCGAGGTGAAATGCCAAAAAATCTTAAGGAATATATGGTTGAAAAGATTTATCCACAGCTACCAGGTAAGAACCTTTGCCCAGAGACTTAATATCTTTACAGGTAGTCCTCGACTTATGACCGCAGTGTAGACAAGAACGTTCGTTGACACTCAGCACAATTGATGAGTGAGCTGCATCTGATATTACAACCTTTTTTGCTCTGGTTGTTAAGAAAATCACTGTGGTCATTAAGTGAATTACATAGTTGTTAAGTGGATCCAGTTTTTTCCATTGATTTGCATATTGGAACCCCCCTGGGAAGGTTGCAAATGGTGATCACGTGACCATAGAGACATTACTACAGTCATGAGGACTGGTTGTAAGTGATTTTATTCATTGCCATTGTAATGTAGAATCATTGTTGAATGTTCGTTAAATGAATGGTCATAAGTTGAGGACTATTTGTATGCCAGTGACTTGAATACTAGTTTAGGCATCTTATTTTTTTTACTTTGATTTATATGCCGCCCTTCTCCGGAGACTCAGGGTGGCTTACAATGCGTTAAGCAATAGCCTTCATACTTTTGTATATTTATACAAAGTCAGCTTATTACCCCCACAAACTGGGTCCTCATTTCACCTACCTTAGAAAGGATGGAAGGCTGAGTCAACCTTGAGCCTGGTGAGATTCGAACTTACAGTAATTGCAGACAGCTGATGTTAATCACAATGCTTTTAGTCTGCTGAGCCACCAGGCCCTTTGTGCATCTGTTTTAATGCAGTGTTTCCCAATCTTGGCTAGAGTAGAGTAGAGTAGAGTAGAGTAGAGTAGAGTAGAGTAGAGTAGAGTAGAATAGAATAGAATAGAATAGAATAGAATAGAATAACAGAGTTGGAAGGGACCTTGGAGGTCTTCTAGTCCAACCCCCTGCCCAGGCAGGAAACCCTACACCACTTCAGACAAATGGTTATCCAACATCTTCTTAAACATTTCCAGTGTTGGAGCATTCACAACTTCTGCAGGCAAGTTGTTCCACTGATTAATTGTTCTAACTGTCAGGAAATTTCTCCTTAGTTCTAGGTTGCTCCTCTCCTTGATTAGTTTCCACCCATTGCTTCTTCTCCTGCCCTCAGGTGCCTTGAAGAATAGGTTGACTCACTCTTCTTTGTGGCAGCCCTTGAGATATTAGAACACTGCTATCATGTCTCCCCTAGTCCTTCTTTTCATCAGACTAGACATACCCAGTTCCTGCAACTGTTCTTCATATGTTTTAGCCTCCAGTCCCCTAATCATCTTTGTTGCTCTTCTCTGCACTCTTTCTAGAGTCTCAACATCTTTTTTACATTGTGGTGATCAAAACGGAATGCAATATTCCAAGTGTGGCCTTACCAAGGCATTATAAAGTTGTATTAACACTTTATGTGATCTTGATTCTATCCCTCTGTTTATGCAGCCCAGAACCGTGTTGGCTTTTTTGGCAGCTGCTGCACACGGCTGGCTCATATCTAAATGGTTGTCCACTAGGACTCCAAGATCCCTCTCACAGTTACTACTATTGAGCAAGGTACCACATATTCGGTACCTGTGCATTTTGTTTTTCTTCCCTAAATGTAGAACCTTAGTTTTTTCAATGTTGAATTTCATTTTGTTAGATAGCGCTCAGTATTCAAGTCTAACCTTAAACCAGCAGTTCCCAACCTTTGTGCAGGGGTGAAATGCTACCGGTTGGCTCCGGTTTGGGCCGTTCGCCTGAACCGGTGGTGATAAAAACTACCCATTGGGGCAAACCGGTAGTAAAAAAAATGGTTCCGACGATCACAGCTGTGTTGCGCGATCATGGGAACCTTTTTTTTTAACTTTTTTAAAGCATTTTTTTACTATCAGTTCGGGCGAATAGGTAGTAAAAATGCTTTAAAAAAGTGTTTCTCTACCTTGGTAGGTTGAAGATGGGTGGACTTCAACTCCCAGAATCTCCCAGCCAGCAACGCTGGCTGGGGGATTCTGGGAGTTGAAGTCCACCCATCTTCAAGCTACCAAGGTTGAGAAACTGCTTTAAAAAGTAAAAAAAGAAAGTTGGCCATGCCCACCTAGTCACATGATCCCCACCAAGCCACACCCACCAAGCCACTCCTACAGAACCCGTAGCAAAAAATTGTGCATTTCATCACTGCCTTTGTGGTTTGGCAGCCCTGCTGGGGGGAGAGAGGGGAACTGGGTCGTGTGAGTGGCAGGCTGGCACACACCTGAGTGCCCGCTGGCCCACTGCTCCAGAACTTGAGCTGCGTGTGCACCCTCTGGCCAGCCACTCGCGCAGCCCAATTCCAAATAGGCCACGGCCCAGTAGTGGGTGGCGGCCCAGGGGTTGGGGACCTCCGTCTTAAACTACGAAGTTTAAGATGTGTGTGTGTCTTAAAACTGTCAAGGTGGGGAAACATTGTCTTAAAGTTGAAGAACTGAAGTTGACCTTGGGTTATCAGGTTATCAGAGATCTTATTTCTGTTAAGTGTATTTTCTTCTGAATCTTGGCCCAAGGACAAATGTTCTAAAACTCACAAACCACATTTGCTTGTGTTGTTTTTTTTTGAACAGAACACATTCAAGAGCCTTTCCTAATAGCAGTACAGAATGAACGCTTGAGAGTCATGCCGGCAAGCTTTCTACCGCCTTGTCCTGTCAATAAAGCAGGTCTGTGAACAAAGCAGTGAATGCAGAAAATATCACAAACTAACACAGAGCTGTCCAATCTTGGCAACTTGAAGCCAGTCATGCTGGGAATTCTGGAAGTCTACAAGTCCTTAAAAGTTGTTAAGGTTGGACAGTCCAGATCTAACAAAAGGCTTGGGAGCATGGATGGGATTTTTTTTCTCTGAGTAGAACAAATTATGAGCCCCCTTATGGTGCTAGGGGGCTCATAATGACATTCTAAAAGAAGGTGATCATATATTTTTGAATCACAAGATCTGATACTGGAGCATACAGAATTACTTGCATATTTTTTTGCACTTCAGCCAATCTTTTTGACCATTGTTTAATAACCCTTAGCCTTTAGAGCAATTCTCTTTAGAATTAAATTGGCATCCTCTCTGTATGTATTGCAGTAAACATCAGAATACATTTATTAGTAAAACACAAGTTGGCTTTGGTTGATTAAAGATGTTTTAATATGGATTCCTGAAGCGGGAATATTAATTGATTCATAATTGACTTCACATCAGAGAGACTGAGAGAAAGCCAGCTCTGCAGGAGGGCAGTTACGCTTAGTTCAACTGCAATTTAATAGTACATCATTTGCACTAATTCATCTCATTTGCATAATGACATGTTTACACATGGTAAAGGTAAAGGAGTCCCTGCGGATTTTACTCCGCTAGTCATTGCTGACTACAGGGGGTGATGCTCATCTCCATTTCAAGGCCATTGAGGAAGTCGTTTCCACGGTCATGTGGCCAGCATGACACCACGGAGCGCTGTTACCTTCTCACCGAAGTGGTACCTGTTTTCACATTTGCCTGCTTTCAAACTGCTAGGTTGGCAGGAGCTGGGGCTAGGACAGGAACTCACCCCGTAGCGTGCAGCTCAGGTCTTGAACCTGGGCTGCCGGCTTTCCAGCTAACAAGCCCAACGTCTTAATTGCTGAACCATCATGCTTCTCCCCTTCAGATTCAGAGCCATTTACATGACTTTGATGCAAACTACCATGAATCATTTGAAATATTTGACAGTGCTAAGCAATGATGTACAGTAGTGGCCAAAATTGTGGAAACCTTTTGGGAAAAGTGTATTTTCTAAAACTAGCTAATAACACCACTTTTTTTGGGAGTAGTACCATAAAATTATATATCAATGGAAAGATAATTTAATCAAGAATGTAATGCATTAACTTTATTAGAATAGCAGTTACTATATAAAGTGGAAAAGTGAAACACATGGAAAAAACGAGATATACAAAAATTATCACCATAGAAAAAACGAGATATACAAAAATTATCATGTGAGTTAATCCTTAGTTGGGTAACCTTTAGATGTCTTCCCATGGAGTGAATCAGGGGTCAAATCTAGCACGTTCTAGCAGATTCTGGCAGTTCTAGAGAACCGGTAGCGGAAATTTTGAGTAGTTTGGAGAACTGGCAAATACCACCACTGGCTGGCGCCAGATTGGGGTGGGAATGAAGATTTTGCAATATCCTTCTCCCAGGAGTGGGGAGGGAATGGGGATTTTACAATATCCTTCCCCTGCCATGCCCACCAAGCCACACCCACCAAGCCACGCCCACAGAACCGGTAGTAAAAAAATTTGGATTTCACCACTGGAGTGAACCAAGTCTTTTAGTTCTGCAGCTGTTATAATGTTGAAACCAAGATTGAATGATTGCTTCTGTTAACTGGGTTTTATTGCTAGGTCACTTCTGACTAGCAAGTTTCTTTAGTCGGCTCCATAGATTTTCAATTGGGTTTAAGGTCTGAGCTATTTCCAGGCCATTCCAGCAGTGGAATATGATTATCTTGAATCTCCCAAAAAAAAAGTGGTGTTATTAGCCATCAAACCTCAAAAATACACTTTTCTCAAAAGATTTCCACAATTTTAGCCACTACTGTACTTTGTCATGAATGACATTGCAGTTTTATACACATACTCATTGGCGCTTCTTTGCAGTTTGCAGAACTTCTTTGCAGAAGCTTTGCAGCAGCTTCTTTGCAGTTTTACCAGCCAGTCACTTAACAATTTGCATGGAAAGGCTTTTAAGAAGCCTTTCAAACTTTTGAATCACATCCCAAAAAGTGCATCTGTGCAAGTTTTGATATTACGACTCTTTCCTTTTTAGGAGTCCTCCTCCTAGGAGACGCTTACAATATGAGGCATCCACTGACAGGTGGAGGAATGAGCGTTGCTCTGAATGACATCAAGATCTGGAGATGTTTGCTACAGACCATTCCGGATTTGTATGAAGACTCTGCTCTACTGCAAGTAAGATACATATATTTTTCTTTCATAAAGAATTGATGGTCTCCACGTTTCTTTCATACAACTTCAAGTATGCACTCTAATTTTATATTTGAAATCTTTTTTTTTTCCCCATCTGACTGAGTACCAAGTGGACCAATATGTTGGAAATTTATCTTTTGCAGGCCAAAAAGACCTTCTACTGGACAAGAAAGAAGTCTCATTCCTTTGTTGTGAATGTTCTTGCTCAGGCGCTTTATGAATTATTCGCTGCAACAGATGGTATGTGCTTGTCCGGAAATGCATTTTCCTACAAGCCTGGTTCTTCTCCTTCTCTTTAGCCTAATAATTTGTGCTGCATCTTGCTTCTCTTCCTGCTGTCTCCTTCATTCTTGACTGTCTTCAAGTTGCCAAGGTTGAGAAATACTGGTCTTAATGGTTTAAGTCAGGGGTCTGCAACCTTAAACACTCAAAGAGCCATTTGGACCCGTTTCCCACAGAAAAGAAAACACCGGGAGCCACAAAACTCCTCCCGTGCCTGAGTATTTCCTGAGCGGCCACAAAACAAGCATATGTAGTTGAATTAAACATTCTGTTTTCTTCTAAAATTGTTCTTTTCTTGGATTTATCCATGGTTGGCCTACCGGGAGTCGAAAAGCTCAATAAATTGTGTGCCGGCGGGTATTGCACATTGGTGGTTGTGATGCATATTTTGAGCGACAGGGAGCCGCAGCAGAGGGATGAAAGAGCCACATGTGGCTCCAGAGCCGTGGTTTGCTGGTTTAAGTTAACTGGCTTCCTGTACATCAGGCTGCTCCTGTCTAATTCCCACCTGATGCATGACCTTTTTGAAATATTGACATTTTTCTCTCAGGCTCCTTCCTCCATACCCAGTCCTCTTTACAGTTAATCAAAGAATTATTCACCTTCCTGTACACTTACTCATTTTTAGGTTGTAAGAAATCTCTCTCTGTATATGTGTGTGTGTGTGTGTGTGTGTGTGTGTGTCAAGCCCAAAATTGATGCTGCTAACAGAGAAAATTGTTAAGTGAGTTTTGCCCCGTTTTATGACATTTCTCGCCAGTCGTTAAGTGAATCACTGCATTTGTTAAGTTAGTAACCCAATTGTTAAGTGAATCTGGTTTCTCGATTGATTTTGCTTGACAGAAGGACGCAAAAGGGGATGACATGACCTTGGGACACAGCAACGGTCATAAGTATGAACCAGTTGCCAAGCGTCTGAATTTTGATCCTCACTGTGAATAACGGTCATAAGTTACTTTTTTCAGTGCTGTTGTAACTTTGAACGATCACTGAACGAACTGTTGTAAATCAAGCACTACCTGTAGATATGAATTCGATGAATCTTATTTTCTGGTTGATAACTTATCTTGCCCCATTTCTGGCCACAGAATGCTAGGCACTAGGCTTGGGGCTCAGAACATGGACACCCCTCTTTGAACCCAACACAGCTCTTACCAGATTTTATTTTTTATGGTTTGTTTGAAAAATAAAAATGAAATCAAGCAACTCCTTTAATTTCAAAAAAGCTGTAGAGCACCGTTTCTTTTACCTCTACAAGTTTAAGATACGTGAACTTTAACTTCTGGAAACAGCATGCTGACTGGGGAATTCTGGGAGTTGAAGTCCACACATCTTAATCCTGCAGAGGTTGGGAAATACTCCTGTGGAGCAAAAGTAAAAGAAGAAATACAGGTACTCCTCAATTTATGACCATAATGGAGCCTGGAACTGCTGTTGTATGTCATAGCGGTCATAAGTTAAGGCATGCACTTGATTTCAGTTTCATTTTATGACATTTTTTGCAGTGGTCATAAAGGAAACGATGCGGTTATTAAGTAAACCCATTGTCTATAATGGCGGTTTTTGCTGGAAACTGAGATAAATAAAAGTTTCCGGCAGAAAAACATTGTCAATTGTGGTTATATGAGCGCAAGACACTGCAAAGGGTCATAAATGTGGACTAGTTGCCAAAAATGTGATCACATGACTGCGGGGTGGATGGGTGACTATCAGAACTTTGAATCCAGCTTATAAGTATCCTTTGGGGAGGTCATTCGAAACTTCAAATGGTCGCTAAGTGACCTGTCATAAATCGAGGACTACCTGAAAGAGGTGAACTTTAAAAGTAATAATAGTTGGTATCTACTATTCTAGAAAATAGTATAAAAAATAGAAAAAAAAACCATAGAAAAAAAATAGAAAAAAGGGACGTGGTGGCTCTGTAGCTAAGACACTGAGCTTGTCAATCAAATGGTCGGGAGTTCAGTGGTTTGAATCCCTAATGCCGCATAACGAGGTGAGCTCCCGTTCCTTGTCCCAGCTTCTGCCAACCTAGCAGTTCGAAAGCACATAAAAAATAGGGACCACCTTTGGTGGGACGGTAACAGCGTTCCATGTGCCTTTGGTGTTTAGTCATGTCGGCCACATGACCACGGAGATGTCTTCGGACAGTATTGGCTCTTTGGCTTAGAAATGGAGATGTGCACCACCTCCTAGAGTCAGGAACGACTAGGACATATGTGCGAGGGGAACCTTTACCTTTACTATTCTAGAAGTTGAAGGACATGCTGGAAACATCCTCATAGGTTTTCCTTCTGCTATCCTGAAGGTGACGGATGATATCACAAGTTCTCACATCTTGCTGCTAAAAATGGGCCAACTAGCCCTGTTCTCCCTTGCTTAATTGTGGCCCCTGATCTGAGCCAAACATCCAAGTACACTATATACCTCACAATGACATAACAAGCTATGTTAACAACTGCACCCTTGCAGAAGGACTTCTCTCCAAAAGTTGCTGTTGCCGTGATGTCAAATCCATCTGGTAAAGGTTTTGTTCACCTACGTGGGGCAGGGATGAAATGCTACTGGTTCACACCGGTTTGGGAGAACTGCTAGTGATAAAAGCTACTGGTTTGGGCGAACCAGGAGTATAAAAAAAAGCTACGACGATCAGCTGTGCCGCGCAATTTAAATTTGCTAGAATTTAATCCTGTTTTCTAGCGAATCTAAATCGCGTGGCACAGCTGTTCCTTCCCCTCGCTGTTCTACTTACCTTCCCAAGCCTCCTTTTTCCACGTAAAGTGTGCATTTGGTGCACACTACGCAGTGTGCATTTGGTGTGCACTGCACAGGCACACACGCAGCGCAAATCATGCATGGCGTGGGCAGCAAACTGGTGGCAAACCAGGGAGGATTTCACCACTGACGTGGGGTAAGATTTTAAAGGGAATGTTTATTTAGGCAAAATATTGTGCTATCGTACTGTACATTTTCATTTTTCTAATTTTCCCTGGCCTTTCTGCAAAGGTGATATCATGTTTCATCTGTTTGACAGATTCTCTGCAGAAGTTAAGGAGAGCCTGCTTTCTCTATTTCAAGCTTGGGGGCAAATGTATTTCTGGTCCAGTTGGATTACTTTCCATGTAAGTTGGGGTACTGTGCCCCCCCCCGCCTCCGATTCTTGTTCAACTTGTTATTGGCAGCAGTTGTAGGTAGCATAACCATGACTTGCCTTAAGAGCCTTTAGAACAGAGGTTTTCAAACTTGGCAGCTTTAAGACTTGTGGACTTCAACTCCCAGAATTCTCCAGCCAGAGTTGAAGTCCACAAGTCTTAAAGCTGCCAAGTTTGAAAACCTCTGCTTTAGAAAGAGACACACGGAAGGTAATAACGATCAAAAGTTTTCTGGCTAGACAATTAAATCAAGCCATATACCGTATTTTATTTAATAATTATTTACGGTGTAAATAGCTGAACTGGCTATGTCAGAATACAAATAGTTCTCAACTTATGCCCCCAATTGGAACTGTAACTTCTATCGCTAAGCAATGCAGTTGTTAAATGAATCATGCCAGATTTTATAATCTTTTTTTTTTTGGCTGCGGTCGTTATGCGAACCTGGCTTCTTCCCCCATTGATTTTCCTTGTGAGAAGCCTGTTGGGAATGTATGCAAAATGGAGATCACTTGGCTTTGGGACATTGCCATTGTCATAAATACATGCCAGTTGCTGAATGCCAAAATTTTTGGTCACATGACTGCAGGGCCACTGCTATAGTTGTAAGTGCAAGAACTGATCATAAGGTAACTTTTTCCGACACCACTGTAACTTTGCACTGTCATTAAACGAATGATTGTAAGTTGAGGACTACTTGTATGAGGGTTGAATGAAGTCTTTCCAATTATTGACTTCTTCAGCCTTTTATTATAATAGTAATTAAATCTAAGACCTTCCATGCCTAAAATACTTATAACTGTGTGTGGTCTCTCAGTATGACCCTATGGTTCTTGAAGATGTAAAATGTTAGAATTAGCAAATAAAATTTCTGCTTGCCTGCTTATGATAGTAACAAATATTGAATAAAAGAAAATAGCAAAGAGAGAAAGAGGAACTGAGCAGGAACAAATAGGATTTCAAAAAATTGAAGAATGGGAGTGCCTGAAATGAGCCTAATAAACAGTCAGAAAGTAATAACTTGTTATACAACCCCTCTGTTGAATTATCCTGCATTGTAAAGCAAGTTTTTATGGAAAAGCAGAGAGAACTAATATATTGTAAAAAGTGATTTGGGTTCTCAGCTTTCTATGGAAAAGTTTCAAGGGGAAAAAAAAAGCAATATTCTTTATTCTGTTATCCTGCCATATTAATGGATGGCCTTTTCATAGTTTCTAGTATTTTACTCACAAATATATATATTCCTCATAATTTATTTCTGCTACCAAATCTTTCTTTACAGTTTGTCTCCGAAGCCCATCGTCCTGATCGGCCACTTCTTTGCCGTTGCCCTCTACGCCACTTACTTTTGTTTCAAATCCGAATCTTGGCTCACCAAACCCCGGGCCATTTTCAGCAGCCTCGCGGTGATGTACCGAGCTTGCTCAGTCATATTCCCACTTATATATTCTGAAATGAAACACCTCGTCTACTGAATACAGATGGGCAAAGAGACGGGGAAGAAAAAAACCGCTTGGATTTCTTCGCGCCTTCCGGGACGTGTCCGTCTCTTTAAGTCGAAAAGATAACAGCAGCAACAAAACTGTCGGCCTGAAATCTCACAGCGGCGCTTTGAGGTTTATAAGCACATAGATAATCTTGTCAAACAAGGGCATGTAAAAAACAAAACAAAAACTCAACCATTCTAATCCAAGGGAGTGAAGGGGGGGGGGTCACAACAGTTACTTCTGAGAGTAAGTGTCTAGCATATTAGAGGAGGGGAATGTTGGCAGATTGCCAAGTTCTTCCCTTTCCTTGTCCCCTCTGACATTTGAGGCCCGGACTTATAAAAAAAAAAATTAATGACATTTCTAGAGCTATTGGTCTGAACTACGAGTGTATGCCCAGAGATCACAGCTTAGAAAGCCCCCAGACTGTTCATGTTTTTTTTCTAGTCCTACAGAATTGGCTTTATTTCTTTTCTCCCTGACGAGCTGCTCTTCTTCTATTTCCTTCTTTTTGTGTGTGTGTGGGGTGGGGGGAAGAAATGGGAGTTTGTTCATCCCCTTAATAGGGACTTACCAACAGTGGAGGGGACAAATTAAAAAATGGATGATTTTGCTTATGTTGGCACAGTAAGCCATCATAACTGTTCTTAGACCGCAGGTAAAAACTGGCCTATTTAAATGATCTTCCAAATTCACTTTGCAGAGAGAAACCGGAAAAAGTATTCTCTCCAATCTGTTTGGGTTTTTTTTACAAAAAATATAGGATTTTATTTATTTACGAAGGAATGCTTGCTGAGATTCCACTGTAGCCTGAAATGACATAGCCCAGGGCTTACCACCTCAGGAAGAACTAAGCCAATACTAAGGTTTATGTGATGACTGCAAAGAATTCTAGTTGCCTTCATATTGCCGGCCTCATTAGAACTGTCTCGTTTTGAGAGGTTAGATTAGAACTAGGGAACCTATGGTCCTCAAGATGTTGTTGTACTAGAGCTTTCATAAATAAGTGATGGCTGGGGCTGATGGAACATGGAATCGCAACATGTCATGGCAAGGTGGATGGCAGAGGAGGAATTAGTGCAGAGGGAGCAGTGATGTCTATGTATGGCACTGTCTCCATTCTGTCGGATTTCTGGGAAGAGAGTCAAGCATCATGATGGATCGAAAGATTTAGCTATTGGGTATACTGAGATAAACAGGGTTATGTGCTTTGTACACAAACACACACATTTATTTGTACCTTGTACAAATAAAAGTTTATAAAAGAGATACTTGCAACAACCCTTTTCAGCTACTGTAACAGAAATAGCTAAAATGGCAGTATGAACGGCACTGCTTTGTTACATTGATAAAATAAATGAAACTAAGGCGGTCAGCTCAAATCGATTTTTAAAAAAGCATCCGCGGCTCTTACATGTATATTTCTTCACCGATACTTTCTGGCATTGAGCTTTTCTGTCAAGTAACACGTAAACATGTATTCCATGAATATGCTGTGTTTTTGTTTCAAGTTCTGGTACATATTCTAGGGATCGTCTCCATTTTCTTTTCCATTCGATTATAGAAGGAAGGGGAATAGTCTTCTGGCAGGTCCAAAACCATTTTTTTTGGGGGGGGGGTGCGGCATTTTTTAAATGGGTGCCAGGAATAGGCAGCGCCAAGACAAAAACGGATTCAATTAGAATAAAAACAAACCAGTAGCACAACAGGTAGTCATCCCAAGTTTTTAATATATATATATTTCTGTTGTTGCATTAAAGTGTGCAACTTTTAACAGGACCTTTGGGGAGAGGGGTGAACATCTATATTCTTGTTGTTATTGTTATAGCCCAGAACTTATAATAAATTGCTTTTCTGATCATTTTTGTGCAACTCTTAATTTACATTCTCACATTCTGTTAAGGTTGAGATTCTGTGCTGGTTGCAAATTGGATGCCCAGAAATGGGAGGCAGAAACTCTAACCCCACCTTGATCTTGTATAATGTAAGATGGGAAAGAGAAAGTTGGACAGGTTTTCAAGAATTTGTTATTGTATCTTACTATGTTAAATAATATAATTACTATCCAAGTTTCTCATCTTATGCCAAACAAAATTGAGGAGTTATTTTGACCTTCTATGTTGTCCAAGTATTGAAGCAGCGTAATTATATGGAAAAGGCTACCTCAAATTGTGGATAAGAGAGACCTAACAAACTGGAATATGGTGCATTAGCTAAATTAGAAATTTAAGTAACTAGGTAAGATCAAACAGGAGAATTAGCAAGTAAAAATTTATTGAATAAATATAATGCTGTCTTGTGGTCCACCCTTACCGCTAAGACATTCTTTGAATAGTATGTGTCCATTACAAGCATGGCTGGTTTATTTGGCTAAGGGGACAATGGAATCTTGCTGAGACTAGCAGAATTATGACAAGATTGCTGTGACTTCTGGCATTTGACAAGGAGAAAGATAGCATCATTGTCTAATATCAGATAAGTCAGGAAGTCAGCAAACCTTGGATCAAACGTTTAGCATACAAGCTTCATGAATTGTATATTGTATACAGTTGTATATTAACATTGTATATATTATTAACGGGATTGAATCAAGATCACATGAAGGGTTAGTATTATTTTATAATGCCTTGGTTAAGGCCACACTTGGAATTGTTGCTTCCAGTTTTGGTCGCCACGATATAAAAAAGATGTTGAGACTTTAGAAAGAGTGCAGAGAAGAGCAACAAAGATGATTAGGGGACTGGAGGCTAAAACACATAAAGAACGGTTGCTGGAATTGGGTATGTCTACTTTTATGAAAGGAAGGACTAGGGGTGACACGACAGCAGCGTTCCAATGTCTAAGGACTCCCACCAAAGAAGAGGGAGTTAAGCCATTTTCCAAAGCACCTGTAGGCAGGACAAGAAGCAATGGATAAAAACTAATCAAGGAGAGAAGCAACCTAGAACTAAGAAGAAATTTCCTGACAGGACAATTAATCAGTGGAACAGCTTGCCTTCAGAATTAGTGGGGACTCCATTTTAAGTTTTAAAGAAGAGACTAGACAGCCATTTGTCTAAAATGGGATAGGGCCTCCTGCTTGAGCAGAAGGTTGGACTAGAAGACCTCCAAGGTCCTTCCAACTCCTGTTATTCTGATTCTCATTAACATACATAATGGTACTATGTAAATAATGCACTGGTGAAAAAGGTAAACATTTACAATCCATTCATTTCATTGTTATTTTTTTTTAGGTGCATTACAAAAAATATTGTTCCATATTCACATGCTGTTCAAAAATGATTTTTGTAAATTGTGTATGTCATAGATTAAGTACAAAATACACACTGCTTGAATTTAATAATCAGTTGGCTATGATGCCATGATTCCAGTTATTTTTATGAAGAATATTAATATTCAGTGATTAGCAAACTCATAACATTTGTAGATGCTTTTTTTCCTTGTCATTTTTTGAGGTTTGTTTCTTGTTTCCATTCAGAATCAGCAGTTGATATTTCATAGAACTGTCCGAAATTCATCAAAAATGAAATTAGGCACGTGGGCCTCGACCACCTAAGGAAAAAAAGAGCTCATTATTCTTGTTAAATATTTCTTTTTTTACTTTTTAAATGTTCTTATTAAAGTTAATTGTAGGGTAAAATATAAATAAAACAAAAAACTAAGAAAGAAAGAAAAGTGCAGAAAGAAGCAAAAAGGGAAGAGAAAAAATATTGATTTTCAAGTTTTTTTTCAGTGCAGTAAAATATAAAAAAAGTTCCAGCCTCAATCTTTTGCTTTATATTTCCAAATGTTTCAAACTATTTCTATATTTGTGACATTGGCTTTCTGAAGAGAAGCACTTAGGCATGAAGTGGGAAACTGCAACTGTACAAGAATCATTAAGACAAATCTACACTTAATTCATTTAATTTTGGCTAAGCTTGCCATTTGCAGATCAAATTTTATTTTCAAAAAAAAAGATGAGCTTGTTCCAAATTAATGGTGAAGTAAGTTATTCAGAGTGTGATATCCGAATTCCAAGCAAGCCAGACTTGCAAAGCAAACTGCTCAATTATTCTTTTATAGGAATCTCAGCTGTGGCTGCCTTTTAAAACCAGAATTATCAGAAATGATCTTCCTAGAGGAAATAGAGCCTTGATAGAGGAAAGAGCCTTGATAGTACAGTGGTCTACGCACCCTGTTATTAACACAGCTGCCTGCAATTTCTGCTGGTTCGAATCTCTCCAAGGCTCAAGGTTGACTCAGCCTTCCATCCTTTCTAAGGTAGGTGAAATGAGGACCCAGTTTGTGGGGGCAATAAGCTGACTTTGTATAAAATATACAAAAGTATGAAGGCTATTGCTTAACGCATTGTAAGCCGCCCTGAGTCTCCAGAGAAGGGCGGCATATAAATCAAATTAAAAAAAAAAATGATCTGGGAGTTGAGGTCCACATATCTTAAAAGTTGCCAAATTTGGGAAACACCGCTCCATAGCATATCTAAGGATGATCTGAGAAACAGGCAAAAATTCTGGGTACTTTTGTCCATTCATTACATTAGACTCATTCTCAAAAAATCTTGTTATACTCACCCTTCTTGGTAATTTTGTGTAACGAACATAATCTTCTAAAAAAAGCAGGGCGCCCACAACATCTGCTGGCATTTCCGGGACCTTCTGGCTGTAAATAGGCACAAAACCACAACACAAAATGTTTTTAATTTTGGTACATCTCTGATGGGCCAGCTACAAAACACATCAATGTTTTCGGAAAACACCTCTCACCTCCATATAGGTTCAGCTTAATTGAAGAATGATTTAGAATGGAGCCATTTTGTGTCACAGCACAGCAGACACAGAACCTAGCTGAGGACTGGCTGATCTCCCCATACCACCTCTTATTTTAAGAGGGATTAAACCTGGTAAATTATCTAATATGTATAAAGGTATGCCAAATGAATGTTGGACGTTTAAAAGCAAAGAAGGGACTTTTTAATCATCTATGGTGGACATGAGATAAAGCAAAAAAATCAAATAAAAAATAAAATTGGAGTATGATTCATATTTTAATACAGAAAACGAAGATAAAGGTGAACCAGATTTTTTTTTTTTCTTTTGGGCCTAATGGAAAAAGACCTGGAGAAAAAATTTGGAACTTTGTTACTATATATGTTGAGAGCAGCATGACCAGGGGTGGGATTGAAAACTTTAACAACCGATTCACTGCCCGGTTGCTGGGTGGGCGTAGCCATGGGGGCGTGGCCTACTCAGCCTCCTGCAACATGGGTGGTGGTGGTGTTTTCGCCCTCCTGAGGCTCCACAGCCTTTCCTTGAGCCTCCAGGAGGGTGAAAAGAACCTCCCTCGGGCTCCGGAGGCCGGAAATGGGCTTGTTCCCGGACTTCCGGTAGGCCCGATTTTCGCCCTCCTGAGGCTTTCCTTGAGTCTCCAAGAGGGCGAAAATGGCCTCCCCCAGGCTCCGGAGGCCAGAAACGGGCCCATTTCCAGACTTCCAGTAGGCCCATTTTTCGCCCTCCCAGAGCCTCCATGTGGTCCCTGCACTTATCTCACATCCAAAACAGGCTACGTAGAGACTCCTGGGAGGGGCGGGGTGGGTAGGGTCAGACAGTCCTTGTAACTACCAGTTCAGTGAACCAGATTAAAATTAATATCCGGTTCGCCAGAACCGGTCCAAACCGGCTGAATCCCACCCCTGAAGAAGACTATTGTATGCACAAAAATGGAAGGACACGTTGATTCCTACCATGGATGAATGGTTGCAGAAGTTGATGGAGTTGGCAGAAATGGCAAAATTTGACTATTTTGACTAAAGAAAAGAAGTACTTGTGTTTCCACATAGAGACCGCTTCTGAACTTTGTGCTTGAAGTGGAAAAGAATGAAACTTTGATTTTGGGTTTTACCGATTAGACTGATAGATCCTTATAGAAATGGCTTGTTCATACTATTATGAAAAAGCAAAAAGCTGTGATTTGATGTTAATGCCTTATTTTACTGCAACAGGAGAGAGTCAGAAGTCAATGCTTCTTTTTCCTAATCCTTCCTCACTTCTCTTTCCCCTCTCCCTCTTCACTGCTTTCCTATTTACTTTCGTATTTTGTATCTTATTTTATCTTATAACTCAATACAAATATTAAACCATGAAAGCTGGTAAGTATTTGACCGGGAGACAAATCCCAGGCCTCTTAAGCTTGACAGGAATTTTAAAAAGTGCTGGTGCTATAAGTTCTGTCAAGGACAGGATTTACACTTTCAATATGTAGTTTGACTGACTAGCTTAACACATCATGTGAACTCATACTGCTTGTGATTTGTTAACTAAACTGTGCCTTGAGATTATGTGAATTTAACCATTGACAAGAAAGCAACGTTATGGTTGGATTATTGATGTACATCCTGGCAAATAGATGGGGAAGAAATGGAGGTAGTGACAGACTTTATTTTCCTGGGCTCCAAGATCACTGCAGATGGGGACTACAGCCAAGAAATTAAAAGACGCTTGCTCCTGGGGAGGAAAGCCATGGCAAAGCTAGACAGCATACTAAAAAGCAGAGACATCACCCTGCCAACAAAAGTGCGTATAGTCAAGGCTATGGTTTTCCCAGTTGCAATGTCTGGCTGTGGAAGTTGGACCATAAGAAAGGCTGAGCGCCAAAGAATTGAGGCCTTTGAACTATGGTGCTGGAGAAAACTCCTGCAAGTCCCTTGGACTGCAAGGCGATCAAACCGGTCACTTCTAGAGGAGATCAACCCTGACTGCTCTTTAGAAGGCCAGATCCTGAAGATGAAACTCAAATACTTTGGCCGCCTAATGAGAAGGAAGGACTCACTGGAGAAGAGCCTAATGTTGGGAAAGATTGAGGGCAAAAGAAGAAAGGGACAGCAGAGAATGAGGTGGCTGGATGGAGTCACTGAAGCAGTAGACGTGAGCTTAAATGGGCTCCAGAGGATGGTAGAGGACAGGAAGGAACATTGTCCATGGGGTTGTGATGGGTCGGACACGACTTCGCAATTAACAACAACAAAATTGATGTACAGTTCTGTGCCTCTTTGGGCGACCACATTTCAAACAGGTTTAAAGAGAATTGGAAACAATTTTAGAAAAGGGACAAGGGAGCCACCAATAATCCAACTTTTAATTTTATTGAGGGTGGGGAAATTATGGCCCTTTGAATGTTAGTAAGCTACAACTTTCAGAATCCTGAGTCATTAGCCAACTTGCATTGTTGCAAGCTGTAATTTAACAACATCCAAAGGCCAGATGTTCTCCTCCCTCTACTGAGCAGCTCATGTCTTCTTAATCATGGAGAGTAACACTCAACTCAGAAATTCAAATTAAAACTTCCTGGGTAATGGCCATTTGAAGGGGAATCTAATCCTCCTAATGTATTTGATTCAGCTGCTGTGTTGCTAAGGGAAGGCAGTGCGAGGGCTTTGTGAAGGAAAAGTTGGTACCTGGTGCACTGTTCCATTGTGGAGCGAACAAATTGACCGATCAGACCCAGAAATTGTTCAGTGTAGCGTGAGTGAAACTGCTTCAGCAAGGTCAGGAGTCCCAGCACCAGAGGCGGCCAGTCAATGGGATCGGCTGGCTTTCGACACACCATCCCTGAAGGAAAACAAAACCTAACCTAATACATTTCCTCATAGTTTGGGGGGAGGGTTGTTGCATAAGAAGACACAGCTGGTGGCATCAATTCAAAATACTATGGAAAATTTGTGTTACATGGTAGAGAAAAAATGGAGAAATGAATTCTTTTTGTAGTATTTACCCTGGATTATAGTCCACCTTAATATTTGCAAGTTGCATCTAAGGAACAGTTCATTGCCCAAGGACAAAAATCCCCAAAAAGGAATTTAAACAGAATTTGTATATGAAAGGTTTCCCCTGTCCAGTTGTATCCAACTCGGGTGTTTGTGTGTGCTCATCTCCATTTCTTAGCAGATGGCGCCAACTACGCACACACACACAATATGTACATATATTTATAGATATACACTTATCTATCCTGATGGGCAAAAGACCCATATGCATATAACTATAAAACTAGATAGATAGATATAAATTGATATATTGATCTATATAAATGCAAAAAATTAAAATCTCAGGTGTTTTCCTGCGTCATTGTAAATAAGTTGGTTAAAATGTTTAAAATTCTGGTTAAAATCCCAGCTTGAAATTTTAGCTGAGGTTTTAAAGGACCTTGCAGAGTGCTCTGTAAGGATTTTTAGAAGATTTTAAGCTGGGATTTTAACCAGAATTTTAAACATTTTAACCAACTTATTTACAATGACGCGGGAAAACACCCGAGATTTTAATTTTTTGCATATGCACATCTGCGAAAACTTAAGAAGACATCTATATAAATGTATATATAAATATTCAATATGTGTACAGTATATCGAAATGTAAGGCATACCCCAAGGAAAGGTAAATCTTCACAGTCATTCAAATTATATCTTATTTAGGGTTCCTCTATTTTGCTCTAAAATTCCAACTATCTTTGATCATCTCACCAGAACTCATAAGAATTATAGGACAAATTTAGAGCAATTAAACTCTGCAATTCTATCTGCAAGGAAATTTGAGTGCTAGTAATTTTGGTAGAGTGAAAATATTTTTCTAATCACCTATGCTTAAAGTTAAAGGATGCAGAATAATTATACTATACCTGAGTTTTTACTGTACTGAAGTTTGGGCAACTGAGAAATCAGGAACAGAAAATTCACAATGGGGAAATACGGCAATCGTTTCGTTGTAATGTAGATCTGGGAAAGAACATTTCGAAGGAAAGAATGTATTAATTTTTTTTTTAAATCAGATTATTTTACAATCCCCGCTTTAGACAGCAAAGCAATGAAATTCATATATAACTTTTTTTTTAAAAAAAAAAATCACTTAAAAGAACTGAAGAAAAAGATTATGCTGTGCTAAATCAATGAAAAGAAAGAACAGAGGGAGGAAAAATAAATCTATTAAAAAAAGGAAATAATGGGATAATTCTACAGTTGAGAAAATAGATAGACCATCAGGTTAAGGATCAGATATGTTTTTCTGAAGATGCTGTTTAATTAAGGTACCTTCACTAAAGAAGCCTTTTCTATCCACAACCCCTGAATGTTGGATGGAGCTTTTGAAATAAAGCCAGGGGTGAAATACTCCCGGTTTGGACTGGATCGCCTGATCCGGTAGCGATGGCGGCGGGTGGTTCGGAGAACCGGTAGCAAAAATCCCTGCCCTCCCCCCATTGCCCAGCTGAGCCGCGCAATCATCAGAGGCTTTTTTTTTATTTTTAAAAGCATTTTTTCTACAACCTCTTCGGCTGAAGAGGTTATAGAAAAAATGTTTTTAAAAGGAAAAAAAGAAAAAGCCTCTGCCAATCAGGCAAGTCAGCTGGGATCGTCAGAGGCTTTAAAAGCATTTTTTTTACAACCTCCTCAGCCGAAGAGGTTTTAGAAAAAATGGTTTTAAAAGTAAAAAAAAAAAAAGTTGGCCATGCCCACTGTCATATTACACCCCCCACCAAGCCACGCCCACAGACCCGGTAGTAACAAAATTTACATTTCACCACTGAATAAAGCTTGATGTGATGACAAATATATTATCTATTTCTGTTTGCATTTCTGGCCCACTGTTTCTATGCTGTCCAGAGTTGTTGCATGGTTGGGTGATAAATTTAAACAAATAAACAAATAAATATTTCCCCCCATATCTCTCCCCCCCATCCCCCCCTCCAATCTAAGCTCTGCTGCCTCTTTTTCCAATAAATGAATTCTTTTCTTGCCTGCTTCACATAGTTTTTTCACAGTTAAAACAGAACAGAGACCTTTTAGCAGGGTGGATAAAAATCGATTTAAAAAAAAAATAATTAAAAAATTGGATTTTTAAAATTTAAATCGGATTTTTTTTATTTTTATCAAATTTATTTTAATAAATTGCTTTTGGAGTAAAAAATTATCTAATGATAGTTTTCTATTTAAGATACATTGATAATTTAGTTTATTCAGCATGGAATGGAGCTTAGCTATGAAGCATGAGCGTGTATATTCTGCAATATTGGGACTGTCGGTGAGTCAACAGCAGGTCAGAGGAAGAGCTGCTGCAGGACAGAGATGACAGTTGCTCTTTCAAAATTATGATTTAAATCGAGTTGATTTAAATCAACTCCACCCTGCCTCTTAGTAAAGATCGTGTCTCATAGGTTAGAAAGCCCTGCTGATTAAACAGGCCAGTGATTGGTGCAACACTTTGGGATGGCACCAAGGGCTGAGATAGCTTAATAAGGAAAATGTCCTCACCTTATTCAATGGATTATGGATGCCAGCAGCCTCCAGGTAAGCAGTAATTTCATACAGCAAGGTGTTATCTTCTTTGGGACAAGGCAAAGAAGGATCTTGATAGTGGGCCTCTATATCAGCCAGGATTGCTCTACAAGAGGAAAAGGAATAGCAGAGCAGCTTTAGACCAACCTATTTCTGTATTCTATGTCCCGCAGTAATTAGAATGGATTTGAGAAGCCCAAATATTTGAGAGGAGTAGAACAGTGGTCACCAACTGGTGGTCCGCGAGAAAATTTTGGTGGTCCGCAGAAAAATTATTTGCATTTTTTATATTGCACTAAATCAGGGGTCCTCAAACTACGGTCCCTGGGACAGATATGTGCAATGAACGTTTGTGTTGCTGCAGAGAGTCTCCCACTTTGGGGTCTTTTTGTGCGGGTCAGAGGCGGGGAGAAATTCCGACTTGGGGTCTGCTTCAGCCTCCTGGTGCAGGGCTTTGGGCAAAAGCTGGAGGGAAGTGCTGCTGGTGGCAAAGAGCCGGAGGGCCTCGTTCCAGTGGGACTGCATCATGGCCTGGAACTGGCTCACCATCTCAGCCTGCTGAGCCTTCAGGTGCCGGTACCTGGCCTTGCACTCCCGCAGGTCTTCCCTCTGCTTGAAAAGCCTATGCTCCTAGTCCTCAGTGAGGTGCTTCTGCTGAGCCTCCTTCTCGGTCAGATCCAATTTGAACTGAGCCAGTTGTTTTGCCAATTCTTTCTCATGGTGGCTGCTTAGTTCCAACAACTGCTTCCTGTTAGGGCCCTAAGAAGCCCAGGAGGGCAGGGGAGGAGTGGTGGGAGGGGAGGGGCAAGTAGAGGCTGGCGAGGCACCCCTTGACATGAGTGACATTGAGTTGGCCACGCCCACCCAGTCACATGACCACCTAGCCAAGCCGATCCAGCTGGTCATTAGGCAGATCATATTAATGCGGTCCGCGGGATTTAAAATTATGAATTTAGTGGTCCCCGAGGTCCGAAAAGTTGGTGATCCCTGGACTAGAAGATCTCTAAAGTCCCTTCCAACTCTGTTATTCTGACCTGCACTCCGGAGAGGCTGGACGAATGACCTCCCAGAGCCTACAAACTCTTACATTCTGTAATTCTATCAATATTTATATCAAACCTAGTAACTCTCTGCTCTGTTCCTGGGTGTTAATGTTATTGTTATTAATACTAATAACATTAATTATATTATTAGTGTTATTACAATGTAATTATTTTTTCACTTGGTTTTATAATCTGTAAGCCGCCCAGAGTTACCCTGTAGAGGAGATGCACGGCATGGAAATGTAATCAATCAATCAATCAATCAATCAATATAACATTAAAATAACCCACGGCCTGGGAATAACTAGGCCTGGGAACCAGATAGGGAATTTTATGCTGGAAGTAGCTGCTTCATTGATGGCAGACTCCACCTCAAACCCCCTCAAATGGTTTATTTTATTGTTCTATTATTTTACTTATGTTCTGTTTATGTTTTTTTCATTTCTCTTCCTTTTTACCATTATAAGCTATCTACAGCACCCCCATGGTGAGATAGACCACAACTAAATTTAACTTTGTTAGTACAGTGGTCTAAAGCACCCTGTTATTAAGACCAGCTGCCTGCAATTACTGCAGGTTCGAATCTCGCCAAGGCTCAAGGTCGACTCAGCCGTCCATCCTTTCTAAGGTAGGTAAATTGAGGACCCAGTTGTGGGGGCAATAAGCTGACTTTGTATAAATATACAAAAGGATGAAGGCTATTGCTTAGCGCATTGTAAGCTGCCCTGAGTCTCCGGAGAAGGGCGGCATATAAATCAAATTAAAAAAAAAAAAACTACCAAACAAATAAACCCCCTTTTCTATTTCACCCCAGCAGCTGCTATTTATAGATTTGTAAGTTTATGATTCTGGAGCTTGGAAAGGGTCAATGAGATGAATAGCCATTCACACTTGATCCTCCCAAAATGGGCCTGGATTTCTTTCAAAACCGAATTGATGGTCATGGTTACAATTAAGGGCCAAATAAAGAATTGGGACCACTTAGCTTGGATGAACATAAATCTGGATCAGATTTCAGGAGGATTCCAAACATTGGAACGGATAATTGCTTCCTGCTACCACAATCCATAAATGACTAGAGACTAATTTCACAATCTTTGTGATGCAACCTATTTTTTTTGAACCCATGGCTCTCCCCAAATTTGCTTAGCATTCTGGGTTGAGAGGAACATCCCAAATTGTAGATGTTCCCTTTTGACGCAGGTGGATTTGAAAAGCTATTATGATTTATGTTACCATCCCAGGATATGAGAAGCTATTATTGACACTGTTGCCATCCCAGTGACACAAGCTGGTCCCCAGGAAGCTTGCAGTCTTACTTGTTAAGGTTCTCCAGGGCAGCTGCTAAATGCTTGGAGTCGAATCTGCAGGAATAGTTAAGTTCGTTGCCTATTTGGCGTCTTAAAATCTGCATCTGGCCAACCTAGGGAGGAGATGATGAGAATTAAAAGACCCCCAAAATGAAAACGAATGAATAAGAGTAAGTACAATTTATTGCCTAAAACATCCTGGTTTTTTATATGGACACTGAGGATTACCAATGAAAAGTTACCATTAACTTTTCCTCATGAGGATTTTCCCAAGACATCCCAGATGTATTGATCCTACAACTTTGTCAGAGTAGTGATTTAAGAGCTGACCAGCTGCTGCAATGATGGGAATGAGTCAGCAAGGTTTTGGGCTGTTATCCCTTTAAGAACCTGTATAATAAGAGGAGGCCCTGTTAGGGCGTCTTTCTCTCACCATGTTTTCCCTGCTGTAATTGCTGATTGCTTGACCTATATATAGTATATATTCTTTTGTAGATAGAACCACTATTATATGACAAACCTGTTTGCTGTTATTGTTCCTGGGTTGTCTCATGTAGTAAAGCTGTGCACACTCTGATAAACTTCCAGAATTCTTATTCATTCAAGAAAGGGTAATGTAGGAAAGAGCACCCTAATTCTCTACATTATGATTCAGAAGACTCAACTAACTTATAAGAGAATTGCTCCCAAGAAAATAGGCACTTTGTCTCCTTAAGGATAGTGTGCGATTCTGACATTAATGGAGCCTCAGCTAACTTAGTTGTTTTCTTATAGCAATCAAAACTTCAGGTTTTACCCTCCTGTTAAAGAACAACATGGCTGTTGCATTTTATTTACCTACATATCCATATCTTTCCAATTTCCTGATCTAGACAAAAGCCTGGGATTTTCTGATAGCCTCCCACCCCAAAATTAACTAGGTCCAACTCTGTTTAGCTTTTTCAACATCAGAATGTCAGGCCTGGAAGCCATCTTTTGTATTAGGCCTTCAGACCTGCCATGTTTACTACTGTGGGAAACTGGGAGGGGGGAATTGTATGGAGCATGGGTGATATATATTGTCATAATAACATTCCTTTCTCAAGAAGTCAAGGACAACTTGCCCTGCACCTGGAAGGCTAGAACTGGGAGGCAGTTCTCCAGTTGGAACGATGTTTGATTGATCTAGACTTGTGGGTATTGGGCAGGGACTTAAACTTTTCTTTGGGTGGGGAAAACCTGGAAACTTTCAGATTTGGGTTTTCCCAGATATGCCAATATGACATCTCTAATAAAGTGTAATTTTAAGGGAACTCAAGCCTCAGAGTTTTCTTTCGTTGGGGGTGTTACTTGGAACCCTGACATTGAGATTGTGAGGACATCCAAGTTTTCAGAGACTTGAGATCCAGGTGGATTCTGCTGGTAAGGTACAACTCCCAAACTTCTTTCAACTGGAAGGTCACCAGATGTTCCCTCCCTCATGACTGAGATAGCCAAAGTACCTTCATAATTGTGTCCAGGTAGGCAGCCCAGATCTTCTGTGTTTTGGTAATTGCTGTAGAGTAGACTCTATTACAATTGGCTGCAACAGAACATTGAGAGAAAAATAAGTTTCAGAAGTGTCATCCCATCCCTCTCTTTAGGATTATTATTCTGTGTCCTCCACCTCATAAAAATACAGTACAGGTAGTCCTTGATTTATAACAGTTCCTTTAATGACTGTTCAAAGTTACAACGGCACTGAAAAATGCAACTTATGACCGTTTTTTCAAAGTTACGACCTTGGCAGCACTCCCATAATCATGTGATCAAAATTCAGACGCTTGGCAACTGGTTCATACTTAACGACTGTTGCTGTGTCCCAAGGTCGTGTGATCCCCTTTGGCGATCTTTTGACAGGCAAAGTCAATGGGGAAGCCAGAATCACTTCACAACCGGGTTACTAACTTATCAACTTCAATGTTTCACTTAATGACTATGGCAAGAAAGGTGGTAAAATGGGGCAAAGGTTCACTCAACAAATGTCTCACTTAACAACATAAATATTGGGCTCGAAATGCACGCCCCATTTTCCGCCCGTTCTGGGTGGCGGGTATCGGAATAGGCTGAAAATGGGGCGCGCAGAGGCCGAAAATGGGATGTGGAGGCCAAAAATGGGGCATGTGGAGGTGGCAGTGGCGATCCTTGCAGCCTGAAACAGCTGATCCTTGGGAGGCCAATCCAACCGACAATCAGCTGCTTGTGCTAATCAGGCTGTGCTGAAGCTGAAACAGGCTGTTTGGTGCAAGGAGGCAGAGGCCAAAGGGTGGGGGCAGGTGGGTGGGTGGGTCTACATTTGGTGTATAAGACGCACCCAAATTTTCATCCTCTTTTGGGGGGGGGGGAAGTGTGTCTTATACTCCAAAAAATACGGTAAATCCTGGGCATTTTCCAGCCCAGGATCCTGCTTGAAGGAACTTACCCACAAGTCCTTTCAGGGGGCTGACACTCCTCATGAGAGACTTCAGTGCTTCATGGACCCCTTTATCGCGCAGCACTATTTTCTGAAACATGATGAGGAAATTCTAGAGAGAAAAGAAAGAGACGCGTTGGGATATTCTGCAGAAAAGTCCACTGAGGTTGCACATACTGTGTTTCGTATGGCATGAATAATCTAGAATGGAACCCAGGATCTTGCTTGCAGCTGTGTTTTTTCAACTTTGGCAACATTAAAATGTACGGACCTCCAAAGAAATGCGGGCTGGGGAATTTTGGGAGTTGAGGTCCACACATCTTAAAGCTGTCAAAGTTGAGAAAGACTTGATTTGTGAACTGGAGCAGGGCTAGGGCCTGGTTACCTGCAACTCTTTGACAATCATGAAGCAGAGAAGACGGTCTAACCCGTTAAGACCAAAGGTACCCAAAGTGTTCTGGATCTCGGCCAACAAGCGACTATTGGAGACTTCCTGGTGAGTTTTCATATCATACCAGGTATTAAGTTGGTCAATATAGCAGGCAGACCTGATGGGAAACAGGTAAAAAGGTAAGAAGCCACCACTGAAGGATCTTATCTGTGACCAGGTTGGCAAGGGTGAACAATCTTTAAGCAATCAGATATCGAAAAAAGTTGGACAGACAAGAAATAAGAAGATCTGCAATAGTACAACGTAGACTCATTAAATATATATATATAAATTTTGATTTATATGCCACCCTTCTCCGGAGACTCAGGGCGGCTTACAATGTGCTAAGCAATAGCCTTCATCCTTTTTGTATATTTATACAAAGTCAGCTTATTGCCCCCACAACTGGGTCCTCAATTTACCTACCTTAGAAAGGATGGAAGGCTGAGTCAACCTTGAGCCTGGCGAGATTCGAACCTGCAGTAATTGCAGGCAGCTGGTCTTAATAACAGGATGCTTTAAACCACTGTACTACCAAGGCTCCAGCAACAGCTTCCCATCGCCCGGTGCGTTCTCACAGGGAGGGCCTACTCAGGGTGCCGTCGGCTAGACAAAGTCGGCGGGCAGCCCCCAGAGGTAGAGCTTTCTCTGTGGGTGCGCCCACCCTTTGGAATCAACTCCCCCTGGGGCTCCGGTTGGCCCCTGACCTTCGCACCTTCCGCCGCGAACTAAAGACATGGCTGTTTAAATCGCCCAGCCTGGACTGATGAGGTTTGATTATTTTAATGAGTTTTAACATACATTTAATTTGTATTTTAATATGTTTTTATCTGGTTTGATTTTAATTGTTGTGAGCCGCCCTGAGTCCTATGGAGGTAGGGCGGCATACACATCAAATTAAATAAATCAAATTAAATCAATAAATTAGGTAATTTTTCATACCGAGGATCAGTCTGTCAGCTGATCAGCTAAAACTTGTGCCGGGTTGGAATGAGATAATAGTTTTGAGTTTTTGACTAGTTCAGGAAGAAGGGGGAAAGGGAGGGGAGAGGGAGGAGGAGAAAGGAGGAGGAGGAAGGGGGAGGGAAAGAAAAAGGAGGAAAAAAAATGGAATGGGGAGGAAGAGAAAAGGAGAGGCAAGAAGAGCAAGGAGACGGGAAAGGAAAGAAGGAGGAGGAGGAGGAAGGAAAGGAAAAGGAAAGAAGGAGGAGGGAAGAAAGAGAGGGAGAAGGAAAGGAAGACTCTGTAAGAGATTAAGGGGTAGGAGCTTTATGAAACTTTTGTCCGTTTTAACCCAGTCCTGCTGGTCATACAGTATATGAAGATGTCAGGAAAAAGCCCATTTTCTATATGCAATATGCAAATTATGCAGCCCGCTTACTTTGGGTCAGTGATTCTCAGAATTTCTCTGCAGAGGCGACCGATAAAAGTAACAGATTCATCTGTAGGCACAAATTTGGGTATTGGAATATGGGTGGATTGGTAGATGCTTTGCCAGTCTTGAATCTGAAAAGACATGCACAGTGAAGTCATGCTCAGCTATATTCTGATTATACACCTAATTGTGTGTTTCCAAACCCATCAGGCTGTTTTTCAAAGACCACGGTATCCTCGTGTTATCTATCGGTGTGTTGGGTTTCAGGGCTCTTGACAGCTGCTCTCAGTCTGTCCACATCATCTACAGATAGTCGACTTATGGCTGGTCACCCAGTCAACAGTGACTGAATTTTTGACAGACATCCGCCTCCACCCCGCTAAGGGCACTTACAACCTGGTTCCGAAGTTCCGCTCTCCCCCTCTTTAAAGTGAATAATGTGAATAATATAATAATGTGAATAATGTGAATGGTATAGGGTCAGCTATATGAACACTGGAGGACCCTCTTTATTCATATTATTATAAAAAAAGAAATATGCTTGTTCAGAGATTACACTGTCAGCTAAATTCCATTCTTGGCAACATATCTCTTGAGGGGCCTATCTGTCAAAGATGCAAGGACCATATGTAATATACATCTTCTGAGGGGCCTATCTGTCAAGGATGCAGAGACAGCCATATGAAACAAAAGTTAATTATTATCAAAGGAAACCATAAATCTACGCATCAGTGGATACAGAACTAAGGAGGATGTTTAGGTAAAATTATCTCATGTACTATAAATTAATGTAGGAATTTGGTAATTAAAAAGTGTCAATTATCATGTAACAAATGTATGTTAACCATATATGGAAAACTGCTGTGCTAGCAAAATCCTTTGTCTTGGAAAGGTATAAAAACAGTTGTATCAGAACTCTTCCTTTGTTCAGAATTGCAGATTCAAATCTGGTTCTGAAACTACGCAATAAACTGACTCTGGCTGACCCAGGAATGTTGTTCAGTCTTCTCTTTCTACAACACCTTGGCCATATTGTCAGAGTTTGTTGCAGCAATCAAATCCAGAAAGCACACACAGGTAACTGATTCAGCAGGATTCATGAACTTCTCTTTGCATATATAATAGAACACATGAAATAAACATACAATACCAATGGCAGATTCTCCAACGTGGTAGTAGTTACAAGCAAACACAGGCAGAGGACAGAACAGTTTCAGTTTCAATGCCGCAGACAGACTAGTTTCAGTTTCAGAGCTGAGCACAGAGCTAAGCCACGCCCAGGCTCCAAACTGTTTCAGTCACCAATCAGCTCCCATTGGCTGACTTAGTTGCTATGCCTATACATTGGCTGACCTTGTTACTAAGCCCTATTTAAGTTCGTGAATATTCTGACACATATGACTGCTGTCTGACGCATTTGCCAGAAATCTGCATTTAGGCAACAATCAGGCTCAGCGAGCATCAAGGACACTGTAGTGCAGCCCTGAGCTACAAATATATATTTTTTTCTATTGGCCTCCATACAGTCTGCAGCTTTTTAATTAAGGGGGTTTAATACCTTTGTCCTTAAGAAGTTGTTGCATTCCTGCTCCACGTTGTAATTAATAATTCGGGATACTTCCTCCTGCCAAATCTTTAATCCACAGATGTTGACATAGTCCTGGATGTACTCAAAGGAACGGTGGAACCCATCCATTGTGGCTGCCATATCTCTCAGCCTGGGCATGAGCTCGCTGGGCTGTGGAAATAGGGAAGATTAAAAGAGCCATCAGAAGGATATTCACCATCTTTGCTTTCTTAAATTTGTTCTTTCTCCATTCAGGGATAACTACAGAACGGCAGGTTTAGGAAACTCACGATGGGAAATGCTAAGGAAGGACTGCGAGTTTGGACTGCACAGTTGCAGCTGCCATTTTGATTACTTTAATCTCTTTGTGCACATCCCAGTACAGATAGTCCTCAACTTACAGCCATTCATTTAGCGACTTACAACAGGTCGTCACACTTATGACTGTTGCAGCATCCCCACAATCTTGTGATCAGAATTTGGGCACTTGGAAACTGGCATTTATTTAACCATGGTTTCAATGTCCCAGGGTCATGTGATTGCCATTTGTAACCTTCCCAGCTGGCTTCCGGCAAACAAAGTCAACGGCAGTGATCTGCTCAACAACCATGGCAAAATAGGTTGTAAAATCAAGCACGACTTACTTAACAACCTCCATGCCTAGGAATGGAAATTCAGTCCCAACCGTGGTCGTAAGTTGAGGACTATTTGTAGATGTTGCTATTCCAGAATTTCCTCCTCCAGCTCTTTTTCCTGAAACCTTCTCCTTTCCTTCCAAGGAGAAAGTATTTCACCATTACAAGGTGGAGATAAGGAAAGGCTGCTCTGGTTCCAAGTATTTTTAAATTGTATTCGCAAGCTGGAACATCCCTGCCCTACCACCTTTTAAAAGAATTGCCCATAAATCCAAAATAAAATTTGAGGTTGTGTGATGTGTGAAACCTCTCTTTTGTGAATCTCTCTTTCACACATTCCTTGTGTGTGACCAATCACACGTGGCCAATAAAGAATTCCAATGAACCTGTAGGAAGATGACTTGAAACATTTACCGTATTTTTCAGACTATAAGACGCACCAAGATTTCGAAGAGGAAAACATAAAAAAAAAGAAATAGTTTTTGGTCTGGTTTTTTCCTCCCCAGGAGTACCCTGCAGATCTCCCAAACCCTCTGTGCGTCCTGTTTTCATGAAAAACGGGCCCGTTTTGGCCTCCTGAACCCCCCCACGCATCCTGTTTTTGCCCTCCCCAGCCCCCAGGAACACTCTGCAGGCCTCCTGAACCCTCTGCACGTCCCGTTTTTGGCAAAAACGGGATGCGCGGGAAGGGGTTTCGGGAGGCCAAAAATGGCCGTATTCGGTGTATAAGACACACCAACATTTCCACCTTCTTTTAGGGGGGAAAATAGTGCGTTTTATAGTCTGAAAAATACGGTAATTTCTAAAAGGGGAACAAGGAAGTATGAGAATTTTACTGTAACTGTTGGTGAGATAACAGAAGAGCTAGGCTAAATTGGAATTAGATCATCTTGTACCTTTGCTCTAGGATTGAAGGTGAGCCCTCGGTGTAGGGCAAAAGCCACACGTTTGACCAGCTCCTTTCTAATTCCATCTTCAAGCAACTGCTTTGGGTCAACCTAGAAAACCCGTAGAAGAGAGAAATCATAATGTGCCTTTCCATTTGTTGGATAAGTCTTTCCTACTCTTTATTATAGAATAGAATAGAATGACAGAGTTGGAAGGGACCTTGGAGGTTTTCTAGTCCAACCCCCTGCTTAGGCAGGAAACCCTACACCACTTCAGACAAATGGTTACCCAACCTCTTCTTAAAAATTTCCGGTGTTGGAGCATTCACTTCTCAGGCAGGTTGTTCCACTTATTATTTATTTATTTATTGGCTTGATTTATATGCCACCCTTTTCCGGAGACTCAGAATTGTTCTAATTGTCAGGAAATTTCTCCTTAGTTCTAAGGTGCTTCTCTCCTTGATTAGTTTCCACCCATTGCTTCTTGTTCTACCCTCAGGTGCTTTGGAGAATAGTTTGACTCCCTCTTCTTTGTGGCAGCCCCTGAGAATTATGCTATGCCTGAACTAAGAGTTTTATCTTGAGGCAGATAAGATCATCTCCAAGGGAGGAAACCTTTGCAGAACAGCTACGTCCTCAATATTCTGATAGTAGATGCCTCTCGAGATTGTTTTTCATCCTATTCTGTTGATCATGGAGGACTTATGAAGGCCTCTTTGAAGATCATGTGGTAGCTATAATTGCAGGGACTAATCCAGGCAGTCACCGGGAGTCAATACTGATTTGAAGAAACATAAGGTAAGGTAAAGGTTCCCCTCGTACATACGTGTTAGTCGTTCCTGATTCTAGGGGGGCGGTGCTCATCTCTGTTTCAAAGCCGAAGAGCCAGCGCTGTCCGAAGACGTCTCCATGGTCATGTGGCTGGCATGATTAAATGCCAAAGGCACACAGAACGCTGTTACCTTCCCACCAAAGGTGGTCCCTATTTTTCTACTTGCATTTTTTACGTGTTTTCGAACTGCTAGGTTGGCAGAAGCTGGGACAAATAACGGGAGCTCACCCTGTTACGCGGCACTAGGGATTCGAACTGCTGAACTGCCGACCTTTCAATCGACAAGCTCAGCGTCTTAGCCCCTGAGCCATCGTGTCCCTTTTTGAAGAAACATACATGCACACAAATATCCCTTGAAAAATGGCCTTCAAAACTGCTATTCCTTCAGGCGATGCTACTGTGTCATTTTCACAGGGCCCTCACCTATCCCCAAATTCATGAAACTTAACATGAGCAACCGACAAGATTTTCTTGTCCACCCGCAATGGAAAATGTTACCTTGATGATGCCAACCAATGTTGTTTTCATCATCAGGATGCCTTCTGTGAAAATGGAGATGGCGTGTGTAAGCTTAGCAACCTTTGAGAAAGAGAGGAGAGGTTGGTCATTAGAAGGGACCTCCAGAGCATTGGGCAGGTGAAAAAAACATCACTGATAAGGAAGCTGTTTTCTTCTTTTACCACATGGGCTTTTTTCTCCTTATCCCAAAGGCATTTTTTCAAGAGGCAACTGGACTTTCTGGTTCTTCTTTGAAGACGTTTCACTTCTCATCCAAGAAGTTTCTTCAGCTCTTCTTCAGAGCTGAAGAAGCATCTTAGATGAGAAGTGAAACGTCTTCAAAGGAAAAAAAAAAGAAAAAGAAAGTCCAGCTGCCTTTTGAAAAAGCACTTTGGGGACAACTATGACCCAGATGACTAAGAATCTCCATAGACATTTTTTCTCCTTAGTTTCCTGTTTTAAATAACATGCCCAACTGTCACTTCCTTATGACAAGAGGGACGGAAACAAGCTTTCAATTTTCCTGATAAATATACATTCTTTATTACAGATCATCCAGGTCATGGTTGTCCCAAAGGTGCTTTTTTTCAAAAGACAGCTGAATTTGTTTTTTTTCTTTGAAAACATTTTGCTTCTCATCCAAGAAGCTTCTTCAGTTCATTTTCAAAGGAAAAAAAAATCAAGAAAGACATCAAGAAAATCCAGTTGCTTTTTGGAAAAAAGCATCCATGATCTGGATGATTCGAGAATCTCTATAGATGATGACTTACTACCTAACACTGTTCTACCAGCATTTACAATTAACAAACCAGATCAGCTTCTTCCATTTTATTTGGAATATAGAAGGATATGTGGGTGAAGGTGTATATTGGGTGGGGGGGAGGTCAAATATATTTATTTACAGCTTCAGCTTAACCAAGAGACTTTGAAAGGAGGAAGGCCCAGATCTCCACCTTTCCTGGAAAGATTCCCTGCCTCTAAAAGCTGGTTACTGGATACAAACTGAGATAGATCAATGATCCCGATTCTGAATATGAGAGTTTATTCATGCACATAGCTCTCATAAAAGTGGCAGTCCTCATTCTCTCATTCTTTGATCTGCAGGAAAACTTTCATTTGCACCTATAAAATGCCATCTGGTCTGGATAGCACAATAAACTGAATTATTGAGTTTAATAATAATAAACTCAATAAACTTGAGGGAACCAGTTCCCTCAACACTGTCAAACTATTCACTAATTTTGCATTACTATTAGTATTAATCTTCTCATCGTTCCTATCACCCATCTCCTCCCACTTATGACTGCATGACTGTAACTTTGTTGCTTGTATATTTACGATTTATATTGTTTCCTAGTATGATTTGATTATCTGTACCCTATGACTATCATTAAGTGTTGTACCTTATGATTCTTGACGAATGTAGCTTGTCTTTTTATGTACACTGAGAGTGTAGACACCAAAGACAAATTCCTTGTGTGTCCAATCACACTTGGCCAATAAAGAATTCAATTCAATTCAATTCAATTCAATTCAATTCTAATATTTGTAGCTCAGGGCTGAAATGAGGGGTCCTTGGTGTTCTCTGAGCTTTCTACAAGAAAACAACCAGAGTTCAGAGAGTACCAACGATCCCTCACGCTCTGGATGGTTTAATGAGATCTTAGGAAAAACAACGGGAATTGGCTATGTCCATCAAATCCTATCACTTGAAGGCATCTGGCTGGCTTTGGTGACAAACAAACCTGAGCATGAGTCTGTAAAATTCATATAAATTCCAAAAGTGCACCTAATCTCTCTAACCCTGTGAACTTTGATGCACCTCGTAGCGTGGTCCAAGTTGAGCATAATCTCGCAGCTTGTCTTTGTCCAGGCGAGTTGGCACCTCAATGATGTCGTGAGTCTGCAGTTTTATAATCTTCAGAAGGGAAGTGAACATGCTTTCCGGAATGATCTGTAAAACCTTTTCTCCAAAAACAACATAAAACAAATGCAAAATTATGGCTTAGTGAAACAGTAGTTCCTTTAAGGGGTGTGACGCCCCTCTAGTTTTTAGCATGACAGTGAAGCATCTCACTGAAGCATCGCATGAAGAGAGATCTGAATTAGCAAAAGTTATCTTTTGTTACCTGCCAATAAAGCCTTTTTCATCTTTTATTGGGGGGGAAGGAGGAGTCATAAATTGTTCAGTGCCATTGTAATTTAAGACAGTTGCTGAACAAATGGTCATTAAGCGAGGACTACTTGTACACCAAACTGGCTTTCTAGCAGCCACATAGATAAGTGTGATCTATCCCAACAGGATATAATAAACTGTTTAAGTCAATATTATTTAGAATTTGGTGTATGTGTTTACTACCTTCCCTTTCTTTTTTATATTTCCCTTCTCCAGTAAAATTATATTATTTTTATCTAGAGATATACTTTTACTGATTTAAATAGAGAACATTCTCATTATAAAAGTTCCCAGGTTGAATGCTGAGTGATTACACAACTACTCTTTACATTCTTAGGTTGTTGTTCAGTTTTTTTTATTGCTGGATTTGGGCAGGAAGATCCAAAACAACTTCGTTTCTGGCTTCTGGGGCTGGGATAAAGGAGACTATCCTTGGTTGAAAGGTCTAGAAAGTTCCTGGCTACAATGGCCAGGAGGTTCAGCTTGAAGTGTGATAGCCTGCTGCAAGCATTTTCTCAACTTCAGCCATTTTTAAGATGTGTGGATTTCAATTTCCAGAATTCCTCAGTCAGAATGGGAAACTCTGGAAGTCCAGAAATCCTACCTATAACTAGGGAGAAATTTCCCGACAGTGAGAACAGATTATCAGTGGAACTCCTTGTCTCCATCACTGGAGGTTTTTAAAAAGAGATTGGACAGCCATTTATCCAGAATAGTATAGGAGCAGGGTGTTGGACTAGAAGACTAGGAGCCTGGTTTAGCTCTGCAGACTAAAGCACCGTAATTAACATCCAGCTGTCTGCAGTTACACCAGTTTGAATCTCGCCAAGGCTCAAGGTTGACTCAGCCTTCCATCCTTTCTAAGGTAGGTAAATTGAGGACCCAGTTTATGGGGGCAATAAGCTGACTTTGTATAAATATACAAAAGTATGAAGGCTATTGCTTAACGCATTGTAAGCCGCCCTGAGTCTTCGGAGAAGGGCGGAATATAAATCAAATTAAAAAAAAAAAAGACCTCCAAGGTCACTTCTAACTCTGTTATTCTGTATTCTGGCTGAGAAACAATGGTCTACTGTAAAGTTCTTCCAGAGGGGAACTCTTGAAAAATGGCTTTCTGTTCTGACCTAGACTTCCTTAGAAATTAAACAGCAAAAACTTAGTCCCGGCAAACCTCTTTAATTCATAGGGCTGTAAATCACTTTCATTTATAGTCCACAAGGCTTGATAAACAGTCTTTCAGAGGAAGGTTATCAACACCCACCTATCTCACGTGCAACGCTGCCAAAGAGCTAATTTCCAGACGCAGGGCAAGGCCAAACTTGGCACAGAGTCACAAACAGAATTTTCAAATCTTGAATCGGCCAGATGAACTAATTGCTTCCTGCAAAAGCTCACGTCCTGTTTGCTCTTCCTTTTATGTCTTATGGGGGGGGGGCAATCATCTCTAAGCCTTACTCCCAAGTCGAGCCTGTTTCTTAATTGTTCCTGTCTCCTGGCAGCTCTGTGCATGCGCACACTGGGAACAGGCTCACACTGTTCTTCTGCCTCGCTGATGTCAGACTCCGGAGACTCTGGAGGCAGCAAAGAACTACCAGATGGCCTTGGCCCCCTCTTTGCCTCTGATGCAGAGCCCTCATCCGAGCCTTCCCCAGACTCCAGGACTGGGCCACGTTACTCCCCAACCTCCTCACTGTTCAACTCTGCTGGCTGCTGGCGGGCCACAACACTTTCCCAGTTTGTAACAGAGGAGAAAATATCCCCCCGAGTGATCCTGCTCACCTTTCTCACATAGGACACCAGTTCTCCAGAATAGTACTGTGATACACTGAGAAGATCAGGACTGTTTGCTTGATTGATGCGAAGAAGGGGCATGTCAAGAGCTGAAGCCAGCTGGAAGTAAGTGACACAGAGATGTCAGTAAGGTTCCCAGATATACTTTACCTTATAATATGTTTTTTCTTGCTAATGGCTTAGTGCAATGAATGAATCTAGGCCTTATAAATCATGGTTTGTGGCTTAGTCTACTAACTATATGAACTCAGCCAGTTGAAGCTTATTTAACAAAATGTGGCTAAGCAAGCTTTGTCTTTGGTGTGTAAACTGAGCCTCACACTTCCATGCATGAGAGTGAAAATAATGATTATGTAAGTGGAAAGTGGACCCGGTGGCTCAGTGACTAAGACGCTGAGCTTGTCGATTGAAAGGTCGGCAGTTCAGCGGTTTGAATCCCTAGTGCTGCGTAACGGGGTGAACTCCAGTTACTTGTCACAGCTTCTGCCAACCTAGCAGTTCGAAAGCACGTAAAAAATGCAAGTAGAAAAATAGGGACCACCTTTGGTGGGAAGGTAACAGCGTTCCGTGCACCTTCAGCGTTTAGTCATGCCGGCCACATGACCATGGAGTCGTCTTCGGACAGCGCTGGCTCTTCGGCTTTGTAATGGAGATGAGCACTGCCCCCTAGAGTTGGGAATGACTAGCACATATGTGCGAGGGGAACCTTTACCTTTTAAGTGGAAAGTATCTTGAATCAAGTAGACCCTTAGTTATTTTTCAAAGCCTAATTCCATTCTGGAAATACGCGCCAATAAAATGGATCAGTTCTTTATGGTCTTGGAAATCCAATTTGTAAACTTGAGACAAAGGATTTGAAGAGGGAGAAAAATGAGCCCTCCCCCCCTCCAAAAGACATAAAGGCTTCCCAACCTGACCTCCCAAAAGCTGGAGTTGTTATACTGTTATACTAACTAACTCACCTTCAAAAAGGTGGCCCGGAGTTTGGTTACCATAGATGGGCTGACTCTTATACTTTCCTGCATGATAGAGGTGAAACTGGAAAGGGAAGGCAGGAGGGGAGAAGAAATAAAGTCATGATCAGTGAAACCAATATTCCAGGACACAGGTGTGAGAAAATATTTTTGTGGCCCTCTGACAATTGCCAAAAATGAGTGGTGTGGTTTTCTGCTATGCTTAGAAAAATGCACACAAAAATTAGCTTAGTAAGGACTAAAACAGACATAACATGGTTAAGATTTAAATGGCAACTGGTTCATATTTATGACGGTTGCAGTGTCCCGGAGTCCCGGGATCACTTTTTGCGACCTTCTGACAAGCAAAGTGGATGGGGAAACCAGATTCATTTAACAATTGTGTTAATAATGTAATTGCTGCGATGATTCACTTAACAATGGTGGCAAGGAAGGTCATAAAATTGGACATAACTCACGTCACAAATGTCTCACTTCGCAACATAAATTTTGGGCACAACTGTGGTCGTACGTCGAGGACTAGCTGTAATCAGTACCAGTAAGAATAATTCCGAATGCCTCTGTATTGTCATACCTGTCGATGAGCTGCCAAGCGTAGGAAAGGTCCCCTACGATCTGCATGGTGATTAAAACCTCTTCTTTAATGTTGATGGTTCGGATCATTTGATGGAGGAACTTACGAGAGTCTGCGAGAAACTGGCAAACGTGAAGGTTGGACTCCAGCTGGTGAAATTCCTGGACCTGCATGAAGCATTTGAATGCAACTCATTCCCTGGGGAGGTTTTCAATCATATTATTCCACCAAGCAAATATTTGTAGACAAGGAACTCCCTCCTTACCTCTTCCAAAGCTTGAATCAACTGCACTGTTTTCCTGCCTGCTGCAGTGGAGTCGTTATAATTCAGAGACATGATCTGCTTGGAGATTTCTCTAAACCAAGCTTGCAGATTTTCTGTTCAGACAGGAAAAGGAATAAAAGGGGTCAACTTGTGGTGGCAGGTGTGACTGTCAATGCCCCTGAAACTCCCCTAAACTCTCAGTTTACAAATGTTGCGTTTCCAAATATTGACTAAAAAAAGCAAAAATAGAATTAGAGGATTGTTTTCTTTCATTTGCAACCATACTAATTGTTATGCCCCTGTTGGAGTCTGAATCTGAGACAGAAGACGGACAGTTGACAGAAAGTGGGAGAATGGCTCTGTTGGCTGTGGAGGAAATTGGGGAAGGGCAAAGTCAGGCTGGGCAGAGCAGAGGTAGAACAAGGGAGAGGGGGTTCAGATGAAGACCAAGGCCCACCCCCTCCTCATCCTAGGGCATGCAGGGAAGAACACAGAAGAGAGCAACGTGGGTTGCGTGGTTTACGAGGAAGGGCCCCGATTCCCATCACAAGGGACACCTGGGGATGGAGTTTAAAGGAGAGGCTGAATCCATCTAGTGTTGAGACTGGGGCCTGCATTCCTGGCATTCCTCCTGACTGTTTGAATTATAGTAGTGCTTCTGTGTGCTTATCTTGTCTTGCTGGAATTATTGCTGTGAAGCTTTTGGGACTCATTAAGTTGCTCTGCTGGAGTGACTTATCTGCAGTCATTCTGCTTACAGCATTTGGACTAGAGTATCTGCGGACAGAAGCTGCTGCAGGTTTGTGGGAGAGCTTTTCTCCAGACCAGAGAGTAAATGGGACGTTGGGGGCAAAGTTGGTGCCAATAAAGGGACTAATGCCGGTTCTCTCTGTGTTGCCTTCGTGCCACGCCCCGGGTCATCACACTAACCTTTATGCGCCACGGCAATGCAAGACTTAGAAGCCTGATTTGTGGGGGGAAAATACAGAGGCAGGATTCTTGCCATTTTTTTAGCTTCGAGAAAGAAGATATATTTCTGCTTACTCCATAAAAACCTGGAAATATGTGAGCATCTCACTGCCAGAAATGCTTAATTTATTAAATATGCACCTGCCACGAAAGGATTCAACTTGCGATATTTCAGCAGATGTTTCTAGAGGACATAGGTCTGAATAGCAAGCGTCACATCTATCAAATAAATACTGAACACAATTCATCGTTGCTCTTTATTAATTCACTGAAAAAATTTAGCCCTCCATTTTTCTCCTCTTAAAAAGAGCCAACAGCATGAAGACAATGGCCACGTCTGCTAAAAACTAAAAGCAACCACTCACACAAGATAAAATCAGAATGCCTGAATAAATAAATGCAGTGAATTTCTGTTTCAGCCTACCATTTTTCTCCACTCTGGTTAATGGTTTCACTCCTGAAAAGACATCTGCCAGTTCGGCCATTCTTTCGGATCCTTCTGTTTTATAGCTCTCCCACTTCGTTTGCTTTTCTGACAACATTTGTTTGAACATCTAATGGAAAGACAGACGTTTCTCAGATTTATTAAATTTATATGCCACCCATCTTACTACCCAAAGCTCCTCTGGGAAGCTTAGATTAAAAGACAAGTGGCCAAAACACAAAGTTGTTAATGATGCACTGAAGGATGTCAGTGAATCGCTGCAAGTCCTATTGAAATCACTGACCCAAAAAATCAGCTTGCAGAGTTGGGTCTATGACTCAAAATATCTGATTAGGAAGAAGAGGTATATATCAGAATGTTGATCAAATAAACTTAAAAGCACTCTATTTGACTCGCCATACGTTAAAATATGTTTGATAAATACATATATTTTGTTAATTTTGTTTTTTAACTATGCTTTTACAGGTAGACCACATCTAACACCGGAACGTTGGTTGCTAAGTGAGGGGGTTGTTAAGTGAGTCATGACTGATTTTGCAACCTTATTTTGCCACACCTGTTAGGTGAATTACCCTGGTTGTTAAATGAATCTTATGATCATTAAGTGACTCCGGCTTCCTCCATTCACTTTGCTTGTGGGATGCCAGCTGCAAGAGTCACAAATGGAGATCGCATGATCCCAGGATGCTGAAACGATCATAACATATGCAGGTTGCTAATCACCCATATTTTGGTCATGTGACCACGGGGACATTACAACGGTTGTTGGTGCAAGAACCGGTCATAAGTCACTGTAGTAACTTCGAACAGTCGCTAAACGGATAGTTGCAGGGTGGGGGCTACCTCTGCATGATTTTATTGTTTTATTTGTAAAAGGCCCGAAGTCATGCAAATATAATGGGTGCTACAGAAATTTGATAAATAAATACATAAAGATAAGAAATCATCAATAATACATTTTTCAAAGATTCTGCAAGAAAATAAGAAAGGATCAGGCCATCTTAAAAAAAACCCAAACATTTATTTTATGAAATTCTCCTTCAAGGATTTTAAAGAGAAAAAAAAGAACTCATGAGGCTGTTTTTCTGGGTTCTTGCAGTGATACATCTATGACCCAAGAGAACAATTGCCCCGACACCCTAAATAAATAGCCAAATCACATAAAATCTGAATTTTCAAGTGTTATCATGTTGGAACGACCCATAGCTTCTTATGAACTGTGCCACACTCCCTCCCACCTCAGAAATGAGCCCCCAGATTTATTTATTTATTTTTTACCTCTTTCAAAATGAATTCAAACTGGGCTGTATCCAGGAGGAGCTGGAAAAGAATCTTGGGATTGAATCTGGAGTCAGTGAGAACTTGGTCTTTTATCTGGCGGAGGCGCTTGTTATTTGGATCATAAGCTGGGGAGGGAAGGAAAAAGAGGCGTGCTTTTTTTTTCCCCCAGAGGTAGCAAATTATTTGAAATCATTATTAAAAGTGAACTTGTCCCAAAGGACAAGCTTTTTTCAAGAGGCAACTGGACTTTCTGGTTTTTTTTTTTTAAGACGTTTCACTTCTCATCCAAGAAGCTTCTTCAGCTCGGACTGGATGGTGGGAAACCATTTCCCACCATTTCCCATCATCCAGTCAGAGCTGAAGAAGCTTCTTGGATGAGAAGCGAAATGTCTTCAAAGAAAAACTAGAAATTCCAGTTGCCTCTTAAAAAAAGGGACAACCTGGATGATTGAGAATCTTCACAGACATATAAGTGAACTTGTGTTAAGGTATTTAATAGCGGGAACAGTAAAGGGTATAACAGGCCAAAACACACAGTTGGAGTTGATTTGTTGGAGAGTGTGGCTCCGGCATGAGACAATCTATGTTATGATTGGTTGCTGGATATAAAGGGGGAGTTTCCCCTTTTTTCCCCCTACCTGTTTCTTCTGTGTGCTCTGTATGCTGTTCTGTGATTTATCTGACGAATCACCTCATGATGTAGTGGTGTGCTTATATTGCTTGTTCTAAATATAAGTAAAGGTAAAGGTAAAGATTCCCCTCGCATATGTGCTAGTCATTCCCGACTCTAGGGGGCGGTGTTCATCTCTGTTTCAAAGCCGAAGAGCCAGTTCTGTCTGAAGACGTCTCCGTGGTCATGTGGCCGCCATGACTAAACGCCAAAGGCTCATGGAATGCTGTTACCTTCCTACCAAAGGTGGTCCCTATTTTTCTACTTGCATTTTTTATGTGCTTTCGAACTGCTAGGTTGGCAGAAGCTGGAACAAGTAACGGGAGCTCACCCTGTTACGTGGCACTAGGGATTCGAACCGCTGAACTGCCGACCTTTCGATCGACAAACTCAGCATCTTAGCCACCGTGTCACCATGTCCCTTATGCTCTAAATATAGATGTTAAATATATTTATTTATATAAAACCACAAGATTGACTGATTCCATTTGGACGCCAGCTGTCCAATTCCCTGACAACTTGAAACCGGCATCACATTTTTCTTTTTCTTTAATTTTTAAAAAGTTTTTTATTTTAAACACATTAAAAACACATTAAAAATCAAACATACTGGAGTAGATGGTATGAATGGTTGAAACATAAGGAAATAAGTTAAATGAATGAAGAAAGGAGGGGGAAAATGTGTATGATCTTTTGTTAGTAAAAAAGAAATGATATAAAGTAGAAAACGAATGTCAAATAAGTATATACTTAAATATTTGTAAATATTGATGTATAGAAAGAGCAGACCGCTGTGTATAGCTGAAAGAAAAGTGATATTTTTCTCCGGCATCACATTTTTCAGCAGGAGCAAGAGTTTCCATTCCCTTGAAACATTCCAAATGGGGTCTGAAGACCATGGCTTCCCTTGTTGGGTTTTTTTAACATACATGGATCCTGAATATGGAGACTGCATATGAATTACAGATGGTCCTCCACTTACGGCCACAATTGGGCCCAGAACTGAGGGGAATTTGAGAAGGGACTGTCTCTAACCAGGGCATGAAAATAAAAGGTGACTTGCCAAACAGTAAAATGCAAAACACAAATAACAACATCATATAATATTTTACAACTTTCTGCATCGACAATTATCTTTACTTTTAAATTCAATCAGCCTAATCATTCTCTTATTCTTGTATAACCATATTGAACATTCTTATAAACTAAATTGTTATATATACTTACATCCTATTTATTAACATAGTCAATATTTTATCCTTACCAGTATTCAATACTCTTAGATTCCAATTGGTCAAATTTTGATTTACATTCTTATTTCTTGTTTTGATTTCTATTTTTTTCCCCATTTTTTGTCTTTTTCTATTATGTTTTTGGTTTTAAAAATGTAAAATATTCAATAAAAACTATTTTAAAATAAAATAAAATAAAAGGTGACTTGCAAACTTCCCTTTTCTAAATGGATTCTCCATCCTTGTTGTAAAACAAACCATCATCATCTCTTACCCAAGTCTGCAGTATGAAGCATCAGCCAACGGATGGCCACGTTGCAGTCCCTTAAGCAGTTCAGCAGTTTTGGGATGTTGTCCAGCACCATCTCTTCTCTTAAACAACCTTCTTTCAGAAATTGTTGCACTTGGGTGTGAACACGCTCAGTGACGGCAGCAGCTCGGCTGGCCTTCAAAGGCAGAAAACAAAGGCTTAGCATTAACAGAGGAACAGCAAAGCCCTAGGGCTGAAATGGACATTTCAGAACTCGTGGGCAAAGGCTCAACTACATCTCCCAGCATCCTTCATGCTTGGCTAAATTGTCTAACATACCTGGGGAATTGTAGTTTTCGATACCCAGAGAGTAACAAGTGCGTAACCTGGTATAAATGTTCCTAACCAAACTATTGAAATTCTTCAGTTTTTAAATATGTTACTGTTGCTCCTAAATAACTTAAAACGATAACCCTTAATTTACAAAATGTAAAAAAAAAAAATGCAGATGTTCAACATATTCCAGGGGTGGGTTCTAAATTTTTTTACTACCGGTTCTGTGGGCGTGGCTTATTTTGTGGGTGTGGCTTGGAGGTCATGTGACTAGGTGAGCGTGGCTAGCTGGTCAGAGTCATTTCTGGAAGGTCCTTGCACTTACAACCAGTCCTCGCACTTATGACCCGACTCATTTGTTTGCTTTTAACACTGATCAACTGTAGGACGGCCCTTTGAAGCCCCACGGCAAGAGTTTAAACAGTTTTTTCCCTCTAGTCATCAGCTGGGACTCAGGAGGCAGCAATAGATTGGGGGTGGGACCAAATAAAAGGTAAGAATAACGTGGGTGGGTGGGGGAGGGAGAACCAGTTTGGTGACGTCATATTGTCACTGCTACCGGCTCGGCCGAACTGGACCGAACTGGGAGGAACCCACCACTGACATATTCTAATGGAATAAGTTACTTTCCAATTTATGAAGAAATCTATCATTGCCAAATTTCCCTGTCAGGACTCGGAAGCAAATCATTCTTTCTCTGTTCAATGTTAGTTCGGGTGAAGTTGCTTTCCAAGTTTCTTTTCTAATCAGCAATCTGTTTGTGGTTGTTCTCAAAAAGCGAAACAGGGTTAGATCTGGTTAGTGCTTAAATGGGATATATTAGTACCAGGCAATCTCAACTGTGATTGTACACAGAAATGTAAGGGATTATGTCTACAGAACAGGAGAATTTATTTTAATTAATTTCTCCGCTTTTATTTCTGCTCTGCCACGTAATGCCATGGAAGGGACTCTTCAGTAACATTAGCATCATTCAGATTTAGTATTTATTTGCCTGGAGAGTTGAAATGTATCCTAGGAGAAGGAAGTGTCCAATTACTTTTGTCCTGCTGCTAAGCAAGCAACAGATTTTCTATGAAGTCATCAGTCCTTGAAATGGACGCAGAGGAGAAAGTAGCTACCTCTTGTGAAGTATAAACATGTACATTTGACTGAAGCTTGCTAATGAGAATGCTACAAGGGCACAAATGGTCACTCGGGAATTTTATAAGTCCACGAAGGGCGCAAAAGTGGATTGAGACATCTTGTCCAGCTTCTTTTATTAAATTTCAGCCACAGTCAATGTTGTGACCTACACTCACTTAGTTATTACAGGACACAATTAGTCTCAAACAAAACTATTTTATTATAACAGCTGAGAATTACGTTCATTCCCTGCTGAGTCCCAATTAGTTGCAAAACAAGTCCTTCGGAAGAAGTCCTTCAGGATAATCACCAACCTTTATCTTCTTTGACACCCTGCTAAAGGCCTTACTTGACAAAGCCCCACGAAGTTCAGAAACAAACAAGAAATGCCCACTGGAAACAGAGTTAACAACGTTGCTTTCCTGCAAAAGGCCCAAGTGCCTTTGTTTCTCTTTTAAGCCTTATGGGAGGGGCCAATCATCTCCTGGCCTTACTCCTGAGTCGTCCCTTTTGCTTTAGCTGCTCTTGCCTTCTGGCAACTCTGCGCATGCGTGCACTAGGAACAGGCTCCTCCTGTTCCTCTGCCTCTCGGCTGTCTGCCTCTGGAGGCTCCGGAATCTGCGCATCACTCCCAGATGGCCCTGGCCCCATCTCTGCCTCCGACGCAGAGCCCTTGTCCGGGCATTCCCCAGACTCTAGGACTGGCCCATGGTCCTCCCCAGCCTCCTCACTGTCCGATTCCGCTGCTAGCTCCACGGACAGGACCACAACAGTCAATCACACTATGGTTCTAGGCATCTACTATTCTTCCTCAAAAGTTGGCCAAGACCTTCCTTCCTTCCTTTCCTCCCTCCCATTTTAAAGTCTTTCTGATGTAGATCTACAGTCATGGGAAAATGCCCCCACTTCCCATTTAAATTTGCTATGCTCTCCTTCCTCACAAAGCTCAGCATTAGAGTGCACACCTTCCTTTCCCCATTGTATGTGCAAATTCAGGGTGCCAAGAGTAACAAGACAGGAAGGCCTTAAGGTAAGAGGCCCTTGGAAAGCTTTACATTTGCTGAGAAGATCACAGGTTGATAAATTTAATGAAAACAAATCGGATTCCAACATAACTTCACTTATCCTGCTATAAGCTCACATTTCCTTACCTGCTCCTTAACATTGGAAAGATCCAATGTGTAGTTCAGAGCTGTTTTGGCAGCCTTGTATGGCTCCCAGGCTTCTCCCAGATTGACTGATATTCCCATGTAAATGCTAATAACCTGCAAACAGAAGCCAAAACAAAGTCCCTGAAAACTCCATTTATGGGGAAAGAAAAGCATCAACACGTCACAAAACAGATTTATGTATAGTTGGCTGCGGAGATGGCTAATCATGGTTGCAGTATTAGCTATGATGGCTATACATGGCTTTAGAGATGGTTAACCATGGTTATGCATGTGGTTAGCCATGGTGGTGGGTGTGACTAACTATGGTTGTGGATGTGATTAACCATGGTTGTGGAGGCAGTTTAGTGGCTTTCTGGCAGACATCATTTTAAAACTAGTGGAAAATCAATGCTGGACACGGTTTTAGGTTTAGTTATGGTTATGGCTATGGCTATGGCTAGCCATGATTGTGAAGACAGTTATCTGTGATTATGTGGCCAGTTAGCCATGGTTGTGGAGACAGCTTAGTGGCTCTCTGGCAGGCAAAATTTTAAGTTTAATAGAGAACAAGGGTGCTTGGTCTAACTATAGTGGGAAAACTTAACTGGTTCAAAACTACAACAATCCCAGAATTAATTAAATGTAAAAGGCCCAGTGGACTCTCAGATCTCTAGACCTGGATTCTGAACGGGTAAAGGGGAGAATGGAATTGTCCTCACTGGCTTTGCCTGGCTCTCTTGTATTCACACCAAGGATCTGAAATGACGATGAAGCGGAAACTTATGGGCAGCCTTGGGAGTGGGGTCGGCAAATGAGGAAAAATTACCACACAAACAGCATTGTCATACACTTAGATCAGACATCAAGACTCAGGGATGCAACGGCAGCATTGGCCGGATGACCTTATGTGTCTTAATTTGAGCATCCCTGAAATTTATAATGTAATGTAATGTAATGTAATGTAATGTAATGTAATGCAATGCAATGCAATGCAATGCAATGCAATGCATAGTATAGTATAGTATAGTATAGTATAGTATAGTATAGTATAATATAATATAATATAATATAATATAATATTTATTTATTTATTTTTTCAGATTTCTATACCGCCCTTCTCCTTTCGGACTCAGGGCGGTGAACAGCCAAGATAAAAAACATTTATACACAAAAGTTAAAATAGATTTAAAATAATTAAATAAATTTGGCCCGTAATTTAAAACATTTCAATTAAAATCTATATCAAATTTTAAAACCAAACATAAAATCAGGACAGCCCGGCTAACTGAAAAAATAGGTTTTTTAGGGCCAGACGAAAAGTCCGGATGTCGGAGATCACTCGTATCTCTGGGGGTAGGTCGTTCCAGAGGGCAGGTGCCACCACAGAGAAGGCTTTCCCCCTGGGGGTCGCCAGCCGACATTGTCTGGCCAACGGCACCCTGAGGAGGCCCTCTCTGTGGGAGCGAACTGGCCGGTGGGAGGCAATTGGTGGCAGAAGGCTGTCCCATAAGTACCCCGGCCCTAAGCTATGGAGCTTATATATAATATAATATAATATAATATAATATAATATAATATAATATAATATAATATAATATAATATAATATAATATAATATAATATAATATAATATAATTAGAGTAGAATAGAATAGAATATATAATAATGGAATGGAATGGAATGGAATAGAATAGAAGAGATTAGCTTTATTTGGCCAAGTGTGATTAGACACACAAGGAATTTGTCTGGTGCAGAAGTTTTCAGTGTACATGAAAAACAACAGAATCATCACCATTCGTATCAATAAGAGTAGTAGCAAAGAAGATAATAAGATAATAATATAGCCATACTACATGGGTAAATATAAATACTTATCAGACAATACTGTGAGGATTAGGTGTTTAGCAGTGTGTTGGCAGGAGGGAAAAAATCTGTCCCTGTTTTGGCATGCAATGCCCTACAGCGGCGTCCCGAGGGGAGGAGGTGAAACGGTTTATGTCCAGGATGTGAGATGCTGAGGCAACTCAATCATTAATAGCAGCATTAACAATATATTTACCCAGTTGTCTGGAAAATATTTATCTACTATTTCTCTCATCTTTGCTTGTTGGGTGTGAAGGATGGAGGGGTCGAAGTAAAGCGTCACGTACAACATGGCTGCCTGCGTTGCCAGAGCTGTGCTGCGATGTTCTGGCAGTGGATATGCAGAAACCTGAGAAGGGAACAGAGTGAAAGGGCACCTTATGAGCCTGCTGGCTATTTTCCTACTTCTTCCCCTACCCTGGGCCTTTTTCCAGCCTGACTTACCTGGTTGTAGATATCATCTGACCTCAAGCGGCCAATCACCATGCTGATGAATATTTTGTTGATGGGCACCCTGCTGAAGTAACTCTCGGGATAGTTTGCGGGCCTTTTTGCTCCAATTTGACTCGAATACCCTGTGCTCCGAAGCAGCTTACATATATCATCCATATTGGAGTCAGCAGAGCGAGCAGCACTGGATGGGGCATGACACGCACACGTCACCAACGGAGGATCTTATCAAAGTACAAGTAGCCCTTGACTTATGACCGGTCATTTAGCGACTGTTCAAAATTATGATGGATCCTGAAAAAACTACTTATGACCCGGATTTAGAGTTCCGACATCCACTCCCACCTTGCAGTCACATGATTGCATTTTAGGTGCTTGGCAAACAGCTTACATTTACAGCCATTTGCTGTGCCCACAATTTAAAATATTTTTGAAAGAAACTAGCATTTACTTTAGAATGCCTTGGTAAGGCCACACTTGGAATATTGCATTCAGTTTTGGTCGCCACGATGTAAAAAAGATGTTGAGACTCTAGAAAGAGTACAGAGAAGAGCAACAAAGATGATTAGAGGACTGGAGGCTAAAACATATGAAGAAGGGTTGCAGGAACTGGGTATGTCTAGTTTAGTGAAAAGAAGGACTAGGGGAAACATGATAGAGTGTTCCAATATCTCAGGGGCTGCCACAAAGAAGAGGGAGTCAAACTATTCTTCAAAGCACTTGAAGGTAGAACAAGACGCAATGGGTAGAAACTAATCAAGGAGAGAAGCAATTTAGAACTAAGGAGAAATTTCCTGACAGTTAGAACAATTAATAAGTGGAACAACCTGCCAGCAGAAGTTGTGCATGCTCCAACACTAGAAATTTTTAAGATGATGTTGGATAACCATTTGTCTGAAGTGGTGTAGGGTTTCCTGCCTGGGCAGGGGGTTGGACTAGAAGACCTTCAAGGTCCCTTCTAACTCTGTTATTCTATTCTATTCTACTTCCAGTTTCCAGCAAAAATTGCCCCATGTTGAACAATTGTTCATTAATGACTACGGCATTGGCTTTATGACCACTAGAAAAAAGATAATAAAAATCAGATTCAGTCACATGGGGACCCACTTTCTGACCGTCACAACTTAAGACCAAAATTGTGGGCTCCATTACAATTGTAAATTGAGAATTACCAGTGCAGTAAAAAGGATAAATTTGAAAATCCTTTGATTTCATAGGTGCATCCTAATCCGTTTTTTGGTAGCAATATGAAAACAGTTTTTCTCTCTTGTTCCAGGATATTTTTTTTTCAAATTCTCAGTTTGGCTTTGAGCCCTGGTATTTCTTGAATGTCTTTCATGGAAGCACTAGCCAGACCAGACTCTACTTATTTTCCCAGGTCAGAAAGACTGGCTCAATTTTGCAATCAATGGCATCAATGAGAAAGTGGGAACTTTAAGATGAGTGAACTCCAGAATTTCCCTGCCAGTCACGTTAGCTGGGGAATTCTGGGAGATGAAGTTCACACATTTTAAATCTTTGAAAGTTGAGAAACATTGGAGAGAGACTTTCCTTTAAAGGCATTGCAAATGTTTCTTAAAACAAGTATATTGATGCAATCAATATACAGTAGTGGCCAAAATTGTGGAAACCTTTTGGGAAAAGTGTATTTTCTAAAACTAGCTAATGACATCACTTTTTTGTGGAGTAGTACCATAAAATTATATAGCAATGGAAAGATAATTTAATCAAGAATGTAATGCAATAACTTTTATGAAGGATTTGCTATTAGAATAGCAGTTACAGTAGAAAGAAGAAAAGTGAAACACATAGAAAAAACGAGACATACAAAAATGATCGCCATAGAAAAAATGAGATATACAAAAATTATCACCATGTCAGTTAATCCTTAGTTGGGTAACCTTTAGCATGAATTACGGCCTTACAAAGTCTTCCCGTGGAGTGAACCAAGTCTTTTAGTTCTGCAGCTGTTATAATGTGAAACCAAGATTGAATGATTGTTTTTATTAACTGGGTTTTATTTATTTATTTATTTAAAATTTGATTTATATGCCGCCCTTCTCTGGAGACTCAGGGCGGCTTACAATGCGTTAAGCAATAGCCTTCATACTTTTGTATATTTTTATACAAAGTCAGCTTATTGCCCCCACAATCTGGGTCCTCATTTTACCTACCTTAGAAAGGATGGAAGGCTGAGTCAACCTTGAGCCTGGTGAGATTTGAACTTGCAGTAATTGCAGGCAGCTGATGTTAATAACTGTTAATAACAGTGCTTTAGTCTGCCGCGCCACTAGGCTCCTATTGCTGGGTCGTTTCTGATTAACAAGTTTCTTTAGTCGGCTCCATAGAGTTTAAGGTCTGGGCTATTCCCAAGCCACTCCAGCAGTGGAATATGATTATCTTGAAACTCCAAAAAAAAGAAAAAAAGAAAAAAAAAGAAAAGAAAAGAAAAGAAAATGTGGTGTTATTAGCCATCAAACCTCAAAAATACACTTTTCCCAAAAAGGTTTCCAATTTTGGCCACTAATGTAATGGTTGAGTTTGAATGAAATAATCAGCCACAAAATAGCCAATTGATCATATCCTGAATCAGAGATATTATACCTGTATCGATAATAGGAAACCAGCATTCTCTCCCGGACTTCGCCTTCAATTTTCTGATCAATGACAAGGAGCATGACACCATACAAATAAAGGGCTTCACACTGCAGCAAACAAGACAGACAGACAGAGAAATTCATAGTTAAAACTGCAAGGATATTAAGCAAAGTGTGTGATTTCCTGTTACATCAAACTCATTTATTACAGTGTTCTCCATCATAGAAATTTTGTGATGTGTTTAATAACAATTTTCTAATTCTTCGGTGAAAGCAGTTTGGTGTAGTGGTGAAGGCATCAGGTTAGAAACCAGGAGGTGAAAAGATTAAAATATCTAAAGAACAAAATACAGTAAATAAATATTGCTACATGGTTAGAGTAAATTTACCAATAGCTGTTTTCCATCCTCATTCAGCAGCACTGTTTCCAGAGTTTGCTGAATATAAATGCCTTCATTGAGATCATCCAGGTATCTAGAAACAATAAGAATGAAATATAAATATAAATCTTCTGCAGAGGTGGATGTTAGCAAAAACGCCTGTTTATATACAGATTTATTCCCTTCTTTAATTGGGCTTCCAAACACTTTGACATAAATTCTTTCCAAAGTTCCTTTGCATCCAAAAGAATAAAAAGCTGATGCAGTCGAAGAGAAGGAAGAGCTATAAAACTCATTATTTGGCTATCATTTATGGCTTTATATCCAAAGGATCTCAATGAATTTTATTTAGTTATGTGGTATGTTAAGAATTGTTGATCACTATCAAACTATCTTGGGAGAAGTGTCTCTTAATCACACAGTATTTAAATCATTTCTTGATACAGTGTCTTTCTCTTTACAGGTAGTCCTCACTTAATCATTCGTTTAGCAACTGTTTGAAATAATACAACAGAATACAACAGACACCTTCAAAAGCTACTTATGACACAGTTCTGGAGTTTTGATAGCTGCGCACATCCCCATGGTCACATAATTGTGTTATGAGACTAGTTATAATGCGTTAAAATGAGTATAAGACGCACCTTTTTCCCCCAAAAAAGAGGGTGAAAATCTGGGTGCGTCTTATACTCCGAATGTAGTTCCGCCCAGCCTTTCAAACGGAGGTTTCAGAGGCTGAAAAAAGCCTCAGAAATGAAGCGTCAGAAAAAAAGCCTCCAAACAGAGCTTCAGAAAAAAAAGCCTCTGAAAGGAAGCTTCAGAAAAAAACCCTCCGAAACAGAGCCTCTGTTTCAGAGGCTTTCAGAGGCAGAAAAAATAGTTTTTGCTGAAACAGAGTTTCAGAAGTTTCAGAAGCTGGAAAAAAAGCAAGGCACAGAGTTCACAACCAACGAACCTATTGCTAAAATTCACCTCTGGGAACAGCTGATTGGGCATCTTATACACCGAAAAATACGGTAATTGCAGTGTTGCACAGTAACATAACAATTTATGGGTTTTTTTAAGCGTTTTTGACTTCCAATAAAAAATATCCATTGGAACATTGATTTGTTTCCACAACTGTGGTGTTTGATTAAAGAGTGCCCTAAAAAAGTCAAAAAATCAATTCCAGTCATATGAGTGCCTCAATTTATGACCATCATGACTTACAACAGAAATTCCAGACTCCATTGCAGTTGTTAAATTGAAGATTACCTGTACTAAAGTATATTACAAGTTAAAAAAGACTTACTAATGTCAAAATTTAATGTCACATTTTTACATCAGTATCTTATTAGGTCTATCATATAACAGAAACATTGAGGAAAACTCTGAAATGGCATCTGCATACATTCTCTTATACCTTTTTCCCCTAATTTGATTATTTACTTAATTCACGTTTCAAATCTGATAAATATATCATGGCTGGTAATCCTGGACAATTAATCTGAGATCATGCCATCTTCTTCCCCAATTTTTAAAATATTCTGTCTCAAACATTTTGCTCCAAATATGAGTGAATTCATATTTACAAATTCTGAGTGTTGTATGTGTATGGAATTCTGCTGTGTTTCTGTTGTGTTCTGAAAAAATCTGAAATCTAAGCAACAATGACTTAATGATATTTCACATAATCCCACGCTATTTCCTTGGCTGTAATACAAATTCTGTTCCAAATGAGTTGCTGCTATTTCAATTGCATGTCCAATTGCTTACCTGTTTAAATCAACAATATATTTATGAACACTTTGGAAAGCCAAATAAAATCTGGTCAAAATTTCTATGTTGTTTTCACGAAATTCATCATCTAAATCTTGCAGTTCAGGTTTGGCTTCTAGCTTCCCTTCACACAATTCAGGCCCCTAAGATGGGGGGAAAATTAGGAACAGAATTAGTATGTTTGGGATAGAACACTAATCATTTAATACTTCATTCATTAGCATCTGGCAAAACTGAAATTAACTTTAAAGAATGCTTCAGTACAGCACAATTCTTACTTTGAAGTAGCTGAAATCAAATATGATATCTCCATATTTTTGTTGATCGGCTTTGTCTTTGAGGCGGAATACAGGCGGGACAAACTCGGAGAGTCTCAGCAATTCAGCAATGATAGCATTTCCACAAGACACAATCCGAAGAACGGCTTGTCCACAATGATTATTTTCCGCTAAGAAGTCCAACATGGCGAAGAGGAAGAAGGTAGTATTTTTTCAGTGCAGGTTTATATAGTCGTCAAAATTATCTAAAGAAAAATCCTTTGCAATTCCTCCATTACATTCCTGAAAAAGTCATTAACCACAGAAAGAACATTTTAATGTTGTTTTTTCATGCTACAATTTTATTATTATTATTTCAAACTGAAGGTTGAATTTTGCAACAGCATTTTTACTGCAGAAGATAATTTAAAAGTTCTATTTGGAAATAAATGTAGACCTCAGGATACCGCAGTTTGTGACAAGGATTTAAAGATTTATCCAGATTTTCTTGTTACAAAACCAGAAACATTCCTGTGTTATATTCCTATGTTGAATGATGGTATAACACAAAATGTCTGCTTAATACAATCATTAATAATGAATAGAATTATTAAAATGAGATTATTGATGAAGTCAAATAGAACCTTCAGGTGCCAGGCTAATATATCTTGGAGAAACCAAATGCTACATAATTTAAAAAAAAAATATCCATCATGCTCTCATGTGACTTACTTTCACAAAAACATGCAGCTTTCATGAAAATGAATCAGAGCAGGAAGCTAGAAACATTTTGGCAATATGCCGAGTTTTTAAAGAATTAAGAGTAGCCACATAATTTTGAATTTGAAAACCATTCTGATTAAAAAATAATTGGATGGTCAGGGTGAATTGCAATTGTTTTCAACAGGAGAGGAAAACAAATTCCCATTTTCAGTATAAACATCTTTAAAATGAATAAAAATGTTGTCTATGAACTCAGGTTTTTTTTTTGCACAAGTGGACATCAGTTAGGCGATTCAGCTTCCTTGCTATCATTTTAAAACTTCTCTTTTAAGCTGATATTTATGTTCCACATTTTCACTCTTGGAGATCACAGCACACTTGTAAGGTAGGCCAGACTGACAATGACAACTGAGCTGGGGAATCTACCACTGGGCCCCAAAATGACTTTGCCTTCCACGTTTAATTAACAACTAATTTAATTTAATTAACATTATTGATTAGGCCCTTTATTAAAGGCCAGGCAGAATTATAAACACTCACACTTATAGTTCTTTTTATAGCTTTTTAAACTGCTTTTAATTGCATTTTAATGCTTTGAATGCAGCTAAACTGTGTTATATTATTAAATTAGGCAGACTTTGACAGCCCATGGATGACTTCACTAAACTGTAATGTAGTATTATGTCTTGTTCTGTTCTGTTGCCTTTTATTTTAATGTTTTAATTTTTTTAAATTCTGGCTTGTAATAAAAAAAGTGACTGATTAACGCTTCTGCTTCTCAATTGTATTGATTGCTTGGTTTTTCTAAACCCTGCACGCTGCCCAAACTCCCATATGTGAGACGGGCAGCTGTATAAATTTAATAAATAAATACATTTTTCTCCCCCAAGAGGCATCGAACTGCGCTTCGGTATTATGGCATTACCGAGAATAACACTCAATATTTGATCATGAATTAACACATTTTCCGTACAGGACTTACTTTCTCCTCCCCTCTTCCTGCAGAGAGGAAGAAGAAGAGATGGACGGAGACTTCTTTCTCTTTGGCTCCCCTTGTAGCAGACCCGCGAGTCAGGTCAGGACCCTGCGGGGTGCACGCAGCTCGTCAGAACGGGTGCAAAGTTGAGTGCAAGGCGAAAAACAGCCAGCAAAGAGAAGAAACCGAGCCGGAAACCGAGGCCAGGCTGCAAACGGCCATCAAGACAAGGCAGGGCCGGGAGACCTTCCCTTCATCTCATGTCACATGAGGGTTTGCGCGATCATGTGAACAGGCGCCGGCGTATGAGAAGCCTCGCCGCCCTTCCGAGTCGGTCCCGCCTTCTCTTGCAAAGCATCTGAGCGAAGATTCAAAATAAGAGAAAATAAAGAGGGTCTTTTTCCCCCTCCCCAAGGAAACAGGTAAGGTGGGGTGGGGTGTGTGGGGGGAAAGGGATGCTTAGAGTAACCGCTGGAGAAATAATTGCATCCAACACCCGCGCTCGATCCGCGTCCCGGATGAACCCGTTTCTTGCATTCACACGAATGCTTTTCCATCCCCCCAGCTAGCAAAAGGGCTGCCTTTGCCCAGGACTCGGCTTCCGTGCAAGCTTGGGGAGCTTTCCTGACTATGTGTGGATGCAGTCATGGTTTTGGGCGTATTGTGCGAACTGAGCCAAGTTTTGTTTTTGTTTTTTTTTAATGGAAAGAAAGCGGGGAGAGAGAGAGAGGTTTCATTTCTGAAAAGATGCTGCTGTGTGGAAATCTGGGGAGTTGAAGTCCACACAACTGAAAGTTGCCTAGTTTGAAAAAATAAAATTGATTTATATCTCGCTTTTCAACAGGTTCCCTGATGTGTTTGGTTGAGTTCTAGCTCACCTCGGCTTTCCAAATTGTTATTTTTACTTTTCATAATCATAATCATAAGTTTATTAGTCAAGCATTTATTATTTATTTATTGATTGGTTCGATTTATATGTCAAGCATATATAAGATAACACGTAAAAGTATAAACATAATTTGAATACATGAAAAGAGTAAGTAAAAAGGAATATTAGGACAGGGACGGTAAGCACGCTGGTGCACTTATGCACTCCCTTTACAGACCTCTTAGGAATGGGGTGAGGTCAACAGTAGACAGTTTAAAGTTTTGGGGGTTTGGGGAAGAAACTACAGAGTCAGGTAGTGCATTCCAGGCATTGACCACTCTGTTACTGAAGTAGTATTTTCTGCAATCAAGTTTGTTGGCAAGTGTTTTTTTTTTCTTTAACCACACAATCAAGTCCTTGGTTTTTTTTTATTTAAGGTTTTTTTATTTTATAAAGAAACAAACAAACAATACATAATCAATCATTCAGTGTATCTTCTGAATACATCTTTTGTGTCTTCTTTTTACTCCTCCAATATTTATCATATCTTAAAATTATCATTTCATTTATTATGACATTTCCCCCACATTTTTTACTTCTCTATTAATACATTTATCTATCTTTTAATTTTATTAAAAATTATACAAGAATTTTATCCCCACACAACCTTGTTTTATCATTGGCCAAGCAAAGAAAACATAAGCACGCTGCTACGTCCCAGTAATAATAATTCATAATCATTCAAGAGCTATATGGGATCAAGCCGGCATTCTGGGTTAAAGACGAATGAAATAGACATTTATGAGAAGCCACAATCTCAGGTCTATATCCAGGTATTATAAAAGTGGACCCCATGGCTAGGTTCATTTCTGGTGCTGAAACATACGGTATTTGGTTTTGGTTTGGCATGATTGCCAATCAAATCTCTGGTTTAGCATGATGTGAATCCCAGGTACATTATTGTGCTTCATTCAACAGGTGGGAAAGAAAAGGTCTCAATTTTAAGCGATCTTGTGTACACAGTGGTGTAGCAACTCAAGAACAGTGCGAAGTCGCTGGTGCTTACCATCGTCTGAGATAGTTCTGGAGTCTAGCCTAGGGGAATTTTTTTGTGGTCTAACCCTATGTGAGAATGACCTTGGGAGACATGCTGTCTGAGGAATGATTAGATAATAGGAATAATTTCAAAAAGGAATAGAAGGGAAGGGAAGGGAAGAGTTGAATTGGAAGGTACCTTGGAAGTCCAACCCTGCTTAGGCAGGAAACCTTATATCATTTCAGACAAATGGTAGTCCAATCTCTTCTTAAAAACTTCCAGTGTTGGAGCATTCACAACTTCTGGAGGCAAGTTGTTCCACTGATTCATTGTTCTAACTGTCAGGAAATATCTCCTTAGTTCTAGATTGCTTCTCTCCTTGATTAGCTTCCATCCATAGTTTCTTGTCTTGCGCTCAGGTTCTGTGGAGGATAGCTTGACTCCCTCTTCTTTGTAGCAAACCCTGAGATATTGGAACACTGCTATCATGTCACTCCTAGTCCTTCTTTTCATTAAAGATAAGAGAGAGCATAGCCCACAGTTATATCGTGGGTGGAGCAAGAAGAAATCCTTCCTAGTATTTCAGAATATAAAATAGATGGTGGGAGACTTGTACTTTCAGACTTGCATGATTGTCTTAATGTAAGTCTTACAATAATTGAATTACCTTATGTAGCCATATTCCCGGTATAGTCTACCTGGTAAAGCTGACATAATCTGGCTATATTATGCATAGCGTGCAAGATTAATCGAATGCTGCCACCTAGTGAGACTTATTCAATAAGCAATAGTTGGATCAGGGCTTAGGGTGTCATTGTTTAGATATACAGGTCCTGCTAAATTGCAGTGACATCTGTTGGACTCATTGTTGCTATAGAAACTAAGCCCTGACCCTTCACAAACATAGCTTAGTGTGGTATCTGATATGTCAGTATTTTCCATAAACTAACCAATGATTAAACAAACAGTCAGAATGAGCAAGTAAAAAATTAGCTGCAGTTAAAATTATATGAGAGCAATAACATCATGGTATGCTTACAGCAACAGTAAAAATGGCACTTGTACTCCTATAAAATCCTAAATCTAGAATTGCCCAAGTTAGGGTTGGATGTTATTAATTAAATGTACAGGTAGTCCTTGACTTACAACAGTTAGCTTAGTGACAGTTCAAAGTTATGACGACACTGAAAAAAGTGACTTATGATCATTTTTCACACTTATGACCGTTGCAGCAATCCCATGGTCATGAGATTTACATTTCGATGCTTGGCAACTGACTCACATTTACGACGGTTGCAGTGTCCTGGGGTCATGTGATCACCTTTTGCCACCTTCTGACAAGGCAAGTCAATGGGGAAACCAGATTCACTTAACAACCATGTTACTAATTTAACAACTGCAGTGATTCACTTAACCAATGTGGCAAGAAAAGTCGTAAAATGGGGCAAAAATCACTTAACAAATTTTTCACTTAGCAACATACATTTGGGGCTCAGTTGTGATCGTAAGTTGAGGACTACCTGTATTTGCCTGTATTTATGAGCACTGAACACCAGAAAACTAGACACAAGAACAGTTTTTCCCCGAATGCCATCACTCTGCTAAACAAATAATTCCCTCAACACTGTCGAACTATTGACTAAGTCTGCATTACTATTAATCTTCTCATCGTTCCCACCACCCACCTCCTTCCACTTATGACTGTATGACTGTAATTTTGTTGCTTGTATCCTTATGATTTATATTGATATTGTTTCCTGATTGCTTATTTGTACCCCATGACTATCATTAAATGTTGTACCTTATGATTCTTGATGAACGTATCTTTTCTTTTATGTACACTGAGAGCATATGCACCAATACAAATTCCTTGTGTGTCCAATCACACTTGGCCAATAAAAAATTCTATTCTATTCTATTCTATTCTGTTCTATTCTATTCTATTCTATTCTATTCTATTCTATTCTATTCTATCTCGTTTCGAAGCGACTCTTCTCAACCTTGCTAAATAGAGATGCTAAGGTTTTGACTGCTACTTTGGCACAAAGTTTTCAGAAGTTATTTACCTCAGTAAAAGCATCTAACAAAAGTGTGCATTTTTAGCTGTTTTCTCTCAAGGTGAAAACATTCAGTTGTGCTAGGAGAGCTTTTACACAGGTTTGCGTTGCGTGCCAGTGAGGCCTGATACTCATGCTTTAGTCACCCTCTGATTGGATTACTGCAGTGCGGGCTACATGGGGCTGCCCTTGAAGAGTATCCCCTAGCTTCAGCTTGCACAAAATGCAGTGATGTCGGCAATTATAAGTGCTTCCAAATGGCACATGTTAATAACACCTCTGCTCCCAGAGGTGCATAGGTTGCCAATCTGGGTCTAATTTAAGATTTTGGTCCCTAAAACCCTTTATGGCATGGTAACTACTGTACATTATTTGGGGGACTGCCTTGTCCTGGTTTGATCTGCTCATCCTCTCAGATCCGTCAAGAAAGACAAGGGCCATCTCTCTCGGGCAACTAACACCTGGCGGGCCTGAGGAGGTGGGCCTTCTCTGCTATGATGCCTATCTAAGGCTGGTTCTAAAGTTTGGACTTCTTTATATTCAATTTTGGCCCATTTTTTTTACACTTAACTTTTAGTATTAGATTTTAGTATTAATTTTCCTTAACTTTAGTATTAGACCTTACAGATCCTCCCTGGTGGAATTAAAATTTGAAGATTTGAGGCAAAACGGGCCATTTCTGCTCAATTGCTACTTGGCCAAACAGCTGTTGTGACTTGTTCGTTTACAATATTCTACATGAATATTTATATTCATGTAGTACATATTTATAACATGTAGTACATAAAATACAATGAAATAGCAGGATGGGTTTATTTCTGGCCTGTTTTCATCCAGGTTTTGAATGGGAGAACATTGAGAAATCCTGGGACAGAAAGAAAACCAGGAAGTTAAAAACTTACTGGGAAAAGAATGAAACTATTTCCATATTATTGCCAAGAAAATTATGTGAATGTATTCCTTTGGTTGTAGTAGTTGAGTCTAAATTAAAGGATTTTTCAGCTGTTATACAAAGAGAACTAAAAGTCTTTAAGCTTTAATAGCTTAAAAGAACACTATGATTTCTGTATATATATATTATATATATATTGTTTTGTTGTTTGCAATATTTGGATTAATATACAAACTTGTTGTCTATGTATAGCCAAGAATTAATTTTTCTCTCTCCTTGTTTAAGGCAAAACCATGCATACATTTTCTTTTCGAGAAAGCCTAATTTAACATTCAGTTTACATTTTTTATGTTTAAAACTGCTCACCAAATATATTTTAGAGGATTTAAATCATCTTCTTCCATTATTTGCAAAAGACTGTGTTCATTATTTTTATTTATTTTCTTATGTATATTTTATTATTCTGCTAGTGAGATGAAAGGTTTTTCATAGCATGTGTGGCTTAGGAGGAGAAAAACACCCCATATTTATTAAAAGCCATTACACCACTTCTTAAAATGAAACAAATCTCCCAATTAAAATGAAATAATAGCAGAAGTTGAAAGGCGTTGAAAGAATACGTGAATGGGTGGTTGACTTAAAGCCAATGTGATTACTCTATATGCCTGCTATACCACACCTACTATACCCAGCTAATATATTAAGTGACTACATGTTTAATAAAGTGTATATATTGTGCATGATCCAACCTCATGTGGAGAAATTTCATCGGTTGTGATATAATAAATGGTGTTATATCACCAGGCCTGGGCCTCCTGAGACCTGGAGAGATGGCTCTATCACTGAGATGGATATACTCCCTTTCTTCATGCCTGGAATTTGGACATTATTTTAATAATATTTAAATTTTAAATATTAATAATATAATTTAGTATAATATAAATAATATAATGTAATATAATATAAATAATATAATTTAATATAATATAAATAATATAATTTAATAATAATATTTAATTTTATGACACTGATTTTTTTATATATTTATAAGATTGCTTTTATATATTTATATGGATTATGGTACACAGCACAGAGTCGCTTTCAGTGAGATGGGCAGCCATATAAATTCAATCAACAAATTAATGTCACATGTGCATGTTGCTCCTCCATCTGCTAGATGAACATGTAAACTTTTTTTTAAAGATTTGGTTGTTGTTATTATTATTATTATTATTATTATTATTATTATCATCATCATCATCATCATCATTATTTTATTCATAAACATTTTTGAATACAGTGTATTGTCAGGGTATACCATTTACAAGACAGAAAGAAAAAAAAAGGTCAACTGGAAAATAGTAATAAATATTAACACATGAACTAATAACAATAATAATGTAATAACACATGTACTGAGAATAGTAGTAATAATATAAGCAAATAATTTTAACTAAGTTTCTTTTTATATTGGTTTATTTACATTTTTGTTAATTATAATGAGTGTAATTATAAACCTTGTCTATTGTTAATACAAATATTCGTAGTCTTTCTTCCTCTAATTTCTACCTCTCGTCTCTTATCCACTCATAAAATCTGTTCCACATCAAATAATATTCTGTGTCTTTCATATAAACTTTCATTTGGTAGGATGATGTTGACTGCTTGTTTTTGTGATTTTTGAATTGGTCTAAGAAAAGGCTTGTCCTTAAGATGGACACTGATTGCAGGTTCTTATTCCTTCCAAAATAGATTGAGATGGACAAGACAGTTATTTTTTTTAAAGGCTATGAAAATTGTATTATTTTATTTATTGGCTGATACCATTTTTAAGCCTGCTTTCTGTTTAAACCACGTTAAAAAAAACCAGATGGGTCACATGCATGTCATAGAATAATAAAAATTGTAGTGATAACCATTGTTTGTTTTTTTAGGGAACTTGATCAGAATGTCTGGACGTCCATTGATTTCCCTTAGTGGTGTGGACACATGTCTGACTTCTCTGAAAACCTGCAAGACCTACATAAACACTGGCATGGATGTAACCACAAATGTGGCCCTTGATCTTGTGGAAAATCACAGTGAGTTCAAGTTTTGGGATCTATTCTTCTAGCTTGTTTTTTAAAACTTTCAAGGTGTCTTGGGATCCTGCCACATAGGCTTCAGCCCCGTTCTTCCATTGTGTGATCCAACATGGACATTTAGCTATGTCAGCTGATTTTCTGTCAGCTTGAGCTTGGCTACCATGCAGCATAACAAACAAAATTTCTGATTTGCAATAGGAGTTTTGAGGATGGGCTGTTCTCCCTTGCAGCCTGAATTCTAAGACCTTCATAAGATCCTTGCTTTTTCGATTTCTTTCCAGCATCTGGGCTCAGAGAATCAATATGTCCTTTCCAGGTGCTAAACTGCTTTTTATAGATGTGGTTGCAACTACCGATAGTGGGGGAAAACAGTGAGCTACAAATTGTGTGATGCCATCTCCAGAGTGTTCAGTGGCATTTAGGTAAGGGGCAAATGCCATCTTTGAAAGTGAGTTGGCATCTCCTTGTATCAGTAGCCCAGTTTTGGGGGTACATGTTGCCAGATGAAAGTTCAGAAAACTTGGAGAGTGGGGGAAACTAAGACCTTTGATCATCTCCTTTTCTGACTTTACCAGAAGCAAAAATATTTGTGTTTTTCCAGAAGATGGCTGTAATTCAACACGGAGTGCAGTTGCTTGCCTTTGTGGATAGGAGGCATAGTTGTGGGGCACTCAGGTTTATTTATTCTTATTTATTTTACAATATTTGTAAAGCACCTTAATCCAAAAGATAGTAGGCTATGTAATAAAAAGAGAAGAACAACATATTAATTAACTGCATTCAAAAAGGGCAATAAAATAACTAACCCTACTATATTCTGATAGATGTATATAGCCCACATGCTCACTGAAATAAAATGGTTTTAAGAGAGGAAAGTTGCAGCCCTGGGTTTGGTAGTGGAAAGCATGTTTTGGGACTGCTATCAAAATACCTGTCTTTCAAATCATACCCCACTTAGATCACATGGAAACAGGACTCTAGTAGACTTCCTCTTGAAGTTTAGGCCAGATAGGCAGAATTATACTTGACCTGAAGAAGGCCATGTTAGGATAAAAATTGTGATTCAGCCCAAATGTTCAACATCTTGTTCCAAATTCTGGAAATCCTTCTTAATTTTCATCTATTAGTTCTAGTCCTCTTCTCGGGGGCAATGCCCACACCCTCTTTTATGCAACTACACTTCAGATTTTTGAAGGCTGTTTTCAGATCTCCCCAGTTGTCTCTTCTATTGGCTAAACATACCAAAATTTAACTGATCTAATGCCAAGATTTAAGATTATCTGTTGTTATTTATTTTTATAATACTTGAGATAATATCGTAACCATAAGATCAGTTTAACCATAAATATTCACTGGATCAAAAAGAGGGTTCAGTTGGGTTCACTTGGCAAATCTGCACAGATTTGGGAGTTGAATTGGGTGGCTTGAAATCCCTTCTAATTCTGTAGTTGAATATTCACTTATTACGTTTGTGCCCTGCTTATCTCCACCACCACAGCCCTGCAAAATAGGTTGGGCTGACAAGAGAATGATTGGCCCAAAGTCATTCTGCAATTTTTATGGTGAAGTAGGAAGCTGAATAAGGTATGTTTTGTCAAGATTCATGTCCCTAACCAATGCACTCTACTGCCTCTCAAAGCTTTCTCTCTACATCTCCCAGATAATTCACAATTCTTTTACAATTATCCTCCCACTTGTGACTGCATGACTGTAACTTGTTGCTTATATCCTTGCGATTTATATTGATATTGATTGTTTCCTAGTATGATTTGATTGCTTATTGTACCGTATGACTGTCACTGGGTGTTGTGCCTTGAGATTCTTGACGAGTGTATCTTGTCTTTTTATGTACACTGAGAGCTTATGCACCAAAGACAAATTCCTTGTGTGTCCAATCACACTTGGCCAATAAAGAATTCTATTCTATTATTCCCTAGGTGGTGTTGGGATTTGTAGTTTAATATCGTGGATGAAGTATTGTCCTTTGAACAACTATGGAAAGAGCATACCATGAGATGGCAGCAGAGACTTCATATTGCATAACTCATGAAGTTATTTGTGGTCATACTTCTGCTAAATGTTCTGCAGGTTCCTAGTATTGAAAGGCAAGAGGATTTAGGACCATGTCTTAAAGAAGGCATGAACAAAGAACTCCACTGTAAGAATTAACAGATCAAACTCGTCTTTTAGAATAAATTTAAATCAAGATTTTAGCATGCTTTTCTGTACTGGGAATGTCACATTTTCTTGCTTGGCATTGCCTACTGGGATTCTCAATCTTCATGCCAATGATGGCATGAAGTGATGGCATGTCAGTGATGGGGAAACAGTGATTTCCTCTCATTTGCCTTGTGCTATTAAGTCCTTCTTGGTAGGGCTGTTCAGTATAGCTGAAGCTACTTTCAAGGTATAAAAATGGATAATGATATTTAAATTTTTTTGCAGGTTTGCCTGACAATTTACATGCTGAATTATTACAATTTTGCTCAAAGTCACTCATAAAAACAGTGTAGGGGGTTAAATAAAATAATTATAAATTGTTAGCTCTAGAAAGTTGGCCAGGTCACAAAATAGATCCCACAGATATTTCGGGAACTGTCCTTTTGCATATCAATACTAGGGAACTGCAGGACATTTAGCAAAGGCATGTAAGATATAATAATAGATTCTACGAAGCCTATCCAAGTTTCTCTGTGTTGCATTTTATACTGAACAAGATCAACGTGGGGTTATTTTGAGTTTCTTTCTCATGCTTCTGTCAGTCTCTGGACTGTTCAAATTCTTTAACAGGTCTCCTCTGTCTTCCCCAAATTGACTAAATTCCTTTGTATAAATAGGCGTTTTGTGATACAGAGTTGAAATCTACACCAACCAACTAATTTTACCATTAATTAGTCCCTAAGAATATGAAAAACCTGTCACTTTTCACACAAACATCTATATTTGGTTAAGGAATCCTTTTTTAACAAATCCAAATCACCAAGCCACTTTTTTCCACCTGATGCCCTTAAGAGGTTTTGAGATTCCCAACTTATGCACGTGGTTAGGAAATATGGGAAATATAGTTCAGTAGATCTGAAGAGGCTGAATGAGAAAAAACTGTTCAGTTGTTAACAAAAAAAAAAAAAGGCTGCTTGTATCAAAAGCAGTTAATAGTTTGATATTTTGGTTATCAATATGGCATCGTTGTGACAAGTATAGAAACATTGGACATCATCAAGCTTTATAATATAGATCCACCAGAGTCCTGCATATAGGAGCCTCTGTCTGGAGACAGGTCCTATTTTTCTTAGAGGAAGGGAGACAAGAACCAAACAATGATATGAGGCCGATTTTGAAAGTATTTTGGCTACGAATGATCTTGTGCTTCAAGGACACCAATCTCAAACATAAATATGCAAGGGCAACCAACTAATACAAAAAGATACGTAGGAGTGTGGTGAGAGCCAATGGTTTGTAGTGGTTAAGGGATTGGACCAGGAGTGGGAAGACCCGGAAAAATTCTCTAAAATCCTCCCTCCTTGTATTAATTTTTTTTTAAAAAAAATTCTACTGTTTAACTATAGAAAGCTAAGTGGTTAAAATAGTGTTTATCCTAGTGTTGAGACTCTAGAAACAACAAAACAATTAGGGAGCTGGAGGCTAAAACATACAAAGAACTATTGCAAGAATTGGGTATCTCTAGCTTAATGAAAAGAAGGAATGTTTGTGGCTTTGCCCAGAAATAAAGAAATATTGGAAAAAAATAAAAACATGGATAGTAGAAATAATAGATCAAGAAATTAAATTAGAACCAGAAGTTTTCTTATTAGGCATGATAAAAAGGAATATTAGAAAAGACATAAAATATTTGACACTACACATAATTACGGTGGCCAGACTGGCTATAGCACAACTGTGGAAAACAGATCGTATGCCAACAGATCAGGAAGTAATTCAAAAAATCTATACATGCGCAGAAATGGATAAATTAACTCTAGAATTAAAAGACAAGGAAGACTCAAAATATTTTATAGTATGGAATAGATGGTATAAGTGGATAAACCGAAGGAAAAAAAAGGGTAAAGATAAGAATTAGGGGAAATGCAAGTAATAATTTAAAAAAAAGCACCGTCAGATAGATAGAATAGGTAAATAAGTCACTGTTTGTATATTTGTATATATGTGTTTATATAATCACATGTATTTAGTATGTTAGTGTAACTGGATTGAAAATGTAAATTTTATGAGTGAGAAAATCTGTATATTTTCTCTTTTTTTTTCTTGTTAATATTTTTAAATTCAATAAAGTTTGTTTTTTAAAATAAAAAAAAGAAAAGAAAAGAAGGACTAGGGGTGACATGATAACAGTCTTCCAATGTCTAAAGGGCTGCCACAAAGAAGGAGTCAACCTGAAGGCAGGACAAGAAGAAATAGATGGAAACTAATCAAGGAGAGAATCAACTAAGGAAAAATTTCCTGTCAGTGAGAACAATTAATCAGTGGAATGGCTTGCATCCAAAAGTTGTGGGTGCTCCAATGTTGGAGGTTTTTAAGAAGAGATTGGACAACCATTTCTCTGAAATGGTCTAGGGTTTCCTGCCTGAGAAGGGGGTTTGACTAGAAGACCTCCAAGGTCCCTTCCAACTCGTGTTATTTTGTTATTCTTTGGTCACAATGCATTTCCCATCTCACCTTAATGGAAAGATAATCCCAAATCCCTACTGAGTCCATTCCTTTGTTATTCCGTCTAAATGTTTTAAAATCTTGCTTTTTCAAACTCTGGCAAGTATCTGAGGGTCATGGAACTCTCTCCTACTGACTACTTGAAAATCCAAAATTATGCCTGTTAGGGATTTTAAACATTTTCCCCAGTGGCCCACATAGTTCCTTTTAAAAAAGTGATTTATTTTTTAAGAGAAGCAACAGTTAAAAAAATAATCCCTAGAGCAGAGATTTGTGGGGCTTCAGTGATGTCTACAAACCATGACTCAGCTGAATCAGGTTGACCTAAGGAA